GGGGGGGGGGGGGGGGGGGGGGGGGGGGGGGGGGGGGGGGGGGGGGGGGGGGGGGGGGGGGGGGGGGGGGGGGGGGGGGGGGGGGGGGGGGGGGGGGGGGGGGGGGGGGGGGGGGGGGGGGGGGGGGGGGGGGGGGGGGGGGGGGGGGGGGGGGGGGGGGGGGGGGGGGGGGGGGGGGGGGGGGGGGGGGGGGGGGGGGGGGGGGGGGGGGGGGGGGGGGGGGGGGGGGGGGGGAAAAAAAGGGAGAAAAAAAAAGGGGGGGGGGGGGAGAAGAAAACCACCCCCCCCCCCCCCCCCAAAAAAAAAAAGAAGGGGGGAGGGGGGAAAGGGAAGACAAAACCCCCCCCCCCCAAAAAAAAAAAAAAAAAAAAGGGAAGGGGAGGAGGGGAGACACCCCCCCCCCCCCCCCCAAAAAAAAAAAAAAAAAAAAGGAAAGAGAAAAAAGAAAAACCCCCCCCCCCCCCCCCCCCACAAAAAAAAGAAGGAGGGGGGGGGGGGGAGAGGAGAGACCCCCCCCCCCCCCCCCCCCCCAAGGGAGAGGGGGGGGGGGGGGGGGGGGGGGGGGGGAGGAGAAAGAAAGCGCCCCCCAGGGGGGGGGGGGGGGGGGGGGGGGGGGGGGGGGGGAAAGGCCCCAAACCCCCCCCCCAAAAAAAAAAAAAAAAAGAAGAGGAAAGGAGAAGAAAAAAAACCCACACCCCCCCCCAAAAAAAGAAAAAAAAAAAAAAAAAAAAAAAAAAAAGAAAAAAAAAAAAAAAAAAAAAAAAAAAAAAAAAAAAAAAAAGGGGGGGGGGGGGGGGGGGGGGGGGGGGGGGGGGGAAAAAAAAAAAAAAAAACCCCCCGGGGGGGGGGGGAAAAAAAAAAAAAACCCCCCCAATAAAAAAAATATGGGGGGGAAAAAAAAAAAAAAAAAAAAAGAGGGGAAAAAAAAAAAAAAAAACACCCCCCCCCCCCCCCAAAGGGGAGAAAAAAAAAAAAAAACACCCCCAAAAAAAAAAAGAAGGGGGGGGGGGAAAAAAAACCCCCGGGGGGGGGGGGGGGGGGGGGGGGGGGGGGGGGGGGGGAAAAAAAAAAAAAAAAAAAAAAAAAAAAAAAAAAAAGAGGGCCCCCCCCCCCCCCCCCCCCTTTTTTTAAAAAAAGGGGGGGGGGGGGGGGGAAAAAAACCCCCCCCCCCAAAAAAAAAAAAAAAAAAAAAAACCCCCCCCTTCTAATCTTTTGTGTTTCCTAATATTATTATAATTAGCAAGATATCTTCGATCGATATCTTAGCACGAAAGAAAGTCCATTGGTGCACAGCCGGGTAACCTACGATCTCAGGGATGAGAGTTGCACACTGAAACCACTTGGCCAACACTGCTCTTAAAAGTAATTAAATATAATGAAAAAATATATATGTTATAAGGATACTGACTATATATTTATTATTACTACAATAAATTTATATTGCTGTGACTATATAACCATTTGATCATGAGAAATATAGATTTTGATTTCTGTAAATCGACACTTCGATACATAACTTAGGAAGTTGTAAGATAAACCATTTCCTTCATTCCGACGCTTCCGAGTTCCGATAGCGCTTCGATTCATGTTCCCGTGGGTGGCATTTTGAAATAAGGTTAGTAGATTGAACGTAGAATTGCGTATTAAAAATTTAATAAAAATACTAACTCGTTTGACATTTTTGTCTCGTAATGTTTTTGTTGCGAAGTTTTAAGTTTTCATGTCTGTTAAATTTTTTTTATATGAAAAATCATAATTTTTTCGCATTACCCAGGAAGGTGACTATTTATACAAATATTTTACGCATTATTATTGACTCACGGTAGATGATCATTCGGTGGAGAATATTTACTAATTTTGCAAGAAATTATTGGTTATATTTTCTCTGTAATTTTTATAAGGCGTACTACATATAGACATAGTTCACACTATAATACACGTAAATTCTATCTAAAAATATTTATTAACTAACACTTCGATACATTAATATTACGGCAGCGTTTTCACTAAGAAGTGATCCTTTCCAGGCAACCCTACTTTCTAAGGATAATGCGCAGAAGTGCATAAGTAAATTAATACAAATAAAATGACAATGTTGAGTTACTAAACAAACCAGAAAATTAAAAAATACTTAAAGTTTAAGAATCACGATTAATAATTAAGGCTGATGACAAATGCTCGATTATGGTACCTGGGTCGAATATGGCCACCTTAAGGTTTGATATAAATTTTTGGACATATTTTATGGTACTGGGCTAAGGATTGGTACTTATTAGTAAAGTGTACAAACAACAAAGAAAAATATAACAAATATATTTAAAATTTTGAGTTACATGCATTTTTATATGCCCACACTTGTGGCCATATTATTAACAGTAGGTACGCTGAGTACTGTTAATATGTTTTATTAGAGATATTTAATTTATATTGAATTAAAATACTTAGTAATTATTAGGATATAGTGAGTAAAAATTTCATTTAGGTACTTGAAATCAATAAATCTAATTTATCAGACTTCTTATTATTAAATCTTAAACTTTAAATAAAAGCAAAAATGGTATCAACTATGTATTGAGGTATCAATGAGATCAAGAGACATGGTCTGCTAGCTTAAATTTTCCGAAGTGGTGAATCCAATTCACAAAAGTTTCGGTATTCATACTCCCCTTTTTGAGTCATCTGAGCTATTGCACCAGCAGGTAATGAGTGGATTTTCAGCTCCGACCTTTTTTCTACAATTCACTTTAATTAATTAAACACATCAATAGTTTAAATAGTGGCCACAGAAATATGAAATATGATTTTCAATTATTTAGAAAATAATATTATTATAACAATACATCAATAAAATATCGAAATATAGGATAATAACTTACGTGTAATTTTTATAACAGTGACACGTCATTCCCTTTTTGATGAATTTTGTCCGACTGGTCAGGTGCGGGGGCAACGGCGGGTATGCCGCTTAAATACCTACCGTATTGCCGAACGTTTCGGGACTTGTTCAGTTTGTCGCGATGTTTTAATTTAGAGATAAGAACGTGTGGCCATATTTTACGGCTGGCCATATTCGACCCAGGTACCTTACTTTAATAAGTTTAAAGACTGAGCTCATCTGATTTCTAGAGATGAGGATATCCAAAGAATACTTTGCACCGTAAGGAGGAGTAAGAGTTTCAAGGATCGGAATCCAAATCAAAATTACCACCCGAGTCCCGATAGGAACATAAAATTATCTTTTAAATAACTGGATATTTAAAATCAAGAAAATAAAATTGTAACAAGTTGACTCCTTTTAATAATAATTTTAGTTATTATATTTTAAGGTTATTGTTATTTTTATTATTAATGTATTAATTGTTTTCATTTATAGAATGATCATTGAAATACAATATTAAAATACAGTTAAAATATATGTAAAATGACTTTTGTAGGTAACTACTTTTAATTGGTACGTTTTCAAAACGTACATGCATTAAACTTAGGTAGGTACACGACGTCGTTTTGTTTTACGTAAGTCGAAATGTACTCGTAGGTAATAAGCAAACTAACATTTATTCACCATTCACAATAGTACTGTACGAACCTGGAATTTTGTGAAAAAGTATTAGTTAGAAGACATTTTATCAAATATTCAAACAGCTTAATTAACGAAATGCCAATACATAACCTCGACATTTTAAGTCTGTAGTAAAGTCTACAACGCTAATCAAATAGATTAGCGACAGCGAGTACAATGTATTTTAATTTACTTTCGCCACTTTCAACCTTCGATTTAGATATTATAAATATGGACTTACAAAAACAGGAGACCAGTAATCATGTGGAGCATTAATTTTTTCCAAACCTGGAAATATTAGTTTTACGCTTTATATGTTAGAACGAACGCTAGAATTGATTATACCCATTTCTTTCATAGTGTCTCTACCCTTAACAGATTGTGTATAGTTGTCAGTTGTGGTGTACAAAGATGTTTCATTATGTACTAGCTTTAAAATTGTTACATAACATACAATTTTAAAACGGATACGTGTTATAATACTCTACAGGGAGAAATAAATTATACCTAATGAATCTCGGGTATCGTCGGCAACTGTTTCGTCTCATGAGATTTTATGGGCTATTTATAGTGAGAGTCATGGATCAAAAAATATTATAGCAATTCCATAATTAGAGAATGAATAGAATTGATATAAAATTTGATTTTTTTCTAAAAATTAATTAAAAATGTGAAGTATAATTGTTTTTTATAGCCAGATAAATTGAAATACCATAAAAGTTACAAGAAAAAAAATATAAATATAAAATAAAACATTTCACAATTAAAAATAAAACTGGCTCGCTATAACAAAACACAGTTCGTAACTGTAGCGTACTTTACTTAAATAAATTTTATCATTAATTGAGACTATTTATTTTTATGATCAAAGATTAAGCTTTGCTAATAATTACTTTTCACTATAAAATGATGACGCGTGCTCAATTTAACAAGTTCGTAACAAGCTATTTCCTTCCATGTGAAATAAATATATGTTGAGGTCCTAGATGTATGTATGTGTATGTTTTGTTTCATATCCCGTGTTTTACTTAATGTAAATATTTGCTTGGTAAATTATTATGAATATTTTTCCGACCCAAATATCGACCAATAGAATTGCACCATTGACTACGTGGTACAACCTACATGGTATTATACTGATAATTTTTTGAAAATTTTCTCTGGTATTTTAAAAAAGTATTAAGTAGTTGTTTTATTCATTATGAAATTCTTATTTGTTAACTGTACATTTCGTCTATGTGAATTCTATTGGGACATTTGTGGAAAAATAATCCCCGAATACCACAGACTTCAAAATTATCTGGCATTTCTCAAGGTTCCTCAAACAAATAAAGTCTCAATTTTTCAGTATATATAAAAAGGAATATTCTGAATATTTAGACTACATATAAATTAACTCCGAAAGTGCATTAAGGTCTTATTCATTAGCATTGATTTTTTTTCAATTATTTTTAAACCACCGGCCTTGAAGGTTGCACACCTTGAATGCATCTGGGCCATTGCAGAATGCGTTTGTGTGTAACGGTAAGAGTGCGCAGGCGTGGAGCTTTATGCTGTATCGACCCATGCCTTCTTCGAATAATTGCGCGGTTGTGGGTCTTAAATTGAGGGGGTGCCTCTCGCGCAGAAAGCTCGAGGCCAGCGGGGTCAGGGGAGAGAGGGGAACGGTCCTCTGAGGGCGCGGGCTCCCGGACCCTCGCATTACGTAACCCACACGCACAGCACGGCGCACAAACAATGTGATTTTATTTTTCTTTTTCGATTTTTCTACTGTTTTTGATTATACAACTTTTAGGATTAGTATCGTGATATTAACTAAGATCGCGCGACTTTTATTTCGCTCTAGCTTCTAGTATTTAGATGTAATGTCGACATTTCAAACTGCCCAAAGATTCTCTAAATAAATTGTTTGGTGTTTTGTATTGTGTTTTGAAAATGAGAACTCGGTTTAATGTGAAAATGTTAATTTTTTTTCTAAGTTAAATCTATTATCCGGGTTAGTGAAAATCATTGCCATATTTAGAATTCTTAATGAATATTAAAATGAAAATTTCATAGTAATTTTCATAATATTCCTAAAAATATTCTAAATTGTTATTTTATCTGAATTTATAATATATTAAGCGAAGAAAAATGATGGCGACTGGTAAGTACCAATTTTTGTAATTTATGTATATATTAACATCTGGTATTATTAATTGTGTCTGAATGTGTCTTTTCAATATTTATATTATTCATTGTAATAATTAAAACAGTCTTAAAAAATTACTAACGTATTACTAACTTCTTATAATTTTTATGTTTTATTCTTAGATCGAGTTTTGCGCTCACCTATTCTCATTTGAATGCATATTAGAGACAATGTCTACTATCAAACAATTTCTATTGCTTATGAGATAGGCTACAAGATTTATAAAGAACTAAGAAGCGATTTGCATACCGGAAGCGTCGTATTCAATTGAACACAAAAGCAATCAAAGCTATCACCAACAATATGTAGTCAAAAATAGATGAAATGCTTTACATTGTAGCTATATATATTAGCTAATACGTTATAGTGTTAAAACCGTAACGGGTTCATGGTCAGGGTGTGTCTTAGCCGACCCACTAGGTCTATTTAAGTGTCAAATTCTCACGGCTCATAGGTTAAATAGACAAGCAGATATTAATTTCAATTGTAGGGTCAATGCATTTATTAAATTGAATTTAACCGTGATTAACGAGTGACGTAATTTAACGCCTGCGAATCTAACAAGTCCGCGCAGTAGCAACGCAACCGGTGCGCCAACAAAGCGCGCGAATCGTTGACATTTTCCGCGAACATTTTATTTACATTACCATAAAACACGTTTTTATCTTCGATATATTTAGAACAAATATTTCCTCAAAAACTAAATGTTATTAGTTATTCAGTTACATTTGAGTTTGGATTAAATATAAAATTGATCCGGAAGAGGAAAGCATTCATTGGTATATCCAAGTGATGATGGAAAGTGATGCGTTTGCGATTGTTGATATAAACATAAGTGATAAGAATACAAATAAATCAAACAAAAATGACGTAGTAAACATCAATAAGAAGACGTTAGTTCCCACCGTTATAAAAATACGTGAGTTTTTTTATTTAAAATTTATTTATTTATTATATTTACCACAAATTGTAAAATATCGGTCTTTGGATCGTTAAATAGTATTATTATAAATAACAATTAGGTATTTTGCGTACATAACTTGCTAGGTTCAATGGAATCTCTCCAACTTCACATCTACCATGAGTGTGGGAGTCAATAATTGAGATCATTTCTTTACCATCATTGTTGTCAGAGTTATGTGATAACTGCCATTTCTTTTGGATTTCAAAATGAGGTCTTTGTTAACACATAGTTTCCCTAATAAAAGCGACAAGACAATTAGGTGTTGCTTGATGAGCACGTTTGTCGCTTCCGCTGTCCTCATTATATTAGCTAGAGGTACCGCTGGACGTCCCTGGGCTAGTAGCACTACTTACCATAGATTAAACTTCCGACTGTGAGGTACGTTATGTAAAACGGAACCTGTTACGTCACACTTCGCTGCCCCTCTTGCAATCATTGTACTATGCAAGTCAACTATAATAAGGTTTTATGTAATTTTCAATTCACTTCTATCTCTATAATTCATCATAAACATCTCTATGACCCATTTAATTTGGTAAACAATGACCGCTTTTATCTAAAGTTTATCGTTAATTCTGAACATAGACGATAATACCCATTAACCTGAATTATGAATTACATTTTAAATAGTCCGTTACAAAGAACTATTTCAGTACACAATGGTTGTATTTTCAATCCTATTTAGTATTATGTTGATCCCATTATGCGTTAGCGACTACGGCGTTCTAGTTTCAAAATACCTAGGGACCAACTTAAATTTAGTTATTCTAAATACGAATAGTGCAAATAAAATATACACTAACAGAATAATAATTAAAATATATAGGTAACCTACCTAATTGTAACCTTCCATTTAATATCTGAATCCGAGTTAATAATCAAATATATAAAACTCTGATGTCAATGTTCGTTCCCATACTCCCCCCGAAACGGCTCGACCGATTCTTATGAATTTTTTTATGCATATTCAGTAAGTCGGCTACTATCAATCTTTCAAACCCGTAAATTTTTATTTTTTAGATAAAAAAAAATGTTTTTATTTTTTTATGTTACAGCATACAAAAATACATACTACCCTTTATTTTCACACCTCTACGATCAATCCCTATTTTTTATTATTGTTGATAGTTATTTTTATTGAACTAAAAAAGTGTTTCCTAGAAAACATATCGATACATGGCAAAACAAACGTTTGCTGGGTCAGCTAGATTCTTTAAATTAATGAAAGATCGCAACTGTCTTAATTAAGATTTTTATAGGCCACGATACCCACATTTAAATATAAAGTATTATTTGCCACAGGCATTCAAGTCAACATTTATTGAAATTTGAAACAATTAATAATATCAAGATTTTGTTTTAGAGAGAGATCGCGGTGAACGCGATTATATAGGTTTTGCAACTTTGCCAGAGCAAGTTCATCGGAAATCTGTTAAACGGGGGTTCGATTTCACACTTATGGTTGTAGGAGAATCAGGTCTAGGAAAATCGACCCTTATCAATAGCTTATTTCTTGGAGACCTCTACAAAAGTAGAAAAATAGCTGATGTCCAAGGTAATTCTTACTACTAATGTACTAGTATGTAACGCAATTATTAAATCCATTTTATAATGTGATAATTTTTATATAAGTAATCGTATTGTTACTAATTACTTAATAAGTAACTATAATAGTTAAAACTACTTTTATAATTATAAGAATTATAAACGCTAAAAACATACAAAACAACTCATAGTACTATATCTATTGTTAGGTATTATTATTATTTCTCAGTAAACAATTCAATCAACATTTCTTGTTATAATAACAAATCACTCGTAATTCCAAACAGATAGAGTTGAGAAAACAACAACAATAGAAAAGAAGACTATGGAAATCGAGGAACGGGGTGTGAAACTCCGTCTTACAATTGTCGATACGCCTGGCTTTGGAGATGCAATCAACTGCGAAGATTCATGGAGGGTTTGCTCAGCTTACGTTGATGAGCAATTCCGACAGTACTTTACCGATGAAAGCGGGCTCAATAGAAGGCATATGCAGGACAATAGAGTGCATTGCTGCCTTTACTTTGTACCACCATGGGCACATAGGTAACATATATTTTTCGTATCTATTTCAGTCAGAGGGGAAAATATACAAATAAGTCGCACAAGATGCACATTAACAAAAAACATTTTATAGTATGGCAATATAATAATTAAAGCAAATTACGGTATGCATAATAAATAGGTTATCTGACTGGCATCATGTCATATAAAACTAAGGTACTTTGACATGGCATTAGATCGATAGACATTAACTTATATTCCCTTCTTAGATTTCCTATTGCGTCTTATTGAATTGCATGGAATATTTATGTTACAAATCCTATATTATATATTAAATAATACTTCGAGGCTAGCTTCGAACATATAATATATGTATTATATACTTTCTTGTACGAATACATTACTGATATAGCGTTATTTTTATTACGTGTTGATAGTATGGTTTGTAAATGGTTAGACGTAAGAATTGTAATGATAACTTCAGAAGGACGTGTTGTGATACGGACTCAGAGGGAACTTTTCAAAGATTAATTACAATAAGTATTGTATTGTTTAATTTGATAACATTTTCTTAGAATGCTGATTGACCGCAATTTAGTGTAATCTCAGTGTATTAATAAAAACATCGGGACGTACCTATATTGAGGAATGCAAATAATATCGTAAATAAATTAAACTGTAATTATCTTGCAATTGCACTTTATGGGATGGCGCTTTATTTTAGAATTATTACAGTGATAGTCAATAAAATCTTGTTGCGCTGATAGTTTTTATAGCAATTGAATTGAATAATAGTGTCATTTAGTGATTAACATTTCATGTTGTGTTTTATTAGTGTTAATAATTTATATTAGAAATATAAATTAAATTTAGGGTTCATAAAGGCATTATTATCTATATTGCTTTTATAAAGTACGTAACCTTCGAGATTTGTATATCGAATTTTTGCGGTTACATTAGATAATCTCTGTGATTGCAATTATTATAATATTTTACTACATAATTCATACCCACCATAATTGATAGTCTACTAGCTGAAAAACCCAACATGTCAAAATAAAAATATTTCTTTTTCGTATACCTAAATAAGATGTATTTAAGGAAATCTGATATATAAAATTCTCGTGTCACGGTGTTTGTAATTCCACTCCTCCGAAATGTCTCCAACGATTTTCGTAATATTTTGTGTATATCGGTTAGGTCTGCGAATCGGACAATGTAGTCGGACAGTGGTCAGTCAACCCCTAAATTTTTATTTTTTAGATTTTTTTTTTAGTTTTTATTTTATGATACAGCATACCAACATACATACAACCCTTAATTTTCACCCCTCTACGATTAACCGCTATTTTTATTATCGTACATAGTTATTTTGATTGAACTAAAAAATTTTTTCCTAGAAATAATATGCATGGCAGAACAACGTTTGCCGGGTAAGCTAGTATTTAATAAAAATAAACATTTCAGTCTTCGGCAAGTAGATTTGGAGATGATGAAACGCCTACACCGCAAAGTCAACATTGTTGTAGTTATAGCAAAAGCAGATTCGCTAACTGCTGCTGAAGTGAAGCGACTCAAATCGCGCATATTGGACGATTTGGATGAGTATCAGATTCAGGTAAGGAATGAAATACATTTTAAGAAATTAATATATTATTATTGATTCGATTACCTAATAGGTTAGTCGACGTCACAGGAGACCGAAGATCTGGCAGCTACCTCGGACAATGAATTAGTCTAGCTATTCAAAGGGGTACGCTGCCAGTATCTTCGGAACCTTGCCTAAAGGGACTCCTTTTAATAATATATTTTAGTTATTATATTATATTTTTTAAGGTTATTAAGTATTACTTTTAAATTCTGTAATTTGGTTGTTGTATGTTTAGTTGTAAGTTAATGCATAAATGTTACTCATAAATTCGATTATGAATACGAGATTAAGAAAATATAAACTTAAATAAAATGAAAATGTAACGAATTGGTAAAAAAGTTAATCTGTAAAATCTTTGACATTTCTTAACCTCCATAATTCATATCTATACACAGGTATATCAATTTCCTGAATGTGACAGCGACGAAGACGAAGAGTTCAAGCAGCAGGACCGCGACTTGAAAGCAGCAGCACCATTTGCCGTTGTTGCTGCTGACACCGTGCTAGAAGTTGGGGGGAAGAGAATACGCGGGAGACAGTATCCTTGGGGAATTGTCGATGGTATATATAGTTTCACTCGGTTCTGTAGCCTTCTTGGTCTTGTTCGACACACATACAGCGCTGTCCGTAGTAGATCGATAAACTCGGATCGTAGTAGTCTCTTTCGGTGGATTGTCTGCTCTCCTGCCAAGAAATTTGTCTAAAAAACAATATCTGGAATTGATTATATTATATTTATTTAAAAAGTATTTTTTTTAAATGCGTACAAAACATAGTAAAGCAACATTAATTAATGAATATAATTTATCGTATATAGGTGTTTATTTTAGTTTATCGTTTATAATATTCAAATCTTGCTATTCTATTAATGCTCTATTTTGGTATACAATTTACTGTAACAGTAACAATATAATTTCAGTGGAAAACCCTAGACACTCGGACTTCACAAAGCTCCGTACGATGCTTATATCAACACACATGCAGGACCTGAAAGATGTGACCCAAGATGTTCACTACGAGAACTTCAGGGCCCAGTGCATTTCGCAAATATCACAGCACGCTATGAGGGAACGAGGGTAAATAAACTTAGAACCCTTTATTAAAATTATCATTTGTCTAAGGTACTTTCGGGAATTTTGCTTATTCTTTGACATCAATGATGGCAATAATAAATATTTACATGTTTGATTAAAGTTACAAAATAATTGGATTTATCTGCCACAGTTTATATGTGGCCATAAAAAAACTACCGACTTATTCAATTTTTTTTACTAGGAAACTTAAGAGAGACTCTATGGGCAACAACCATGACGTAGTAATAACCGACACTGATAGACTCCTGCTGCAGAAAGATGAAGAAGTAAGGCATAAAACATTTGAATTTAAAAAAAAACAATGACTAGAAATGAAGCTCAATTACTTAGACATACAGGCTGTTAAATATTTGAATTACAACTAATAAATGTCTTTTATTGACATTTTTATCGGAATAAAAGGTGTAAATTTGCAACACTCCGTTATCTTACAGGTGTAGGCTAACGCAAAGCGTTGGGAACTGTTGATTATTTAAATTCTAAAAAAATAGTTGTTAAAATGAAAAATACCTACGTTAAATTCTAGTAAGTGTATTTTACGTCCAGAATATTATATGTTCATTTTAAAAAGGTAGTCAGGAGCATCATTTAAGCACTCTATTTATTAAATGAAAGTAACTAGAAATATACTGTTAAACAACACAAGTTTCGGATTGGAACCGAAGAATATTTCATTTGAAAATACATTTATCTGCCACAAGCTCTATTGCCGAAAGGAATCGTCATACACATTATACAGCAGATTTTCAGTTAGTTAACTTTTAGTAATTAGTACATGTATTTTTTGCAGATAAGACGAATGCAGGACATGTTAACACAAATGCAAGAAAAGCTTAAAGCCACTGATAAAAAACACGACAGTATTATCGACGTATAGACTGCAATATAATGTAGTATAGTTCAATTGTCACTTATACCTAGTAGTTTAAAATGTATCTAGAAAGATTAAAAACCTCTTTAGAAAAATCAAATGAATTTAGACATAACATAAGGTCTAATTGTAGTTTGTTGAAATATTTAAATAGGTAAGGGTCACATTCAAGTCGAATACACTAGTAGAAGTGTAGCTTATCTTTCGTCGTTTTATATAAATACTACTCTGTCAAGGAAGTACCAGAAACGATTAGTAATACAAAGTAATAATAATAAGGTTGCTCGATGGTATTTCATGAGTTTTTGACAAACATTCCTTCATAATAATAGCCCTCAGCCCTCTGCGAAAACAGTTATCGTGGTGCGAAGTATCATGTGAGGACGAAATTCTGAGATGTGCAATAACGAGATTCACAGTGGAGCGCTTGGATGAAGTTTGGAAAGACAGCTGAATAACAAAAAAGAAAAATGTTCGTTTGATGTATAATGTTGTCTTTCATATTTTCCTACACGGCGCGGAAACTTGGTCGTTAAAATTATAAGACAGTGAAAAGCTTGATCGCTAGAGATGTGGCGTTGGAGATGGCTCCTAAAAATACCATAGACGGCTTTCCAGATCAATAGTTCCATCTTCAAAGAATCTTACAATACAGAAAAGACTTTCGTTGCTATACGAAATATCTTTTGGGCATATCTCAAGGAATGAAAATGAAGAATTTGAAGATGCTTGTCATACAGGACCATATCCCGCATATGTGCACTTCGCTGTTCTCCAACGCGTTGGACTGATATAATTAGTGCAACAACTGGATCCACTCTGCAACAGTGCTGTCAAGATACGGAGAATAGACAAAAGTGTAGATCTATAGTAATCCAAGCAACGATGCCAGGACGAAGTAAGATGTGGACCAGAAACCGACCACGACTACTCTGGTAAGAGTGGACGACTAAAAGATTATATAAGATGGTAAGGATTGACTCCTGAGATACGGAAAGTTCACCGGCTAACTCATTCAAACTTAAGTGAGGATTTTTAGTTACTATTTTATTTAACACCAGTTGAAGACGTGACCAGTCTCCATCGTTTAAAAAAATAAATGGAATTTGCATCTATAACCAATTCATCCATCCCAATACTTTTTTGACAGAATACCTTTCAGATAAAACTAAAAGTATACCTTCAATTTCATTTGGTATTTAATAAGTTTATGTCTTAAGGTGCGCTTACACGGGCAACTAAAATTGCTCAATTCCAGTCAATACTCGTCAACTATGACGTCACGACTACATCAATCAATTTACGGCAACGGCAACAAGCATCAATACTGCGCAATACAATATTGAGCGATATGGCGCAACTTCATCAACTAGGCAATATTGTCCTACACGAGCATTTCAGTATTCGCTCGCTTTGGATGACATTGTTCTTGCTGCGGGTTGTAGTTTTTTTATTATTAATCAAAAACATTAAAGAAAGAAAAGGGAATAGGCGTATTGGTGATCGTTTTTGGCAAAATGGCTGCAATTTTCATTGTGTAAAGAATTAGATGATATATTATTCAAAAACTTTACTAGAATGTCACGAACAGACTTTGAATTACTTTTAATAAAAGTAATTAGAAATTATTATTATTTAGACCTCTCGCTCTCCCGCAAGAAGCAAGCAGGAAGCAAGACGGCAAGCCGCCAAAACAAACAAGTGCGAATGAGATATATACAAAAATTGCTAGGAATTTCCAAGTCCATTGATATTCGTCAATTCGTTTCTGCGACATTGACGATATGAAATATCTGGAGCAATTGAGAAGCAATATCGCCGAAATAATTTATTGAAATTTATTGAATTTATTGAAATTGCTCCATTAATTGCTCCAGATCGGTCCATACGTGTCGCCGAGCAATTATTGCCCTGTAAAGCGCACTTAACAATGTGAATCGGTAGGTGGTATGTAGAGTACATAAAATGAGTCTTAGATAATCATTCATATAAATCATATTTCTAGTCTCAGATTTCAATTTGGAGACAGCTCAAATTCGTGATAAGAAAAACTAATTATTATGAAAATAGAATCAAGCCTTTGAACGTACCACGTACAAAACATGTATTGAATGCTAGGCAGTTACGACACGGTTTCGGTTTTATTTATGAATTCACCTGTGAAACTGTGTAATTTATAGGAACCTCTAACTGTGAGGGAGTGACAATTCACGCGTTGTCATGACAATTCATATGAGAGTTGTCATAGAAATTCGATTGGCGATCCATAATAGCTCACGCTTGCTGTAAAATGTATTTGGCTAGGGTTAGTAAAAGTATTTCGTCATTCGAAAAATTATCAGAAGAATTAATATATAGATACGGAGTCATTCTTGATCTTTTCGTTTAAGAAGCACAAAAAATAGAGAAAGTAGACGTAGGTCAGGAAGTATTACAATTCATGTACATATTGAAATATTTTTATTTGAATACCTTATTAAGGTTTATCAAAACCAGTTATATAGCGTATTTATATTTATTGTTAAGTAATATGATTTTTCCATAAAGTTTTTTTTAATAGTTACTTTAAGTATTATTTCCAAATCAAAGTTCCAAGTAATTTAAAGCAAAGAGGTGGACAAGAGAATGGTAAATATTAATAACATCACGCATCGTTCTACATAATATTCCTATTGAAACATACATTTTTTAAAGCAAAAATAATGTCAATCTCTTTGTATGAAAATGTATGAATATAATGACAAATAGTTGTGTTTAACAAGGATTCAACTTTCTCAAGTCAGATAGTAGATTTCATGTCAATCATAGGTCAGGGCCTGATTAACCCTTAGGCTAATTAGGCTGCAGCCTAGGGCGACGATCTAGGGGGCGGGCGCCCTGAAGTCATATCTTCGCTAGTATCATTCCCTGCATATTTCAACTAGACCAACTAGACAACACTAAATGAACTGTGAACTGGGTCTACAAGCAGATGGCAAATTTTAGTATTAAATTAGATGAAGAATAATGGTACTTAAAAATCTTTGTTGTGCCTTTGGAACCCTGTGCTGTAAAGTTTCTAATGTTATACAGCTACAAGCAAGTTTTGTTGATTTATCTGACTTTGTTACTCTTTATGAGACATTGCTTATCTTAGTTGGTGACGAAAAGAGTTAAATTTTTTTGAATCAGAGCAATCAAGAGATGGATTGACAAAAAAAAGATTAAGAAGAAGAAAGAACCAAAATTTTGATTAGAAGGAGGCGATCTTTTATCTTTAAAAATATTATGAGCTATTATTGCCTTAAACACAACGTTTGGTTTCTTATGGTAATGTATAAACTAGACGATAGTGATTTATAAGAAGCAAAGCAGGAGGAGTAAAACAACGACATTCCACTGATTTAGGAAAACCTTTGAGAAGAATGTCCATTTGGAAGTTTTAAAACCTGAAAGAGGCCGAGCATTATATTTCTGCCAGAACCCCAAAGCGTTTGTTGCAGTAATAATAAGTTTTAATATTTGATGCATGTTCCCGAATGTGGAATAATATTTTTTGGACAATGAGTGTTACCAACTGCAGGGCGAAAGGCTTTTAAAGCACTTAAAAGAGTAAAGAATACTTGCGTCCACACTCAAAACTTGCAGCGCTCTCGCTAATGTACACAGAATGTGATTTTTAAAGACTATTAAATTTGGATAAATTGTGGAAAAAATTTGCTTTTCAATAGAAGTAATGCAGCCAAATACGACATGGATTTGGTTTTCTACTTGGTAGCCTGTCATGATTTTGGTCGTATAATGTGAGGTGTTTGCCTTTGTGTAGGTCAGCTAAAAATGGTTACAAGTCGGCTGCAAATTAAAGGAAGTTGTTTCGTTGCAGATCGATCTTAAACTCTTATAGATAGTAAAATTTTTCACACTAGTAAACAAAGTCAAAACTAATATACTACTTTTTAGACTGACTGTACACACCTGTCACCTGGCGGGGGGCATCCTGATAAATAGCCTAGAGCGGTCAGAACTCTTGATCAGTCTCTGTCATAGGTACCTAATACATATGTATATTAATTTTCTAATAATTATCCAGGATCACTATTAACCTTAAAGTTAAGATGAAACCGTTATTTATTGCAAAATAATACAACCAAAGTTTTTTACACTGTATGTTTCATATTTTTTTTATCAAGTATAAAATAAATTGATACTTTACATATACAATATTGTTTTATTTTTATGTAAAACTGACGCTTGTTGTCGACTTTCTTTACACGTGTATATTTTATGTACAAAAAATCGGTTGTCTGTAACGTCGGTTTACTGAAGTAGAACGTGACAACGTCATAAGAAAATACTGATGGAATGGTTGCATTTTTCAAAAGAAAATTTTAATTTTATTTGTTTGATAGATATTTATAGAGGTCAATGGAAATCACAATTGAATTGATCAAGTTACATTTATTTGTACGCATAAATACAATTATGTCAATTTTTAACAAACGAACGCTGCCAAACGTGGAGTCCGATTGTGCCTCTTTGTCACTCGTTCCGCGCTCTCGCTTGCACCTCAAGCCTTAAATGGAACGCCTCAGAGCGAGGTAACGCCGCATGCGTCATGTTTTTTCGTGCGTGCAGCCGGCCCCATCGAATTATAACACGTTGTCACGTCAAAATCGGAACGTTAACACGTCATAACACTGTTATTGTAACGGTAAATTAATGAAAAGGTAGCGTAAAGAAACGACCATAATATTAGATGGCTATTAGTATTTAGGTTTTAGTTTCAAACCCACAAATAATTTAGTTAAAAAATAGAGTTTTAGATAAATATGAGTATAGACATAGACAAAACATTTTTTAACTAACAAAACACACACACACAGAAACACACAAAATAACAATAATCATAAAAATATAAAAAATTATAGATTTTTTTTTCTTTGAAATAACAAGTTACGTTTTAATTTTGTAATGCGTGTGTGCTGTGGTTGTAATTTAATTGGTCCTGGCTCAGCATTATGCTGAGGAGCAGACTGCTCCACAGTTCTGGTTTGGTATACAATATTTGTTGGTTTATGCAAAGCATATATTAATGCTCTAGGCCTGCAACACGATGCGCTGGGCCGCAGACAGCCCGCTTGATGGCGGTGTATGGGTTTAGGGGCCACATTACCTATGAATTAGGGGGAAAAGTCAGGTGCCGAAAACAAAGAAGGAGATTCCTGTGAAATGTTTTCAAATTCTTAGCCCAATAATTTCCGCTCTCAGCTTCTTTGCGTGGAGGCATGTATGTACCTAACTGATACATCGAAAGGCGGGCTCGGAAGACAGACTGATTTATTATTATTACTTATAGCTGGTAGGCGATAGATGCAACATGTATCCCCTACAAACCACGAAATACCTTCTAAAGCACTACACTAGGATAGAGGAAATATTACAAAATTTACATAAACTAGGACTTAATAAAATAAACCTAATCGTTTCCTTACACGTACCCAACTTATTACAAAAAACTAAAATTTGCCACACAATCAAAGGAGTTAAGTGTTCCAAGACAAATAAAAACACGTCTCGTTTAGTAATCGAGGATTGGTAATGGCGGAGATTAGTAGAGCTCGAATATCTAGTAATTCGACGCGTGTTTGTTTAGTCGATTAAAAATGGAGATGAATGGGTGAATTAACTTAAAACGAAAGGATCATTTTTGGACAAAAAATCATTCTCATTGACCTGACCGGACCTGTTCTCCTAAAATTTTATTTTAAAATAAATAATTTAGAATCGAAAGTATAAAAAAAAAAAAAAAAAAAAAAAAGAGAGAGGGGGGGGGGGGGGGGGGGGGGGGGGGGGGGGGGGGGGAGGGGGGGGGGAAAAAAAAAAAAAAAAAAAGGGGGGGGGGGGGGAGAAGGGGGGGGGGGGGGGGGGGGGGAAAAAAAAAAAAAAAAAAAAAAAAAAAAAAAAAAAAAAAAAAAAAAAAAAAAAAAAAAAAAGGGGGGGGGGGGGGGGGGGGGGGGGGGGGGGGGGGGGGGGGGGGGGGGCCCCCCCCCCCCCCGGGCGGGGGGGGGGGGGGGGGCCCCCCCCCCCCCCCCCCCCCCCCCGGGGGGGGGGGGGGGGGGGGCCGGGCCCCCCCCCCCCCCCCGGGGGGGGGATGGGGGGGCGCGGGGGGGGGGGGGGGGGGGGGGGGGGGGGGGGGGGGGGGGGGGGGGGGGGGGGGGGGGGGGGGGGGGGGGGGGGGGGGGGGGGGGGGGGGGGGGGGGGGGGGGGGGGGATTTTCCGAGGTTTTATATATATGTAGATACTTATAAAAGAAACATAACAAGACAAGAGAAACACCTTAAACTTAATGTCTAATATAAAAAATAAAAAAGACTTGTGGAGAAATAAGAAAGGTTGTTGCACAAATTTTATACAAATTGAGCACAAGAGAAAATTAATAATATGTAGAAAAACTGTCAACTTAAGCTTACTGAAAATCAATGAATTTGACTAAGAATTTGTGTTCTGTAACTGTCAGATTTCATTATGACATCTGTGAACCGACAAGCGCAAAGAAATGTCAAATAACAAGACGTCCGTCCCGATTACCGATAGTAGATTCGGATTACGCTGAGTGCAAATGTAATTTTTATTATTCGGAACGTAGGAATATTAATAATTTATACATTTCTGTTGATCTCAAACCTTAATTACACTTATAGTCTAATATGCAATAATCTTTTCTGTTTGTTTTATTGACTAATTTGCTATGGCGGACAGAGATCTTTCCTTGGGTCCTAGAGAAGGTGTTTCTTACCCTATCAAAGTACTTTATTGCGGAAATTGTTCCATGCCAATAGAGTATTGCGAAAATTATCCTGAGTATGATAAGTGCAAACAGTGGCTAGAAAAAAATTTACCAACTGAATTTGAAAAGGTTAAAATAGGTAAGACTTGCTCAATCAAAGTGAGGTTAAGCTTTTATAACAATCTGATATGTGTATTTTGTTAATAAATCAGATGACGAAGATAACGGAGGTGAAGGTGAAGAAAAGAAACGGCAGAAACGGGGTGGTAAAGGCATGTTGAAATCAAAGAAAAAAGAAGATGTCCCTAAACTAGTTCAAGTTTCAAGAGCCCCTCGGGGCAAGAAAAAGTCTGTTACAGTAGTATCAGGATTAAGTACTTTCGGTGAGTTACGATTAAACTAACTTATTTTGATGTGTTTGATTATAGTTAAACTATAACTGAAAGACCATTTAGTTTGTAACTTACTAATTTAAACAAAATAAATTTAATGCTTTTCAGATATTGACTTGAAAGTTGCAGCAAAATTTTTTGGTACAAAATTTGCATGTGGGTCATCAGTTACAGGAGATGATGAAATTGTGATACAAGGTGATGTAAAGGATGACTTATTTGATGTTATCCCAGAGAAATGGCCTGAGGTAAGTTCATAATTAAATTTGATTTTAAACATTAGAATTTATTAATTAATCCAATAACTTTTTCAGATTGATGAAGATAGTATTGAAGATTTAGGAGATCAAAAGAGATAGTCTATTTGTAATCTCATATAAATACACTCTTTGGTTTAATGGACTGGTGTCCTACCTGCCAACAGCATATAAATCAAGAAAATAATAAAACAAACATTAAATTATTATTGATTGTTCATATGAGTAAAGTCTGTTAATAATTACATTTGAAATTTTGTGAATAGTTGTTTTAATCTTTATCCGTGAGAGCTTTGAACCTTTTGATAACAAATTTTTCTTTTATATATTTGATTTAGTAAAAGAAAGTACCTTATTGCCTGTTTATGATATTTGTGGCATTTGTTGGTATAAAGAGTAAAAATCTAACAATAAATTCAGTTCCTTAGTTATAGTATGATATGGTTGGTGGACTCAGTTTCCGCACTTATACTCTCACTAGGTCTGTTGTGCATAAAGACCTGGCTTACTAAGCCAGCCTAGCTACTTCTATAAACACAAGTCTCCTGGGCACTTTCGCAGGCTTCACGGAGCGACCTCACTGCCCCGAGGATTTCTGCACGTTGTTTAGCCACAGCCTCGCTTTCCAGGACTTTGTGGGTGACTGATTCCTCTGCGCTGAAACAGCCTCTGCACACAAGGACACAATAGCCCGTAATTGTCCCTTTTTTAAAGACGCTTCGCGACTATCGTTGGAGTTCTGCAGACTCTTTGGCTAATCCAGGTTCGCACTTGCGAGAAGAGCAAGGGAAGGAGCGGATACGGGACAGCGGGCATCATTCACGAGCCTCTCCTCGCAAGCTCGGCAGTCGGCAGCATCATTGCCGAGAGATACACTGTAGGATAACTCTGTTTGTCAGGGTTATTGCCTTTAGTGCATTGTGACACTCCAGTATCAGTTTGCTGTTTGTCTTTTTATTTACTAGCTCCATCAGTACAGACCCACTGTCGGATAAGCTGCACGGCCCTGGCGGCTTTGGTTAGAGCGACACATTCACATTGAAAAATCGAGCTGTGTGTGCCTAGGGATAGGTGTACGATGATGATAAGGTTAAGAGAGAATATGCCAGCGCCGGAGCCCATTTTTTTTTTAAGCCATCGGTATATATGCTCATTCAGATTCGATTGATCACGTTCCTCTTCTCTCATTTGTACCTGGTATTTCCTGTTGAATATGTGTTGATTAGCTAGATGATCCTATCACATACGCGGCTATGAGAGGTTGATACTCTATCGCCCTGTTGAGAATCGCTGTGTGTGTATTGTAGTGATTTTTTCCCCATAGATGAAGTACCATAAGCCTGATGGCAGCTAGTGCTCCCTCCTGCCGTATGTAGAGGTCTAGGGGTACAATTTGCAGAGCTTTCTCCATTGCTGCAGTTGGCGTTGTTTTCATGTAACCGCTAGCAGCGCACAAGGCAAGCCTCTGGAAGCGTCCAAGTTTTGTTATTGCCATTCGAATTTCCGATGTCGGCCACTTAACTAGGGCTCCATAAGCTAGCATTGGCCTGATTACGGCAGAGTAAAGCTATAATGTTATCTTAGACATTAAACCCCATTTAACGCCTGGCGTCTTTTTGCATTGATAAAAGGCGATCGTTGCTTTGTTTAGTTTATGTTCAAGGTGTGTGTTTCAGAGCAGTTTACCTAGGTACTGTCTAAAATCACACCTAAGTACTTTATTTCTTCCTTGAGTTTTAGTTCAGCGTTGAAGAGTTTTAGAAGTCTGTACAGTCCTAGAACTGTTCGGTTTGTAAGTAGAATTAGTTCTGTTTTTGATGGGTTGACAGAAAGCTCGTGTTCATTGCACCATCTCTCAATTACTCTGAAAGCCCTTCCCATGAGATCACATAACGTGCTTTAAAAGTTCCCCGATACTAAGATAGCTATGCCATCCGAATACCCAGTGGTACCCTAGCAATCTACACCACTGTGTAGCGTTGAGTTCTCGTTGAGCTCGTTAGTAGACCTGGGCAAATGCCATCCAAACCAGCCGCTTTGAATAGTAGGAAAGAGTTGAAGTACCTAACATGTGCCAGTCTGAGTTGACGGTGGCTCTTTTTGAATAGGGTTGCCATGTCTGCTCGTTAGCAATTATACCTACAACCTGGAAAGTGAGTTGAGTAGTAGTTCACAAGTTTCTACATCAGTTTTTGTAAATGAGTTGTCAGGTTTTTTTTTTTATTTGTCAGAGAGCCGATCGAGTCATAAGGCTCTCTAGAGGCATGATTTCACCCTGGTTGCCTGATTATTGTTATCAATATTGGGGCAGAAGCGTCTCCAGCACTCTTGCTTCCTAATACGACGAAGTTTTTTATACTGTGTACTTGTTCTATTCGGTGGGTATCAGTGTTTTTCCGGCTCTATTAAACAGTTTCCTGACCTTCCGACGGTATCTCTCCAATTCGGGACATCACCAGTTCTGTTTGCCCAATCTTGGTATGGTATGGTGAGGGGACACGACTGTTCATAGCTTGTCAGGAGTAGGGTTAGATTATTTACATATTTGTCTATATCGTTTACATCAATGTTGTTGTTGGTATCGTTAGTTTGTCTACTTCAGAGCTGATTACTCTGTAATTACGGAATTCAACTAAATTAGTTGAATTCCGTTCAACCAATCAGCGCGAGAGGTGCGTACCGTTTCACATTTTGACGGTTTCACTTTGATAGATTACAATCTACCGAATAATAATACGTTAAATTGTAAGCAATGCGTTGCGGTTCACAATCTTTCGACAGTTCATAATCTCGCGAGATAGATTACAATCTAACGGTGTTTACAATTTTACGATGACATATACTAACCTAGAAAAAACAAACCCTTATCAAAGGTAAAAGCCTAAAGGATAGCGAATCAATGTATAAATTACAGACGTTTTAATCTGTAATTACGACTTCAGTAGTCTCTGGGTTCCGCATTTATTATTTTATGTATAGCAACAAAGATAATTTAAGTACCGTCATTGGTTGATAATATGTCAAAAATTAACCTTTTAGTCAGAATAGTTCTCCAGTTTCTCTTAACTATTATTATTTTTTTAAAGTTTTAATAATTCCTTTTATTTAGGATAGGTTCAATTTAACTAGTCATATAGGTATATATTGACACAAGATTTAATAAGTTGAATAACTCCACAATAGGTGTAAAATGTTTTTGAAACTGGCAAACTAAACTTTACACTATTTGTGTGATCTGTGGATTTGTTCAATGGCAACTTCGGTTTGCCAATCTCAAACACAAAATAAAATCACTTTTCTACATTTTACGTTCATTGCAGTTCATTGTATGTTGTGATTTGGTAGATAAACAATGACTTGTTAGTGTTTAACTGATTGCAGTGAATTACTCGCAATGTGCACGGAGACTTTGCGGAAGTGATTAGGAGCTACCACCATAATGTAGCACTTATTCAAGTTCCTTTAGAAAAGTAGTCCAAAATTATCGTATCGATCTTTTGTCTTTTGCTGAGCAGTGAATTTAAGAACTCAAAATGTCTGTGGTTAAAGGAAAGGCATTAGTAAAAATGGATGTTATCCAAGTTGGTGAATACGAATTTACTAAACAAGACATAATAGGCCATGGTGCCTTTGCAATGGTGTACAAAGGAAGAAAGAGAAAGGTACGTCATTACTCATCTAATCTTGTTTAGAGTTTAGATACAAACAAAAACAATAAACCCCTTAATATCTGAGTGCTAATATTTATATATTAATACACTTATTAATTTTCTCAACATTATTCAATAACACATAAAAATTAAAACAAAATATTTGTTTGTTGACAAAACTAGACCAATTCATACTATCCAATTATCAGTTTAATTAAATTATATCTTATTGCACACTTGACATATTTTGTGACCATCAGACTGAAGTTGTTACATATTGCCACAAATATTATTATGTATCTTATGATTAATATTGAATAATATAATTTTTAATTACTAATGTGCTAGTGTTACTGTTGTATATTTTATGTAATGTATATAACTGTATTACAATTTTGTTTAACTGTAAATATATCTACAACAAATAAATTCTATAGACAAAAAAGTCCACATAAATGTCTAAAATTTTTAATTACGCAGATATGGCTAAAGTGGATTTCACAAATGTACCTATCCTTGCCCTACTTATAATAGTTGTTTCTCACATTTATATCTCAAGTGCTAAGATTATACTATAGTATACAAAATAAAAGTGAATTATTAATAACATTGATTTCTTCTGTTAATAATTTTTAGGAGTAAATAAGTCATAACAATAGAATATACATATATTGAATTACTTTATTTAACTGCCTCATTGCTCTTGTTTGAATTATGCGGCTTCTTGCAATATTGTGGTTGTATCAGACATCTGTCCTATTGTTGAATGAGAGACAGATGGTATGGTATGGTATGGTTTGTGGACTCGTTTTCCGCAGTTCTTAGACGCTCACTAGGTCCGTTGTACGTGAGCCCTGGCTAACTAAGCCAGCCTAACTCCTTCCAGAAGCACAGAAGCTTCCTGGGCACTTTGCAGGCTTCACGGAGCGACCTCACTGTTCCGAGGATTTCTGTACGTTGTTTAGCCACAGCCTCGCACTCCAGGACTACGTGGGTGACTGTTTCGTCTGCGTTGAAACAGCCTCTGCACATGGGGCTGTCTGTCGCGCCTAGGACATAAAGGTGTTTATTAAGGAGGCAATGGCCCGTGATTGTCCCTATCATTATTTTGAGGTTATTTCTGGTTAGATTTAAAAGTTGTTTAGTCATTCTTGTGTTAGCCACTGGCAGAACCAATTTGGATTGCCTGCAGTCCACACTTGATGACCAACGTTGGTGCTGGAGTTCCTCAGATCTCTGGCGAATCCATGTTCGCACTTGCGAGAAGGGCAAGGGTAGGAGCGGATACGGGCCTGCCGGCAACATTTCCGAGCCTTTCCTCGCAAGCTCATCGGCCGCGTCATTGCCGAGAGATCCACTGTGTCCCTTAATCCACTGTAGGGTGACCCTGTTCGTCAGGGCTAATGCCTCCAGTGCATTGTGGCACTCCAGCACCAGTGTGCTGTTTGTCGTGTTACCCCCTAACGCCATCAGCACAGACGCGCCGTCGGATACGAGCTTAATACAAAAGTTATTAACTCCCAACCGCTTTACGCCTCTGGCTGCTTCGGTTAGGGCAACACACTCGCATTGAAAAATCGAACTGTGTATGCCTAGAGGTAGGTGTGTTTTGATGTTGAGATCTTGAGAGAATATGCCAGCACCGGAGCCGCTCCCTGTTTTTGAGCCATCGGTGTATATGCGTAGCTCGTTCGCGGTCGATTGATTACATTCCTATTGCTGAATGAGAGACAGATATTGTGAATGTCACAATTACTCCTTACAATGTGTAAGATTAGATGCCATGGCCCAATCAGTCTGGAGAATATTAAAGCAAAATATTTAAATAGTGTTATAATAGTAACATGTACTTTAATAGAACCATGTATAGTGTTTGTGAATTCAACAATTATATTTTTCTTGTCTAGGGTGTCAACTACCATGTTAATTTATCTAAACTTGCAGTAAGTTAAAAAGTAGGTGTTAAAAACCGAAAACTAAGCAAGGGCATATAAAGATGGCTTTTTATCATGACATTTTAAAGTGATGTGATGTATTGTGTGTTTTGTAATATATTCTAGGGATATTTCATAAATAGTATTCAGGAAAGTAGGAATCAAGAATTTGCTGATGTCGTAAGTGTCCCTGCAAGCCTAGATTTCATTGTTCTTAAAGGTATATTAAGTTTCATTACATTTGTAAGAAACTAGTACAACCAGCAATATGAAACAAGATCTTTTTTCTTATAATTATTGCTTATGTTTATAAACTTATGTCCTTAATTTGTTATCTTAAATGAAATAGAATATTTTCCTATCATTTAATCTATGTACCTAATCACCCACTTAATAAATTGGATGCTTTTAATTGAAACCTGATTATAATGATAGTAATATGATTTTCAAGAATGTTGTTTCTTGAAAATGAAATAAAACTCCCAAATGCCCAAATCAGATTATTCATTAGGTAATCAGCTATTTCATGACAAATTTATCTGATTAGAATCCTAGAAAAATAATAGGATTGAGGTAACAACAATATTTACTTATTTGTTAATAACACAAACACATTACTTTATTTATAATACTAATAATTTATAAGAATAATTCGGAGGAGCCTAATACTAAGCCTGAGACTTATAAACTTATGTTGTGGTCAAGATTTATTATACAGCATATGGCAACATTCTGGAGTAAAATGACAAACTTCAAGTAAAACCTTGTCACTGTCTTATTTCATTAACAGAAGTACAAAAGGTAGTTAGCTATCCTTAAAAACTACTATGTTGAAATCAGGTCAGTTGAACTTATGGAATGTAGGGCGGGATAATCTTAGCCCAGCGTCTGCGCAGCCCTGAAACTTCTTCCGTTGCCGTATCGTAATGGAATATAACTATCTAAATGGTTACTAGCTAACTAAACTGTTTTTAAGTAACTTCGTTTGGTTTTGTTGTAAGTGTACATAACCAAATCATACAGAAAACGACGATCGAAAATGCGATATAGATATACAAAGTTTTATTATATTGCAATGGAGCTTTCACATGTTTCCGTTCATGCCAATGCAGTTCACATAATTTATTTTTAATCAAGAATACGGGTTCCGGTATGTCGACTGCAAAAATCATTTCACACGCAGTCACTTACGCAATTGTATTCTGCAATACCTAACTGTTTTTATGCGTTAATGCACACGCTTTGCCGTTATTCTGAACACTCCATATTGTTAGAAGAAAATTATTTGGGTAATGTATGTTGATGGTGGTTTAGAATGGTATTTTCTGTTTGGACGCGATTCTAACAAACACCCACACGTTTTCTTCAATGTGTTAAATGGTTGTCTCACAAAAATAGTACGACTTTTACCTATAAGATTTCTACATAACATTTTTAAGCTGTGACTTCTATTTATTTTTGTTTTACAGAATCCATCGCAAGCGGTTGCCGTTAAAGTCGTGACGAAGAAAGGTTTACAAAAGGCTTCAGAGATCCTCGTGAAAGAAATAAAGATTCTGCGCGAACTGACTGCCCTTCATCATACAAACCTTGTCGCTATGCATGACTGCATGGACAGCACTGCCTATGTTTACGTTGTTATGGAGGTAAGTTTATATACTTCGTGAATAAGTCTATTCCAAACAGTCTTCTAATAACAAAGCGAAATTGTAATAAAGCTTCTCAACACTCGTATAAGTACAGTAGGTGTTCCGTGTTAATACATAAAAACATCGAATACTGAATAAATTTTTAGTTTATTTAAATTAGCATGAATATTTTAAGTGTTCCGGTTTATGCAAATAAAACAGTTTAAATGTAGTTAAAACGAACTGAATAAACCGCGCATTATGTTCAGTATAGGGATGAAATTAACACACAATATGAATTAAACGCAATCGCATTGTTAATTTGCTGGTCTGTTTGAGTTCAACAATAACCAGGAAGTCGTGAAGTGGTTAGCTAGTGTTAGGTGCCGTCCGTAACCCACTGGCCTTGCCCTTAATCCGTTTGCCGATAACGAATAACGACACGCTATCGTACGCATTAAGCAATCGTCATTTGCCTATATAGGCCTTTATGCATTTTGTTTCCAGTTTAAAAGCGATGTATTCACACTTAATGTTGTATTATAACCATTGACTCAAGCAAATACATCTTGCAACGATGTTTACTACCCTATCGTATAGGCACTGCGTGTTTTCAAACGCGTTGTCGGTTATTTGTTAAACCGGGTTTCCGGTGGTTACTCATATTCCGAGATAGTGCTTCACTGTTTTCTAGCTAGGTTTTGTTTAATATGTTGCAAGGGGACGTAAGTAATCGTAATCCTATAACAATGCCATACACACAAACATAATATTTATTATAAAATGATATAATCATAAATTATAGTTTGCTTGCAATTTGTCGCAATCAATACATAACCAAAAGCTTACATTACACAACGAGGCAAAAGTAGCATTAAATAATTAGCAGTTATTCTTAATTCCTATCATACATAGATACAGAACATAATGTTCTTCCGTGTCGCCTCGCGTTGTCTGTTTTAAAACAAGGTCAAACCATCGTTGGCTCACCTCTTCATTTCGTTATAAAGTGGCAAAAATCTAGTTTTTATTTTCATTTCACCTTTATGCTCAGATAATTTATGCATCCGTACATCTTAAAAAAACTTGTAAACAACTTTGTTTACTATTATGTTTATCGGTCATTTCAACTTATTGTGCAAAAACAGCACGTTATAAGTCGATGTCCGGAAGTCTGAAATATTGAACTGCGCATTTTGTGTAAGTAAACGAAAACGCGATAATTTTTATATATATCTACTGTTTTGATAAGAAATATTTTACGCGTGCAAATCCACGCGCGTAAAACGTGGTGTCTAGTCAGTAGTGTCTACTCTAGGTCACGCCATCAATCAGCCTAAATTGATACAACTTGGGTCTCGAGATAAAACACGTTTGGCGAATTATAATTTTAACTGCGTATTTTGTTGTCTGCATATGTCGCCAAAGATATGTATTCTACAGTTTTTTAAGTACCTACACAGAAAATAAACGATTACGCGCTTTTGCGTTGCAAGTTACAATGAATGTGATTCAGACGACGAATATTTAAAACAACATCCATTTATTAAAATGGATCAGATCATGGTACATCCTCACTTCGGTTAGGTTTATTATTAATCTGATTAATGTTACTTCATTCATATTATTTATGTTAACATAGATACAAAATATTATTGTAAGAATCAATCAATTTATCCAAATATTCTGTGGCTGTAGATACTGCAATATTGTTGATATAGTATACTGGCCCACTAACCTTTATATCACTGATGACTAGTCAACCCGTTTCTCGTGACTACAAGTTTTACATCATAATGAAATGTTGAAAATGTAAGAAATACAGAGTACTATCTGATAGGAGCTTATTAGACTCGCTGAAGTGGTAGACAAATAAACCGTAATACTTCATCAAACCCGTACTTGATTAGTGAGGATAAAAATAAGACCGATCTTTATTTAACATAAAGAAATCTAATTCAGGGTATTTATAAGTAACGGACATTAAAAGCTGTATTTATGTTGAACTAAGGTTCACTCGTGTAGAAACTTGCCGTGCCACGTTTCTCTGGATCACCGTCATTGCACGTGCAGCATGCGTCTGCGCCTCGTGGATGTTAGATCGGCGCGATAGAGATAATTGCGCATAAAGTGACTGTACCCGCAATATCTGGGACTAATGAATTCATTATAGGCCACGGAGACGCCCTCTTATCGTCTTTGTTTATAAGCGCTTGACTTGTGTAATGAAGCATTAAATATTATGAACAAAATTCTTAGCGATAAAATAATCATAAATCGGTATTAATAAAATTACTTAGTCTATTATAATTTTTAGAACAAAATAAAATGTATTAAATGCGTTTAGTTATAACCAACTCTTTAGTTAAACTAATTAGTTAACATTTTAATTTTTAATCGTTTCGGACGGTGATAAGACAGTTAAATTGATAATTAATTTTTCACGCTCGCCTGTTTTCGTTCACTCATCAAAGATGCTAAAGAATTCCAGTTATGTTGATCTACTGTTAATTTCGACATAATCACATACCTGTGTGATGAAGTATATATGTAAAACGCTACGATACGTTTTTCGTTTATTTTTATTTACATACCGCCTACCTATAATAGAATGTCAAGGGTAAACATATATTTGGTTCCAAGACTCGTGTTGCTGCGTAATAGCCGTATGTACCTACGGCTTAGTATAGAAAGTTCATTAGCCTGTATTTTTTACCTGTCATACCTGCAACAGACCATGACTCGTTCCTCCCTACTAATTCACTGAAGTACAAAGACCCTATTTGTCTTATCTAGTTTTGTTACAGCTAAAAAGTGACCCGGAACGATTTTTGTTACCTGACGATTGGGATTGCACTTTTTCTGGTATTGGAAAACATAAAAGTTAGATTATTTTGTTTCATTCACTGATCACAGATTCTTTGTATTGAAATATTATTGTATGATATATTAAATGTGGCCAAAAAAATTACAATTGTTACAAATGCACCGCATATACTACGACGGCTCAAGTTTGCGTTAGAAGGATAACTACAAAGACTGTAAAATAAAGAAAAGTAAATAGCAGAACTATAAGTTTACATTTTCTCTATTTAAAAAATACTTGTATTTTCAGCATAACAGGCCTTTAAAGCATAATAAATCATTTAATACAATTTAGAAAAGAAAGGTCAAATTAGAGATTTACCGTTTTAAAGTACACAACAAAACACGTACTTTTTACGTAAATGGAGTGTCGAGTTATCAAGGCAATCTCCGCGAATTACGCAATAACAGACAGTCAGTCTGTCAGAGCCCACGTGCCAACATAATAACATATATAACACATAATGACAATACATGAATATTAATGACGGTAAAATATATATGAATACGGCCATTGAGATGATAATTCAGTATTGCCTCATATCTTGATTATTAATGTTTAAAATATATTTTGATGAATATTGACCTTTTTAAAAAACAAAAACTTGATTCTTTCAAGGTAGTCGTTCTTTTTTACAAATTTTTAGAGCGTTTATCGGAATTTTCCAAATTAAGAAAAAAAATTTACATTTTTATAAGTTTTTCTGCAATTATTACAAACGTAGGATACTCTTTATATGGCACACAAGAGGTTATACATGTAATAGATAGTCATTATTGCCAGACTGATTGTTGAAATACCCTATTGCACGTGGCAATATTAAAAGGTCCTTGGATACACTCAATAGGGCTTCATAGGCACTCGTTACGTTCGCAACGACTACAAATTCGTTTCAACAATAGATACATTACGTCAACTCTAAGCTTCCGTCCAATTAAAGTATTTTTGAGGGAAAGTTTTAGTCAAGAAACTTAATGAGAAAAATCTTATGACTGTTTCGTTTGCCTAATATTTGTTTTACATATTAATACATAGTAATAATTTTAGCTGGTTGAACTATAATATACCTACGTAAATTATATGTACGAGTAATAAGCACGAATGATTGCGTCAACCAAGCCAGTTTCTCTGATATTACTCGAAGTAAGAAAGTGAGGCCCGGAACTTAATTAATTTGAAATGAATAGATTTTTATGCTTTCTTTTTTAATGTATTTTCTATTTAAGTTTTTTGTCCAACTTAAAATTATTACTTTATTTATTATGATATTATTATACCTTTAACACACGTGAGCCGACAGTGGTATATGGTGATTATATATAAAAGCGTGACCTACACGAAACCCGACTGTATCGTTTTACGTACGATTAAGAATTTAAGAATGATGAATTGTAGAATACTCAATATGGTGTCAGATCGCCTGAGGTGTTCCGAAGATTAAAAATTTTGTACCAACGTAAACCCTTGACAAAATTACAAAAAATCAGCTTACAAGGTTTTTATCAAACGTTTATTCTATAAATCATTTCCTTTTGCGTCGTGTTGGTGACTACAAATATACGAATACTTCTTGTATTGCATTAGCATTCTTATTATAGATGTAAGATCACTTGTACGAATAAAATCTATGTATTAAAATTTTATTATATTCTGTGGAACTATGTTTGTTTATATCTCTATAACAATTATCTCAAGCACATTAATGAGTTCTCATGCGCATAGACTATGATTATCTTGAATCGGTGCCAGCTTTGTATACCTACTTATAGTTAAGTGTGGTACAAATATAAAATGGTTACTTTAGTATTAGAGGAAGTTATATAATTGATCTATTAAACTATTAATTCAGGTCCAGAATTAAGATCATAACTTTTATGTTGTATCGCTCTATTTTCTCAAACGCTCGCAGTTTTGTGTAAAACGCGTCGCCCACGTTATAGGGATCAGAATTCCACTAATTACTCATACGAGTACAGACTCACTATTTTCATAAATATGTGAGAAATTTAATTATTTTATACATTTACTAACTGGATTGCTTACGGTACCGTCGAACGAAGAAAACATATTTTTGCTTATTGTTGCTGTTTTCCTGACCCCCTTTTATTGACAAACGCCACTTATTACTTTCTCTTCTTTTGGGCAATCATAATTTTTAGCATATTTATTTTAATACATATTGATGATAAAAATAATGTTAATGTGTAGAGTAATTTATTGACTTATGTTTATTCCATCTGAATTAATAGAAGCAAAGAAAATAATGAATAAAAAAACATTACAAGGAATAAAAAAACCTAATTTATTTATACAAATAATTACATATTATGTATTGTATAACAATTATTTACACGATAAGTTCTAAACTCCTATACCCATAAAGCTGTCCGTAGGTTCTAAATAATTAAATAAATATAATTAGGGTAACATTGACACTACATATTGCCATCATAAAAAAGATTGATCAAGTTGATTACAAAGATCATAGATATTTTAAATATTAGTAACAATCTTTTTCATTACATGTCATTTCCTTGTTCAGATCACGCACATATACAACACTTTAATATATAAATCCATTAAAACAACAACTTCCATATCTAGGTCCATGGTGATTACACAATAAGTTATTAAACTGGTAATTTATCGTTGGTTTTTTCCTGTAACGGTATTTCTTCAGGTGTTGTGCCGTTAATGGTAGGTGTACGGTCATTTGGTCGAGGTGCGGAACCAAACCTCTTTTTGATAGAAGTCCAATTCTTCTTAATCGCTATTACGGCTACAACAACAATCATACTAGCAATGACAATTCCTATCACGCTTCGGTCAACACCACCTCCGGCCTTTGTTATTTCCGAAGTTTTCGCACCTATTTTCACTTCTGTCTCTTCTTCATGCGTGTCCGTTGGTGCTTCGACAAGAGTGTTAAGAGTTTTATGACTAATAGGTGCTTCATTAACAGCAGCGCGTAGCGAAAACTCGGTCGCGCTTGAACTATTTTCCGGTATTGTGGTGGTAGTTAACACCGTGGTTGTGTCTGGTGTCGTTGATGGGCTTGAAGTTGTTTCTTTAGTGCCCTTGTTAAGGCTCGCTTCTTCGTTGTTATCAAAAGATATCATTCCTGGTAATGCTGCGCCAAATAGGTCCGTCACATCAGGACAGTCGTAACTCTGTTTTTTACATGTTTCTGTACAAACAGTCTCCAAAGATGCCTTAAAAGATCTACATAGATCTTCAACAAGATCCGATGATGTACTGGGAAGAGTTACCTTGCGCAGGGATTTAAGTGACGAAAATAGTTGTGGTGTTAAAGTCTGTAACGTAAATATATATTTATTATACTTTATTGAGCACACTTTCAATATTTTACTTTTTACTAACGAACTTTTGTGCCAATGCCAATACAAATTAGAATAAGATATACCTATAATAAGTGTTATGTATTATAATTATAAATAGACTATGAGAAAGAACACTTTATTTAATAACATACTCATATGCTGAATTTCAGTTAATATTGGTTTTCTTCTTTCTACACCTAAAGGTATTCTACTAGATTTATAAAGTCTACGTTATTACATATATATGTATTTGAAAATATAATAAAGAGGAAACGTACCGTGCGTATATCATTTCCTCCTAAATCGAGTTCTTCCAATTTATTTAAAGAAATACTGTTTTTTAAATCTTGAGGATATTCAATTAAACGGTTGCCTGCTAGCTTCAATGTTATTAATTCAGGTAGCTCACTGATTGACTGCAATGTAAAAGTCGGTTAAGAAAATATCACAACGATCCATAATAATATGACAGAACAATAGTACAACTATACTTACACCTGCTGCTAACTCCATTATTGAGTTATCATTGGCATTTAAAATTTTCAAATTTTTCAACGATGAAATATCTCTCGGTATCTCAGTGAGTTTATTATTGTTTAAATTTAATGTTGTGGTTCTTGTATCAATAGGTGATGGAAACTCCGTTAAAGAATACCCAGCGCAATTGACAACTAAGTTGTTTTCTTCACCTTCAATGCTACAAAGACAAGGTTTTGGACATGGTATTTCCTGGGATGAGTTTTCTTCCTGCTTTTCTTCATCAATGATTGGGGGATTAGTATGAGACAAACTTTCGTTATTCTCTAAATTTACTCTGCCAGATGAAGAATTATTTTCTTGTTCATCTTGACCGATCAGGGTAGGGCTTTCATTTTTCCTCATTTCTTCTTCATCCTCGCTATCTACCGGTGCTATAATGGGTTCCATTTGTGGCATGATCAGCATTTTTGTACTATCATGTTTTTCTTCGATGCCAGCATTACCACTTCCCTCAATTACATCTTCAATTCTGGCCTCAATCTCAGATGGAATTTCTGTTACGTCGTTTTCTTGTGCTACTAATCCTTGTCTGAAATTTAGGAATTACAAAAATTTAACATGTGACTAAGTAAAAAGCAATAGGTATCTTTTATCATAACGAACTGACGTACTAGTGCTAAGTACAGAGATAAGATTTCTGATAACTGCAAGGGCGTAACTACATTAGATCTTAAGACAGGCTTTTTGAAGATTTTACGTAATTTCTTGCAAAAACGTAGTAAGGAAAATTACAGTTTTTACTCTATATTTCGAATGCTGATATTACTACCGATGGTTTGTTTACACACGTGTTTTCTAATTTAATAAGTCGCGTTATAACTTATTTTACAAATTCAAGTAGTATTTGTATTGTACTACAGTATTATACTATACGGAATTTTAATTAAATACTTTTTTTTCTTATTAAGTGATCTACTGTGATACAACATTATCTAATGATTATAATGAAAAAGTATTACTTACACAAAACACGACGCAACGAAAAAGAACCATATAAACTTCAACTCCATGATCACCACAAGTCACTATAGCCTATACCACTTTGTATATTATAGTGAAGTATCTTACCAACGCTAGTAGCATTGGGTCGCAGTGCCCGTAACTCACTGACACTTATTAACTATTATCAGTTTACGATAAGGTTACCTGCTGCATGTGAGGCTTATCGCGAATCAAACCCGATAACAACTGTCCTCGTCAACAGCGAAAACCTATTTCCTTTTTTCATTAACACTGGGAGGCAAGTTTATTCAAAGCAAATTAACTACAATAAACTTACTAATGCTTAAATCAGATATTGTAATTTGATCACCTTTGATCTTAAAATGTTGACATGTCATAATTGTTTCCGAACACTTATCAATTCATATTTATCAGTTATGATGCACAATATATATTTTTGTCACCTGTTACTAGAAATGTCTCAATCAGAAGGAAACACAATAAAACAACGTAACACGCTCACAATTCCGATTATAGTTTATCTATTTTAGTTACACATTGAATATTCCAAGAGTTGATTTTCTTCTCGTACTTTCCATCTTTCCATTTCTGGATCTTTTCTGATCTATAATTTTGTTCCCAGTATTGCAATGGCGGCGACCTCGCAGACTATTTACAAACGAATAGACTGCTCAGCGAGGCTACCATACGAACCTTCCTGCGGCAGCTAGCTGAGGCCATGCGAGCTATTCACGCCAAGGGGATCGTCCACAGAGATTTGAAGCCGCAAAACATTTTACTGACACACAACGTGGCTCCTCCACGCACACCACATCCCGAAGAAATCACACTCAAGATTGGTAAATTTTGTTTTAATCTTCCACGGAGCAATTAAGAATTCACACCTGCGGTTGGGCTATCGTAATGTTTTTTTTATTTAAGGTTGTTAAGGCAGTTATCATATTGTTACAGTATCAATAAAATATGCATAATACCCAATTTAATATAATATGTACTTTAATATTTTTAACAGCGGATTTCGGTTTCGCACGATTCCTAGAAGAGGGGAACATGGCCGTCACACTCTGTGGATCACCTATGTATATGGTAATAGTGTTATGATAACTAGTTGCTTTCATTTGATTTTTATCGTACATTTATTTTGTATTAAATTATTTTCGGGAATGAAAAGATCATATTGGAAAATAATGCTCAGTGAGTGAACTTATCTGAAATCATATTTGATGGCGATCATAATAACTAAAACTGTTTTACAGGCACCTGAAGTAATTATGTCCCTAAAGTATGATGCAAAAGCGGATCTTTGGAGCTTGGGCACGATCGTCTATCAGTGCCTAACGGGCAAAGCGCCTTTCCAAGCGACTACGCCACATGAACTCAAAGCTTTCTACGAAAAAAGCATCGATTTACAACCCAAGTAAGGAAATCTTTTACTGTTTGAGATTTCTGAATATATGAAATCATTAGTAACATCTAATAGTTGTGACCACGTGTTCATAAATATCTTCTAAAGTTACGATAAATATTGCCCCAGTAATTTGACTTACACCTATGGACAATTATCTTGTATAAAACACCACCAATGCGTATCGGTAACGCACAACACTAGTCCTGGGTAGTTATGACCACCCCATAAATCACATTTACATTTATTCTACACAGACGGAACAGACAAAAGAAGATCTAGTTAAGATACACGAGTTTAATGAGATATGATTATAAAGTATTCAAGAAGTTTTTCTGGCCTTTTTTATCGTCAGGTACACCTCAAGGTCTACGGTTAGACGAATTTATAACACTTCCTTATAGTGGAACAAATTGAGCTATTTCTCTTAATTGATATCGCGCGTGAAACAAGCACGAATGAAACACACGGGTCATTGTACACCACCATTTACGTACAGTTCAGTTATTTTAGATATTCTTAGCTTTAAACGGATATATTTTGACTTCGTCAACAACGGTAGAATTAATAATAATAATGTTTATGTCACTTTTCGACACTTTAAAATATTTGTTTTGTAAAAAGTTTATTAGACACAAATTAAAATGAATTAACACAACATTTTAATAAATTAATTGAGGATTTTACTGACGCTTAGCAAGTTTGTTCTAAAATAAATTATATAAAAAGTAGAATTTTGTGTCCCTTTCTACTTACTAGCGTCTAAAGGAATTCAAACAAATTTCAATCACTCTACCCCTACGTATATAATTATGTATTAATGAAGTTTTTTTCTTACATATTATTAGTTTCTTTCTTATATTTAGTTGGTTTAAACATAAAAATGGGTATAAAATCTAAAGTTTTATACAATACATTTAATGTAAATTTCTAAAATAAAATATTTTAAAATCGAATTCTTCGCCTTACCAAGCGTTTCAAAACTGTATATGCTTAATGATTATTTTTAAAATAATAGCTTATATAAATTTAATAATAAGTTATTCAATTTTCTTTATTTATTTTTATATTCTATAATATATGGCTGGGTAATGAACAGATGTAAGACAGCTGATGAGACACTAGCAGCTGCTTGCATTACTGTTTTTAATTTGCTGCCTACAATTCCTAGAAAAGTCCAGTTGCAAAAGTCACTTTAACCTTAATTAATTTCAATACTTTAGTAAAAAATTACGAAGACTAATAATCTTAACAAGCCTCTCAAGTCCTGTATACCAGAAGTACATAGGCATTATTGTCTTAATTACAGCTAGGTAATTATAGGTACAGACAAGTATTTTATAAACGTCTTTGATGAAATGCTTACGTACGCAGCGACGACACAATTATGGCTTCATAATCCCATTCATTAAGAGCAATTAAAACTTTTGAATTATGACTTGTCTCTTATATATACTTTTGTATGAAATGCGCAAATCAAGTGTAAAAACATATACTTTCGCGTCAATCATAGATCGGACTTTCACGTCATTATTGCGCACATATAACGTCATTATTCTCGCACGTCTACTTGTGAGTATTATTTAATGACAGCATAATATCAGATTATGCTTCGATGGATTCATTAGAAAACGTATCCGGTGATTTTCCTAACCTTGTGGTAAGTAATGATTAGTTTTGTGACATATACGTAATCCTTTTGTAATTTTTAGCTATTTTTATAAATTCTATAGTTTGTCGGATTATATGAAATTTGCTATAGATGCGCTGAAATCCCCCATTTCTGTGTTTTAAGTGTGTTTTACACTTGCGAGCCATTTAAACAATTTTTGTTTCCGCGGATTTCAGTTCTAATCTAAACCACAGAGGAGACAGAGATTCACCAACGCGAACAAATTCGTTAAGTTTTATGGAATGACAAATAACAACATATATTGTTGTGTCTTGTTATTTTTATAATGACAATTTTAGATATAATGTTCTTCTATTATTTGGGGCTTCTGGCATTTGTAGTCTGCTAGTGCTAAGTGTCATTAAACCTAAAGTGTAACGTCAAATCCTATTATGACTTATGTCAATTTTAAATAAACAACTATTATGGCGTAACTATAATGTATACAAGGTTTTGCAACGCCTCATGTAAATATAGTGTATATTTTTAAGTTTCGTTACACAGAACGTTTTATATATGGGATATTAGTTAGAGCCAAACGGTAGGATCAAAGTGTCCTATCAGAGACAGAGAGGTCCTGTTTGCATCCCCGCATATAGTGCAGGCTCTTTGGGACATCATAATATGCTATGAACCGTGTTGAATGAATTAAATATGAATTTCAGAATGCCAGCCGGAACGAGCCCCGAACTTTGTAACTTGCTGATCGGTCTGCTTCGGCGCAATGCCCGCGAACGCATGCCCTTCGAAGTCTTCTTTAACCATCAATTCTTACAAAGACCCAGGACAACGTCCATCACAAGTAAGCTATTTATAAATGTTTATCGCCTTCAGGTTTTTTTTGTTTCGCAAATCACGTCATTTCTATATCATTAATCGAACGTTGAATTTATAAGTGACTTTGTAATAACAATTTTTTATACTAACTCTGTACAAAAAATCGTCTATTTATAAAGTTATAAAGATTTTTTGACGGTAGTGTGTCGCTTATATTTTCAAAATTATTTCTTCCATTACATTACTTACATTAAATTACTTCCAATGTCAAATTAGTCAATTATGCAGTAAAATCGATTTGCTTATTCAAAATCAACACGTATCGTATCGTGAAACTTCGATGCATAATGATTAAAGAATGAATCATACTGACACAAATAAATCTTATTATTTCAAAATGTGTTACACTATCCTATATTCCGAGTTTTAATCAGACCTTGAATGATAAATAACTATTCAGTTATTTCTAGTCGTTTGTGTTCTCCAATGTTTTTGATAAGTATCTATGGGATATGAATAGGTTTCTGCAAATCATTGCGATCGTTGACCTGACATGCTTTAATGAAATGTCAAGAGGTCACCACTCTTTGTATAAATCAATGTTTTGATAATTTAATATATGTAGTGATTTTTAAGACATATATATAAAATTATCTGAACAAACCCAAGCCGATAAAAAATGACGTAAGTTAAATCGATTTCTTATCTCCATTCTCTCAAGATCGTGCGTGTTAGAAAGTTGTTGAACATTTTCGTTTCATTGTGCATTTATTCAAGCGCTCCTCAAATGGTAAAGAACTAATTTGATTAGAAGTTCATTGAGGCAGATCAATTTATATGTCGCTGAATATCAGACCTCCAGCGATAAATGTATGGTTTATTTTTGCATTGAGCTACGGCATTTCGGTTACGATTACGGTATATTGTTCAGGTTTGGACTCTGATCTACCCGATATATTGGAGAGTGATAACGAAGTTCGTCCCGAAACTAACTATATCCTAGAGGAGTCGTGGGAGAGCCAGGGTATAACATTGATTTAATTCGCTTTGCATGGGGCGGGTGATAACAATTTTACGCATCATTCATCTCAAAGCGTTACCCGCATGGCTTTGTGATTTTATTTCTGTTCCATAATTTTCATGAAACTTGCTAATGTCTTGGAATAATATACTCCTTTACGTTGTATGTTTTGCCTTCATTTCAGACGACGAGCTTTTTCGGTAGCATTTTTTTGTACAATGCTTGCAAGATGCTAATAAAAGATTTCTGCGTTGTATGAATATAAGAACCGTGAAGATATTGGGAGTTCACGTACGGTACTATAGCCGAGTTGTGATGTTATTTACTTGAATGATAAATTATTTGCCGATTATAAGTATGTTGCACGTTATTGACACTACCGGGAGTTTCAAAGTTAATTTCTTACTTTTATGTAAAATTTATTTATATTATTTTGATCGCTTAATTGAAGAAAAATATATGCATTTTAATTTTAATGACGTCAATAATAGTATTCGACTTGCCTATAATTGGAGCATGAAGATTGAAGATATACATACAAGTGCGCCCGCTATCAGATAACATAGCGGGGCTCAATCAATTTATATGTGCGTGATGGCTTCGGCAGCACAGAAATCCATTGTTATGTTTTGCCTTGTGGTAATTATCTGTGGCATTTGGGATAGTTATCATTATTTTCTCTTTAGGGACAGCATCGCACACTACTATACCGAGTGGGCTGAGTCGTGCGTCGGCGCAGGTGCCACACCCCACGCCGCAGGCCCAACCCTTACCCGTTGCACAACCCACTAGGAAGTCTCAACCTGTCTCATCTGGTAAGTATTTTTAACACACCTGGTAAATGCAGAAATTGGAAAAATATGTTGTTGACTTATACATTTATTATTGTTAACAATTAGGATGGACATAAAATTGTATTGTTCTGCTGGTATGAAAGACAAATAAGTGTCGGCAACAATCTTTGGTTCCTATTGATTTTGGTTTGCAAGTATCGCAACTCCCAAATAGCAACGTCTGCCCCGAAGTCGGGGTTTGGTGCAGATACATTACAGCGTAAGATCCTTGATCACATGAATTTGTTTAGTTTAATATATTAGCTATTGAGTTTTTTCTTAAAGAATTAACTTGTCAGCGTAACGAGCTTATGAAATAGACTTCTCAAGAATTATTCACTCTGCTTCTGAAGTTCTTGTTCTATATAAAAAGCTATATTATAATAATGATTGCAAATTTAACTCGGACAGAATAATGGCAGTGCCCGCAGATAACCCTTTTTGTTGGAAACTGAGCGTGCTATATCAATTTTATTATAGTAATAATTCATTCGGCTGCACTATTTTGCAATATCTATATAATTTTCCTGTCAAGTGTAACTAGCCTTCATCGCAAAAATAATGATAATAATGTATTATTTACAGCTTGTAATGTATGACACATTGATATGAAAATACAGTTTTACTATATTTGATTAGCATTTTTTTAAATAATTATATTGGATTGTCTAGACTAGTCTCACTTTTAAGCAATAACTTGTGAGTAAAATTAAGTTTTAATTAAAATTATTTATCGACGAAATCTTTAAAAATAAAGTTAAAAGCGAGCCTTGTTTCTTTAACGTTTGAATATTTGTTATTATAGTCGTGTATAATAATTATTTTTGTACTTAAGAGTAAACTATTTATAAACAAATTTCTTGACGTTTCGCAATTTGGCGCGGGAACAATACAAATGTCGACTCAGTTCGACCTTCGTGTCAGCTGAATTATGTATTCAGTGCTCAGGAAATCTATCGACATCTCAGATAATATGTGTGACTAGCTGCCCCCGTGACTACATTTCACTTTAATATGATATTTTACTTAGCCTTTTTAGTAGCTACCTGCCAAAATATGAAACATTTTACTAAGCTATCCCATAGAGTTTGCCGTTCCGGTATAAAAATATTTTTTTCAATTTTTCTGTCCATAAAATCTTCGTCAGAGTTCAAGGAATGAATAAATAAAAATAAATTGAATTGGTCCAGCCATCTTTAAGTTTTGCGCTTTGCAATATATTGTGCAATTAATTTTTATTTATATAGATACGGTATTTTGTAAACAAGGAAATATCATTTCAGCGCTGAAATGTTGAACCTTAAACCTTTATGGCTCTATTACTAATACACTGATGTATTTCTTTTAAAAATAAAATATATATAATTAATAAAAACAAAAAAAATACGGGTTCATTGATTTGTGCCTTTTATACCGTAACATTTTTTGTTTTAGTCCAGGAAACGAACTGAATATAGCTTTTCATACACATTACATTCGATAAACTAATAAAATAAAAATTTGTTAGACGATTCATCGGAAGCAGTGTGGGCAGGCGCTGAGGACTTTGTAGTGGTACATCCAGAAAGTGGTTCGGGCGAATATTCTGGCTCATCATCTTCTGAGGCAGCGTCCAGGCCGCGATCTCTGGCCCTACAAGCCACATCCCCCCATACGCGACATTCGCCCCACTCGCCCCATTCTCCCCATTCGCCTACTCACACTATTGACCAAGTCGGGCCGTTAAGGGTAAGTACTATAACGTGTTTCTTTTGGATATAAAATTTAGTAGTAACATCAAATTATATTTTACATACAGCAAAGATATAATTTGCCTAAGTATATTATATTAATTTGCTTTTTAATAAAAACTAGGCGTGAATCATGTTCCTTAAAGTTTTCTTCTTGGCAGTTATCGAAAAAAATTACTGCTAAAATTCTTAAACACGTTTTTACACATAAACCTAAAATCTATTTTACAATAAGTTCTTACTTGATTTCTAGCAAACTGGTTATATCGTGAAATTCTATAGTAGGTATTTGTATCTTGTAGTAGTTTTGCGGCAACTTTTTTCCTTTAAAATGTTGTGTTACATAAGTTTCATATAACTCTTGCGCTATTATTCTTTATAACACCTCGTTTATTTTTATAATTAATGCATTATAATTACATTAAACAGACGTTAAATAAAATGTTTATTAATTATGTAATTACTGTACACGAGTACTGCGTCGCGATGAATCAGTTTATATAAATGAATTAACATAACCAATCTTGATAATTCATTGGTAATTTATTTTCCTTATACACAAAAATAGTGTGAGTAAGACATGCAAATGTTCTAATACGTTTATAGACTGTTATTTTTTAGTTATCGTTTATCAATACTTTTTTATGGTGTCAGTGCCTAACAACCCGAAACAATTCTTCTAGACCTTTCCATGTTATAATTACAAAGATAAATAGGCGTTACGTTTTACGTTTTTTAGCTAATGATATAATTTGATTTATTAATAAACTAGCGCACCCGACAGACGTTGCCCTGTACATAGAATCTAAATTATTTTAGAAATTATCTTGATTACACTCAAATTTAATCAAAATCGGTCCAGCCGTTTAGGGGTTTAATAACACACGCGCAGAAGATTTATGTATGTAATAGTTTATTCATTCAGTCAAATCTATACTCCATAGTAGTAACTAAGAAATTTTGTAATATATACCCAAGAATATTTGTTACATTGAACATTTACATACTACATAAATTACAATATTGTGAATATATAAATTGATTTATTTACTTATCAAAATAAATACATTTTCAGAATCCACTTGCTTCTAACACAAATGTACCTCGCTCGCAGCCAATAGACGTCTTGCGATCAAATCACAACCGAAATGCGACCAACATTGGTTCACTTTCTCCGCCTACCGTAAGTTTTATAGTTTTATTACAGCTTTATATTTTTGGAAAGATTTATTTTGTTAAAAATATATATTATTATACGATGCCGTTTAATGTTTATACTAATATTATTAAGAGGAAATATTAGTGTGTTGTGTGCCATTAGAACGCTTAAATGTTGATATGTAACAATTCTAATCTGAAAAAAAATGTCCAGTGAATTCGCTCGAAAGAGATAAAAACTACGCTTTAATATGTGCAAACATGTATAGAGGCTCGCATATAACGTTTTATCAAAAGTTGTTCGATATTAAAACTAACCCGATTAAAAATAAATGAATCCAATGTTAGCACCCAAGTTTTTGCTACGCAATTTTTCATCATAAAATAATATATACGTTTAAAACCTATTAAAGCTTAACACAATTTGAACATAGGTTCCATTCACAATGGGTACTCCGCCGTCCACACGACGTCGTCGCAGCGCGTCTGGGAGTTCCCCACCGCCCTCGCTTTGGCAGGTTTCGCCTACGAACGCTAGCCGTGAGTATAAAAATTCCATTAAATGGGAAAAGGGACAAAGCATTCAATAGCTATTTCATAAGAGGCAAACTTTATGCAGTCTCCGTATTAAACGAAGCGCGATTTTTTTTATGGTTAAGTACATTCAAACATAAATAGTTCTGTAGTTTCTCCACTTGTGATTTGTGTGTGAAATTGCCTAAATCAAGGAAATCTTCGGAATTTCGGAATGTAAAATCATCCAGTGGATGAAGTAGGTTTTAATTGATGGAAATAATTGGGCTAGGAGTCTTATTATTATTCATAACTATTAAATATTATAATTTTAATTAAAATATATATTAAATGTAAAAAATATATTTTTCCGTTACCAATTAACCTTTCTATTTATTTAACCTTGTATGATATCGTTTTTCTTTTTTTATATTGTGCCACGCATCATATCCGTAAAAGGCTGCAAATTATCAATCTATTTAAAATAACTTTTTCCTTTAGTAGTAAAATAAATACTGTTATTTACATCACAAACACAAAAATAAAAATAAAAAACCTAATAATAATAAATATTACAAGATGTAATTTACTTATAGTTAAAAGAGTATCTTAATACATATAGCCAATAGTAAAAATCCATCATATCATCAATAATTAAAACTTTTTTTTAGTATATTAATTTTAAAATATATTATAAAACTTTAGCATCAAAAAATCATGGTACTAAAATATTAATAGAAATAAAGAAACACTATATATTATATCTAAATATCATAAATCAAAGAAAAAATACGAAATGATGGTTTACTATTTAAATTTCATAATATTTGTTTCATATAATGTCAAGCATTCACAACCCGGGTTGTCCTAATAATACGTGCATGTATTCTCACACCTACCATCATGGAACTGGTCGGTTTTTCTTAAATGCTTTTTATTCATATAAGGCTCATCCCCGCCAGTCCCGCTGGCGTTGAAAGCAAGCGGTGAAGCATCTTCGCCAAAGCGTGCGTTACCGGACGCCTTACTACGGGCGCTGAAAATGCCACACGACCCGCCCGTTTATATCCCCAACTTGCAGGAGGAGACCATACTTGCCGTAAGTATATTGTCCCTTAGTAATCAGAGTACCTTACCTAACTCGATCGTGTAATGCTGCGATTAGATTCTTAAAGACAAGGTGCTTCTATTATGAGTTCTTGATAAGTTTTGAGATACTAACATAGAAATTGACAATTAATGATTTAATTACTTTTAATCATTATCTTACATTTGCATGCTAGTTTAATATGGCTGAATAATAAATACCACTTTAAGGAAAAAAATACATTTATTTATTTATATTATTAGGACGGCATTTATGCTTATATCAGCATAATTTTTCAGGAACATTATTTTGTAAACCTAATTTCTTTAGGTTTTTATTAATATATAACTTATTAAATAATTTTACTTTTGTACTAAGTTTGATAAATTTTTCATATTTTAATCTACTTTATATTCATAAATCATCTGTGTTAGATATGTTTTTTTAACTTCTGTAAACGCTTTGGTCTCATAATTCACACACACTCCCCATAAATTTTCATTAATATTTTCGCTCCTTAAAGTTTATTATAATGAAATGAAATAATGTTAACAGGAGGAGCACAGCAAGGTATTCTCTCAGCTGAACTTTGTGCTGATGCTGTCAGAGCTGCTCTCCGACCTCGCTGTATCTTGCGGCGCACCCATCGCCGCTCTTATGGACGCTTCCGATGGTACTGTACTTTAATATTTTAATTTAAATAAAAATTAACTTATTCTCGTTTTGTGAGTTTTGAGGGTAGTTGCAAATAATATTTTTAAGATACCCTCTTTTTATAAGAACTAAATCAGTGAGTTGTTCATCTTTATAATATATAGAACTCGTTCACCTGTTTTCTTTATACTATCATGGAAAAAGACCTACTTTAAATTATATAAATAATTTATTTAATTATAGACAATTGCCGCTAGATTGTTATTGGTCGCAATCAATGCGACCAATAACAATCGACCGAGCTATTGATCGTTAAATTTTCAGAAATTACTCTAACCCGCCGATTATTCTTTTTTTTTCAGAGCGTTGCAACGAGAGCGTCCGACTGGGTCTTCTGGTACAAGCAATGCAGGCGTTAGCGGCTGGCTTAAGGCTCGCGGCCGAGTGCTACCGCTCACGCAGTCTTCAGCCCACGCCACAAGTGCGGAGCGGTAAGTTTATTGATTAATTTAAAATGAATAGTAAAGCTATGTTAGTTTAGTGGTTTTTTTATTCAATAAACAAGAAAATAATAATGCCTTTTGAATACCTTTAACTAAAATACACTTTTATCTGATCAAAACGTGCTCATTTATGACTAGCAATTTATAATAATTTTGACGTTCATCTTCAAATTCGCTTACGTTCACCCATTTAAATGGCTATATATTTGGTTCAAAATAAGTTATTCCTAAATACCGTCATAACTTTTTAATGAGGCATAAGTGTATATTTGCAATAATTTCACATGATAGTTCATATTATTGTAAATTTCCTAAAAATATATAATTTTTATATACATTTAATTTTATATTGTCTTTCAGTGGTCTCGCTAATGAACGGCAAATACAAATGGATTGTGAATGAGTCGAGGCGTCTCCACGATGCGGGCGTGACGCCGGCAGTCTGTGATAAAATACTTTACGAACATGCTATAGAACTGGTAAGTAAGACTTAAGTGTGCCCATTTTGGTAATATTTTCGGTTGTTCAGGCAAATAGATGATTGATTTTTGAAAATGAGCTAATAACATTGAATAAGGAAGTGCAAAAAAATAGTAATCATAAAAAAAAATCAATGTTCTGTCAAAGTGAATTCAAAATTATTATAAAAACAATACTAGCAGACTCGGCCAAGCGTTGCTATGGCTAAGGTTTTTGTTATATTACATAGAAGTTAACTATTCATGGGAAACGGTAGGAGAACACTAGTCATGGGGACCACTATGCTTTTTTGGTGGTAATGCCATTAAATTGTAGCTTATGTGAAACGTTGGTACTTTCAACACAGCGCCATCTGTTAGAATTGTGACTATAAAATAATAAACAAATATTTTGCAATAAAATAATATTGCGGGTATAAATTAAGATATAAGCTATGCTATCTGTTAAGTTAGATCAAACTGCACACGGTGTGCAAATTTGATAGAAATCGGGTAAGTAGTTTAGGAGTGCATAGCGGCAAAAAGCGTGACGCGTAATTTATATATAATAACAATATATAGCCTAAATTTACGTCACATTTCGATTAAAAGAACACAAACTTTCACAAATCAAATAAAAATTTATTCAATCATATCGGTAATTATGTACATTTATGAATAGTAATATTAAAAAAAGAAGGATCGAAATTTACATTTACTACTAATTCCATAATCAAGGGCGTTGAGTGGGCGAGAAAAACTGGCAAGAAACTCTTCAATATTCTTTTTAATCGCCAAGTTTGTGACTTGACATAAAGCAACAAAACGTCATAATATCAAAGTAGCAAACGCTTATTATCAGAGGGAAAATAGAAGCACGCACTCAGTATACTATATATAGTGAGAACACCAACACGTTGTCGATCAAGGTTAAAACGTGTAAATGTTTGAAGTTATTAATCATACCACATACACGAGTTCAAGCGTCACCAGTAGCACTCGTATTAATATAGTTACTCCCTTATTCATATCTTAAACTAATTGACAGACAAATACTTAATACAGATTCTTTTTGAAACAGACTATAATTAAAATTGTGCTATTAAAATGTATATATATTTACTAGCCGACTCGGCAAACATCGTTTTGCCATGTAGATTATTTCTAGGAAACATTTTTTTAGTTCAAATAACTATCAATTATAATAAAAAATGGAGGTTGATCGTAGAGGAGTGAAAATTAGGGGTTGTATCTATTTATGTATGCTGTATCATAAAAGAATAAAAACAAAAAAATTGTCTAAGAAATTTTAAAAAAAATTGGGTGGACACCCCTTATCACTTAAGGGTTTGAAAAATAGATAGTAGTAGTAGATAGTAGTCCGATTCTCAGACTTACTAAACATGCATAAAACATTTCATAAGAATCGGTCGAGCCGTTTCGGAGGAGCATAGGAACGAACATTGTGACACAAGAATTTTATATATTAGATGAAAATGGTAAACTAACCTATTTCGTTAAGATAACAACACTGCCATGTCATATAGTAATCTTAACACTTAACATGAAAAAATTCAAAGTATAAAAGAAAATCTCTTAATAAATACATCAAATAACGCAATAATAGTTATATTAGTTTGCATCGCCAACGGGTATGGCGCTCTTTCCGCAGAGAATAACATTTATAAATGTTTCAGTGCCAAATGGCAGCTATCGAAGAACTATTCGGCGATGTGAAGGAGTGCGAGCGACGATACATGTCTGCACAAGTGTTGCTACACTCGCTGGTACAACGCCAGCCACTGCATCCACACCATCGGAACACGCTCTCAAAATGTAAGATCCATTTCAACACGAAATTAATGAATAAAATAACAGTTTCCTAACTTCAAAAGAAATGTTAAAATGGCATTAGTAAACAAACCCTATTTTTAAATATAAATTTTAGGTTTATCACGAATTGGGTTTACTTAATACATATTTTGAGCAGATTAAAAATATGACTAGGTGGATGGTTTCCTATATAGTTTGATACTGTATACTTTTGGAATATGGGTATGGGTATACACGCATACTTTATCATTTGACAGATATTTGAAGTTGGTTTGTTTTGTTTAATAGATCGAGATGCTGTACAAAGGCGGCTCAACTGCCTCAAGGGGCCGCGCAAACAAATAATGGACGTGAAATTAGAGGCTGGGATCTCATAATGCAATAAGATATCAACCTGTAGGGATAAGTACACTATACAAGATGAGAAGTGATTTTATTTTGTCCTTGAAACTGACTCGAAGTGATAAATATTATAAAAAAATAAAAAAGTGAAAGATATCAACAAAACAAATGTTGTAGTAAAGAGTACCAGAGATTGCAATAGTAAGTTATATATTTTTTTATGAGTATGTAGTTTTTTTTTTTAAGTAGCGACTGTAGTGGAACATTTTAGTGCAAATGAATACAGCTTTTCATAGATAAGTAGAAAAATTTATGTGTCGTACTCTTCAATTAATGGTTATACTTGGAAATCTGGTTTGGAACGATAGTACAAGGCACTTACATGTCCATTCAGTTCCGCTAACAAGAAACACTTTGCCAATATGTTAAATTTTTTTTATATATAAGTTTTAGAAATCAACTAAAAGATATGAAGAGGTAAATGTAGGTTAAAAATGTAGTATTGTTTTTAAAAACGCATGTCATAATTACTGTATTAACATATTAATAATACCTTTTATGTAGTGATATGAAAAATTTAATTACGAAGAATAAATCTCGATATGGACAAGATGGTATAGATCTCATTATCGACCAATAACAATATGGCATTTTTAGGTTAAGATATCAATAATGTTTTCAAAGTATTTTTAGGAAATTTTTCAGTATGTATTCGCACCTGTAATAGCCAATTGTGAAACTACTGTATGTTTATTTTTCTTTCCAAAAATGATCAATGCTTTATTGAAATAAGAATAAATAAAGACTGTTGTATTATAAAATTTTCGTTTTGTTTCAATAAATAGATATTTCTAACATCTATAAATTGTTATATTATTTAAAATGACATCCCATCCATTGACATTGTTTTCATGTGCATAGCTATCTATAGCTATTAACAATATACTCTTATATTGCAACAATACAGAAAGTCTGCAAAATAAAAAATTGTTTCATGAAATATGTACCTTTAGTATTAAGTCGTTGAATGCGCATGCGCAAATGCGTGTTATTGATGAAAGCTCCAGATCTAGGTATTTGTGATCATGTCTGTGTCTATTTAAATTCAGATGTTAAAAATAAATAATGTTTAAAAATAATAATTTGATTCATATGTATACATATATTCATAGGTTTTAAATCTTAGCTCAGCTATAGCTCTGTTTAATACAACACTTTTCACTCAAATTGTACAAAAATGCCAGATCCTTGTTTCAAAAATTTATATGGCTTCATTCTGTTCTTTCCTCGAACTGGTTGCAACATTACTTTATCTGGAGGAAACTCTTGTGTTCCCATTGTCTCTAACAATATGTCTAAACATGTTAACAGTTTGGTTATTTGATTTGATAGATTGGGCTTCAAATTATCACCTTGCCAATTGGTGTTTACATATCTCTCAATATCTCTTATATCATCATTTGTACCACTATGGTGGGTCCCATTGTAATGCAATGTTAAGGAGAACAATGGTGCTTTCTTTGGATAATCACTACTCAGTGCTACAAGAGCGACAAGTTTCGCTGATTGACGAGTAATTATAGCTCTGTATAACATATTATCAGGGTTCACTAAGCCTTCAGATACTAGAAATGCCGTTGATGGTGCTTGAACATATTCAGACCAACTCACTGATTGCCACTGAGTCATAGATCCAGATAATCTTACGGTGGCCATTTCTTTGGATGGTATTATTTTACCACATTCAAGATCTTGAAGCTCTTTCATTAGTTCTACCCTTGCTTTTAATCTTTTTTGTAAAGTAAATATAAAGTTTTCAACAGTTGCTACGCTCAAACTGGGACATAACTGAACATTTTTAAGATCTTTATGTTCATTTCCAATGGCAGCCATAAAATCTAAACCGCACATTCTCTGCGCCCAAATATAGGGTTTACCAATTTCAGGTATAATATGCTGAAATTCTTCAGAAATTCCTGCTGATTTGAGTAAAAATGAAGTAGCAGGATGAGGTGAATCAGAGCCAGTATCTCCAATATACAACTCATTTAGTACACAATTTCCATCTAAAACATCAGCAGCAGATATACCAGTGATAGGTTTTGGATGGTTCATAGTAAAATTAACAACAATGATTTTGAGATGCATTAAATATGAAAAGGTTAAATTTAAACCAGTGCCATCTGGTATTTTTACTGTTACAAGTACATGTAGTGGATGTTTTCTCAAAGCTTCCCTTTTCTTTGCATCTGCTTTTTCTTCTTTAGATATTTTTGCTGATCTATGATGCCTTTTCTTTTTCTCTCTTTGATCTTCATCATTTCCATCCTGGTCTGAGTCAGAATCGTTTGACACAACAAATTCATTGTCTATATTGTATGTTTGTTCTAATCGTCGGGCCTCATCTTCATCCCCAGATATTCCTGTAATAAAGATTCCTTTATTATTAATTTTTATGATTAGTACATGGCTAAGTAAGAATTTTGCATTGAGGTCAAACAATGAAAAATTCTTACATTTTTGTAATGTCCAAATAACAGTTTCATAAGACTCAACAAGTCAGTCTTATGAAATATTCACTTTATTATCATACTCATTAGTAATTATTTTTAATTTTTTACAATAATATTAATAATAATTTGCAAAACTTACCAACAATTACATTCTTTGCACCCAGAACATCAGCATAAGCGCTTCCATTAGCATATAGCAAAAACAATGGTCGTGGTAATAAGGTTGCCAGTTTAGATTCCTCCCTCTTGTCATCAAGCCTTAAAGCCAAGCATTCTTGAAGTGGTCTTGTTGCCTTAAGGACATCTCTTAAATGTGGTGCAAGAGCGTCCAAGCGAGACCTGGCAGCAGCTATTGCAGCAGCAACTCTTTCTTTTGAAGAAACCAACTCATTGCAAGCTCCAGCCAGTTCCCTTCGCTGGCGAAGCTCCCATTCTAATCTTGCTAGTTGCAATTGATGCTCATCTGTCTTTGTTACTTCCTGAAAAATACCGGTTTATATGTAATAAGATAGTATATAATAAATTATTTACTTATACATATATTATCTACATAATTATGTAATATATTATATATATACTTACAGGACGACACACTTCAGGGGGTGCAGTTTTATAAAAATCATCAACAGGTACAAGCTCAATCTCTTCATCCTTTGATTTAAATTGTAAACACTTTGTGACTTCCTTATTTAGATGGTCGGCTTCATACAAGAGGTTTTGAAGAAGTAAATGTGTTGAATCTACTCTCTGTTTTTCCTTGTGCAGAGCATCTCGGCCAGTACGAGTACGCACTTTTTCTAAACGGTTTAATTTTTTTAGTGCAACTAACTGCAGTGAAGCTTCAACCCTTTTAGCATTTAACTTTTCTTTTGCCTAAAAAAACGTAGATGTGCATTAAAGCATATTTGATTTGATTTGTAAATTACATGCAAAAGTGAAAACTTACTTCTTCAGTTCCTTTCGCTTTAAGCTCTGCAATATCTGTAAAAAGTTGTCGGATGTCTTGGCAAATCTTCTTGAACAAAACAGCATCTTTTTCAGCAGGTCTTAGCTTAGATTCTGATTCTTCGAAATCGACAACTTTCTGCAATGCGATATTGCAAGTGACTTTACTTAAATTATAACAAAAAGTAATTATTTAAAACAAAGCATTATTCACATCCTAACCTTGTAAACTTCACCGGGAGATAGCTTCGTACTTTCGCTGCTAGAACTTGTATTAAATTTTCGCCGTTTCTTAGTTGTAGTGTCATCTTTACCCATGTTATTAATTATTTAATATAAAACGGTGTAGACGTGTATTTATAGACGAGTTTTATTTACTATTTCGGAAACGAGCTCACATTCACAAACAAAGACCACAGAGTACAAGACCACCAGCTCAGGGATGCCAATTGCCAACTCCTACAAAATTGTTCCCCCTAGTACCAACTTCAAATACCCCTAAAGTTTTTGTTGTACTCTTGGTTTGAGAGGTAATTTCAAATGTGAATTAAAAATACGTTGAAGTAGTAAAAAATTGCTGTTGTATTTATGTGAGTACATTTTACATATTCATATATTTTAATCAATGACCGAATAATATTAATTATAATAACAATGAGATATTAATGAGACGTATTTTTTATTTCTTAACTTTTTTTTCTTCGAATTCAGTTTTTCTTAACGTTTCTTGGCAGAATTTTTTTGCGTTTTCGTAATTTTTTCATATTTTATTTTTAAAGCTTTTTGTACTTTTCTTTTTTATCTGTTCTGTTACAGTTAAACGAGACAGAATTAAAATAAAAAACGAATTACGTCTCCTTTTTTTCCTTCTAACACATATTATTACTTAAATGTCATTGGGATAAGCTTCTAATATTTCGTCAAAGGCATCGGCCTGGATATGGCGCTGCGTTTTTCTGTTGCTGATATTTTTGAAATCTTACATATTGACGTTAAATGATTTGATCATACGGTCAGAAGAACAAATTTGTCCCATGAAATTATTGTTTTTCGATATTTAAGCTGTAGCCAGGCTTGAAGTGTATATTTGGTTTAGTTTGTTGATTGCATTCGAAGCCTAATATAAATTGTATAGAATCGTGTGTTTGTAGAGAAAAAAAATTCTTGAATAAAGTACTGCCTAAAAATCCCCCTAAATAAATGTACCCTATAAAAACCCCCTGGACATCTTGATTACCCCTAAATTTGGGGGGAAACCCCCAAGTTGGCAACGCTGCACCAGCTATAAAGACTACTATAGTCTATACTAGACAGGGTTACTAGCCTAACGACTTATTAAAAACAAAAAATCGAGTAGATTTTTAAATAATAATAATTTTACTTAATATTAAAACTTGAACTGGCGACATGTGGTCTACACATTCTCAATGGAGGAGAAAACTGCCAAACTTGGCCAATAGTAGCGCTGGTATCGCTTGACCCATAACAAATGCCAACAAACGTCAAATCCCCTACTTTATTATTATAACATAAGGTATAGGTCTACCAGGATCTGGGGGCCTACCATGAACTCTTATTGCGAGCCTATTGACTACCTACAACTGAGATGCATCGCTAATTCGTACCATGACATCGAAAAAACGAGACAGTTTATGTTCCCACGTGACCTTAGCGGTTATCAGATTTCGTTCGTTCAATTTGTATGAAAATCCGTACCATGACCGCTCGGCTGAACCGAAATTTGACAGTCGCGCCTTCCAACTATGACAGAATAAGCGATTCTAAAAAAGTTACTTTTTGTTCAACTTTTTTGTATCGAAATGTCCAAATAATAGTTTAGAACCTATAAAATTCAATATTTGTATTAAAACTTGTTAATAAAGTTAAAATAATAAGATTTATCTACTATGGCTAATATAGGAAAAAAAATATAATTTTTATATTTACGATATTTTGAGTTTAGAGTGTGATTATAAATAAATTATTAATATATAGACGGAGATGAGAAACAAGACGGCAATGCCCTTCCGACTACCGACTTCGTAGATATTGAGTTTATAATTTACTATAGATTATTGACTTTGATTCACTGAAGATTTCAGTGTACCTACAAATAATTGCACATTGTTCAATAATATTCAATTAATTATTTATGCATGTCTAACAAAAACATAATCCCCCAATATAATATCATATTTTACAATAAATAAGAATGCCATATTACTAGCAGATAGTTATTATAATTAAATTTTTCCTCACTATGTTCATGAATTGTATTATTCTCCTCTGCTTTTTGTTGTTTAAAAAAACATAGGTATTTTTAAATTTATAATGTGTAAATAATAAGCCATTTAAAAATATTATAATAACAGTATTTATTTAGTTAGGATGACTCCATCAAGATAGAAAAAGATGTCTTCAGGCAATGTTCAATTGGTTATAAACATTCATAGTCTCAATTTAGCGATTTTGTCAGGTTAAGCTGTAAAGAAAATTATTATTATTATTATAGCCTCTTTATTTCCATAATGAATAACATATTAAACAAGTATATCATATGATTAATTATTACATAATATGGGCATGCATTAAAAAATACAATATTATTATTAATAATCTTTAAATTATATTCCAATCATAATTAATAATTTCAATGTATATAAGTTTGAAATGATAAATAAATTAATAAGAATCAAAAACAAAATTCATTTTTATAAATCATTATAAAGTATCATTAAATCGTTATGGACCCCTCTACGGGTAAAGGCCTCCTCCATTTTGCTCCACATCTGTCTGTCTTTTGCTTCGGTCCAGTTTTCACCAGCTTTTCTTTTTATTTTATCAATCCAGTTTTACTTTGGTCTACCTCTTAATCTTTTTGTTGGTTCTCGCCAGGTTACCCTTGGTGTCCATTTTTCCTTGTCCATGCGAGCAGTAAGACCCGCCCAATTACATTTTTGTCTAAAGCATCTATTATTTTTGTTGTTTTTCTTATTTCTCTTCCGATGTTGTCTTTGTATGTTTAGTAGACTCCTTTCCATCATTCTCTGGCACACTTGTATTTTGTTTTTGGTGTAGTTATTGTAAATCCATGTCTGGAAGCCATATGCAAGACAAGGTATTAAATATTAGTCCATAATTTTTTTCTTAAGTTTTGAAATTCTGATTTAAGGGTTTCTTTATTGCTCCAGGATTTATTCCAGGTTATGTTGACTCGTCTTTTAACCTAATCGTCGTGTCTTGTCTTTGAGAAAGATACTTGTTGACCCAGGTAAACATAGTTTTAAACATATTGTAATGTACTGTTATTAACCTTTATTGGAATAGTTTGGTGGTTCGTCATAATAATAATCTTTCATTTGATAGAAAAGATTTTGCATTGTAAGTCGAAGTTTTGTAGTGGAGATGGAAGGTTGTAGTCATTATCCACCGCGGTGACCAGCCGTATTGGGAGATGAAGAGGGGCTTTCCTGTAAAGAAAGTATAATTATTTATATTATATGAATTAGTTAACGTATAAATTGAGTTTGTACAATTTGAAGGAATTATTTTTTATTATAGTTACTTATGATTTCAGAGTAATAAGTTGATTTGTAATATCTTTTGCAAAGGGTTTTATATCAGTAATTCACTTCGTTATAGGTATTAATTTTTAATAAACAAATTTGTGAACAATACTTACCCCATACCATTATTTTATAAGTTAAACAATTTGTAAATATATTTATAAAACCGAAATTTTGTAAACACCAAAATATTGAAAGCTCCTATCAAAATTTGAAAGAAACGTTTAAAAATAATAAGTGTCAACTGTCATAGCACCAGATAACTTTCCGTTTAAAATATATCAAAAGATTAGTTTTATATAAAATAAATATATATATTAAGACATAATAGCTTATTGTGATTGATGAATTATTTAAAATAATTTTATATTTTATTTATTTTCATAGAAACATCTGTCGAAGTAAGTTTGACAGTTAAATTTCTAAACGTACTCAGAAACCACAAACAAAATTATCGTTCTTTCATTCGGTCTTGCGATGCTAATACGTTTCAGCTTATAGGCGGTCATGGTACGAAAAAATGCTTTTGACTTTAGGTACCTAAACTCCGCTGCATCTCAACTGGATTGTTTTAAGAAAGTTCATGGTAGGCCCCCCTGATGGCAAAAAGGGAAAAAAAGAAATTGACGCTAGCAATACTGGGGAAATTGGAGTAAAACGTTTTGATACTTTTTTTTCCTTATAGCGGCTGATTATGTGTGTGATACATGCAAATATAAAAATGTATCCAATGAACAAGGATAATTTTTGAAAATGTGGCGAATGTGGGTTTGAAATTTAGATGAAAACTCCAATTACTCTGTTCATGAGTTTATTAATTAATTAAGAACTTGAAAATGGTTCCAAATACTGCACATCCATAAAAAAGTCTTCAACGCCGTATTTATAATAAACTTTTCCTCCTGCATCTCAATTAACCGATCTTGTTCTATGAATTGATTTTCAATTTTTATTACATGTTCACAATATTTTCACCATTCATCGATCCCTATTTGAGAGAAAGAAACAGTGTACAACTCATTTATCTTGTTTCTGATCAATTCTAAATCAAAACTATCCAAGTTTATTTGTAGTATAAGAAACCCCTGAAATAAACCTAAGTTTAGTATAAGTACATAATATAATACACACGAAAAATCCCATAAACCAAAGTATCAAGACGTGTCATTCCTACTAACCAGTCAACGCTTGCACGTGGCTCAATATCGATGATTGTGTATGATCTGCATCTTGTTGACCAAGTATTCTTTGGTAAACATTGAAAACTAGTGGTGCGTTCCACTAAGCGCTCACGACGATCACGCTCACGACCGCTGATTTCCCCATTCCACTTGATTGTGAATGTTACTGTCGTTAACTCAAGTGGAATGGATTATGGAGCGTTTCGGGCGTTCATGTAAATATTACAAATGTCAAGTTTGAAAATAGTAGAATTTTAAGGAGGTTAGGTAATCATAAACAATAAGTTTTGATATTTGTGACTTAAATTTATTTATGTTAAAAGTGAAGAATAATTGAATATTTTATAAATAATTTTGGTGAAGTTATCAAACAACTTAAGTTTAAATATAATCGAAATGGCTTTACAATTTCTCTTTCTGTCAAATGTCGCCATCTTTAAGCTTTGAATATAATAATATTATTATTTGTCATATTTCAAAAATTGCGCCAAATTATTCTCAACGTTCACAACGACCCACCTCTTTAGATGGGTCGTTGTGAGCGTTGCGTGAGCATTTGTCATGACGTCATGAGTGACGTTTTCGCCGTGACCACAACGACCGCGGTCGGTATGTGGAATGGCTAAAGGAGCATTTTGATCGTCGTGAGCGCTTAGTGGAACGCACCAAATATGTCTTGCTTGCGGTCGAAGAGGTTTCTTCGACATTTTCATCACTTTTTAAAAGAAATTTGAAGCCAAACCAAAAACAATTCCTCGAAATTTCACTTGACAGATGAATTTTTTCTTTTATTGCCATATGCAAATCGCTAATTTTTAAATTTCTTTTTTGCCATCAGATTCTGGTAGACCTATAAAAGATTTTTTTTCTCCAAAAATACCTCGCTGCGCAGCAATCGGTTGCAATAACAATGGCAATCACAGTTTTCCTAAGGATTTACGCATAAGATGACTGGGAAAAAGCTCTAAAAAGACGTAATTTCAAAGTCTCTTCGAGGTTATGTTCGGAAGCGGAACATTTTATTGAATCCGATTATAAAGGCGTAAACTCCTCTACAGGTTTGCATAAACTACTTTTAAATTATGATGTATATGGTATAGGTACTAAGGAGGCATAATAATTAGTACTTATTACATAAATTAGTACTAATTATTATGCATTCGTTTTAGGTTTACCTCAAGTTCATAGATATTTGAAAAAAAAATTCTATCCCAACTGTTTTCGCATGGAGGAAACCCACTACCACAGCAAGTATCGTAATTATATAATTATAGGGTCAGCCAAGTCATTAACATCAGTGGAATGTATCAATTTCTTTTGATATTAGTTTAATTAAGAAGAAATAAACCTGATTTTGAGATGTAATTTTTTTTTGGCATTAGTACTACTGCTGTTGGGAATATATTTGTTACGTAAATTTTGTTTATCAATTATGGGAAAAATATGATTATTATATATAATCTAATTAATATATATATAATAATAGATTTTTGGCCTAGTCGCTCACTGGTTGTTAATATGCTATATTTATTTAAGCAATATCATCCAGCTACCAGAGTGATAATAGATGGTACAGAAATAGCCATATCAAAATCAAAAACCCTACTGCGCAATAAACAACATTTAGTAGCTACAAACACCTAAACACTAAAATTATTGGTGGGCGCTACATCTGGTGGCGTTTGTTCAGTTCATCTCGTATCGTTTAACGTTTTGTTCAGATGGATATGCAGGCTCTAAAAGTTCCCTTTTAGCTGTTATTGGTGAAAAATATGCAATAATGGCTGACCGTGGATTCAATTGTGTTATGCTATGTAATTTTAAATAAGGAATTGTAAAATAAAAGTCAAAAGTCATTAGTGGGTTTTATCGTTTCTTAGTAATTCTTATAAATATATTTATTAAGTAGGGCCTTTGTAAAATATTCCACATAAAATTTGTTCAATTCTTTTAACATATGATTGAGGAAATTCTTCATCCCTACCCTCATAAAAAAATTTCAATGAATTTTGAAAAATATCCAATGTGATTACTTCGTGACAAGATCTGCCTTTCTTCCTTTTAAAGAACCGCCCCGGTCTACAATTCTATTTTTAATTATGGAACAGTCCATGTTGAATACATTATTCAGCAGTTTTCACTTGTAAACACCTTTTAAGATTTACTAAATCGTACCTTAGATTTACGTAAAAATTGCTGAAAACTGACAGCGTATTGTTATGGGTCAAGCTATGATAGCGACATCTGCAATTAGCTTTGCGTTTTCTCCTCCATTCATCTGCTTTAACGGTGATTATAATTTAGTAGCGACATTGTTACCCTATTGCTTATAACTTTATTTTTACTGATATATCTTTTAACATGACTTTTAAAAATAGGATACGCAATTTTATATTTACTAATAAAGGCATATATTAAAATAATTCGATAGTTATAGCTATGTTTGAAGTGATAACTTCTTATGGGAGGGCAAACCGCTCGTTCTCTGTCTAGCGGCCCTATTGCCTTGATCACACGTACCGAGCAAACCGGCGAGACAGTACTCTCGGTCGAGTACTCTGTACGTATAAACATAGCGCCGAGAGCACGACCGAGCGCTCGGCCGAAAGAAGTGGCGAGACAATAGCTCGGCTGAAGTTCTACTTACTACCCTCCCGCTTCCCCGCACTGTCTCGCTCACTCACTCGGCAGGTTTGAACGTTCAACGTACACTGTCTCGCCGCTCGCCACCCGGCCACATGATTGTCGCGACGCCGCACGTGGTTTTTTTGAGTGCAGTTGTTTAAAACAAGTTAAAATGTCTGCAAATATCAAATGGGACGTCGAAACAACTATTAAATTTATACATTTATATAAACTACATCCGTGTCTGTGGAACTTTAAATCTCCTGAATACAAGATTAAGCAAAAACGGGATGTAGCATATAATTCCATAATTAAAGGAATGAATATAACGGGATTCGGTACGCTAGATGTTAAAAATAAAATTAAAAATTTACGGTCGACGTACCAACAAGAAAATAAAAAAATTCAAGAATCGAAGAAATCCAGAGCGGGTCTCAGTAATGTGTACACTTCTAATATTAAATGGCTGAAAGAGATGTAAGAGGTGTTTTCCAAAGATTTAAACAATAGTAGTAGTAGTAGATATAGCAGACTGGGGACACTTGATCCCCTATTTTTATTGTTAATTTTTTTATATTTTTTGCCGTCGTTGAATGTATTATACTTCTCAGTTTAGAATTTCAATATTTATCAAACATTCGAAAGAGGCCAATTCATTTTTATATTTCCGGTCATAAATTAATAAATAATCAACTCTTCCTGATATAATATCAGGGAGAGTAGTTTTCGGCCCAAATATGAAAAATACCAGTTCACCATACATTTGGGAGATTTCTACTGTTGGTATCGATTAAAATATCTGTGCGTTTTCCAATTACAGCACTAGAGCGCATTATGCGGCATAATGCTCAACGTTGAGTGTTCCAACTACAGCATCGCTTCGCACAATTGAGCACTCTCAAAACGAATGCTCTCGCGTGCTTCTCGCAATCAATACCAACACAGTGACAGAAAATTGACCAGTGTTTTTCTTTAAGTTGGCATTTATCGAAATTTTCGTTAGTAAATATTATTTATTGTTGAAAAATTTGTAAGGCTTTCGTTTCGTCGTAGATTTTGAAAATAATTAAAATTATTTCAAACTGCTAAAAAAAAAATATAAGTATGGATGAAGGTATAAATAGTTACTTTTTTTTTATATTCCACATTTAAAATATGAATACAATTTCATTTTAAAATTCGGATCTGTAAACAAATTTATTTTACAGGATTATACTTTTGTAAACATTGCAATGGTTTTGAAAAAGTATATAATTTTTTTAGAAATCATTAAAAAAAAATTACTCAAAACGTAAATGATGTAAGCATCTTACATGAAACTAAATATTTTACTGTTAATTTAGCTTGTTAAAACCTTATATTCTTCAAAGGTTTTCTCTTATTTCAGTAAAAAAATGTTAATGAAATAATTTGATTATTAAAATAAGCGTAAAAAGTTTTCAACCAATTATTATTGTTTACTACATTATACATTAATGAGGTTGCTAACTCTATTCAGAACATTTTTTTTTTTCAACACTGACTTAGCGCACTCTGCTGATGCATTTGAAAACTAATTCACGTTCCAATTAAGCTTCAGCATTATGCGGCATTGTGCGGCACTGAGTCGCAAAATGCTCTGTAATTGGAAAACGCACTCTATAACATTGTTAAAATATGTCCCCTAGAGATCAAGTGTCCCTAGTTTTCCCTATTTCTTAGATAAAATTATGAAATCATTCTGTTTTGCCACGATACGGCACCTGCCCCACTGAAGAACTCTGCATATTTATCTCGAAGCTCCCTTGCTGTACGTGCTGCATTGTTGGTGCTATGATCAGTGATAGTTGACAAAGTAGCTATAAGTTATTGCCTCCAACTCCCCTCAGAAACGGATCCCGAATCTATATCTTCTTCATCAACACAACCCCTTGGAAAGTAATGGCCGGGACTTGTGAGACGTAACCAATTGTGCAGCGCACATGAGGCGCGAATAATAATTTTATCGGTGGTTTCGTCATTAGTTGATATGGGTTTTTGAAAAATTCTAAACCTACTTGCCAGAATACCAAATGCATTTTCGACGATTCTCCGTGCTCTAGAGACTCTGTAATTGAATATTTTTTGTTTCGTTGAAAGATTTGTGACACTGTATGGTTTTAATAAATATGTTTTTAGTGGAAACGCATCATCTCCAACTAAAAATCCTCCTTTTGGAAGCAAATTATTCTCAAGATCACTATGAAATTTGCTGTTTTTGAAAACAATCGTTATGATCAACAACAGCCATCAAAACCACACTGTTGGAACCCTTGTAATTAAAATATTTACTTCCACAATTAGGTGGTGCTTGAATTATCACATGCTTCCCGTCTATAGCGCTGTGGCAACCAGGGAAATTCCACCTTGTTCTGGAGCCTAATTCTATTTCTTTCCATTCTTCATTGTTCTGCGGTACCTGAAAAAATAATTTATTTTCATTTCATTTCACAGATTCCTGGTCCTACTAATGAAGACACAGTTTCTCAGGACCGTAGCTCTGCTACATCTTCGTAAGCTAATACAAGCAACGACAAGCAAGTACTTACTGTAGCTACGCCTACCACTGGAAACACTTCGAGAGGTAAAAAGAGAACTAGATAAATTTTTCAAGCTGTTTCTGATCTCAAAAAGTTAAATGATGGGATAAATTCTGAGAGTGAAACCGTATAAAGGAGTGTCGCATTTCAACTAAAGAATTTATCGGCGGAAAATGGTTTATTGGCACAAAGTAGAATCCAGAATATTCTGACAGAATTTGGGATAAAAGAACTTAGACAAAGAACTACTTCGTCATTTTCTAATCACAGCTATCAAACGCCGATCTCAAAAAGTTAAATGATGGGATAAATTCTGAGAGTGAAACCGTATAAAGGAGTGTCGCATTACAACTAAAGAATTTATCGGCGGAAAATGGTTTATTGGCACAAAGTAGAATCCAGAATATTCTGACAGAATTTGGGATAAAAGAACTTAGACAAAGAACTACTTCGTCATTTTCTAATCACAGCTATCAAACGCCGTCTTCTCTATATTCAGACGCGACCAATGACCACTATCAGTTTGATGAAACTTATGTGGATTCTCCGCCACAACTACCAACACCAGCTCCAGCAAACAATCTTTGCTGCAACATCTACTCCACTACCTAATTGTCAACGCTACGCCAGATTCTGTGAGCACTAATGACATTGTAGCAGCTGCGATGTTTGCAGCTATGAAAACAGAACAGACAGACAACAAGACAACAACAACAATTAATAAAAAAGTAATAAATTCACTCAAGTTTTATTTTTAGAATGTAAAAAAGTACGTACCTTTAAAATTGTTTCCAAATAAGTAAATATTGCATCCATGACTTCCGGTATGAGTGATGATATTGCAGCCCGAGATACTCTGTAAAAAGCCTGCAAATAACGGTAGCTCGCGCCAGTCACCAAATAGCATAACGCTACTTGTAGTTTAGTCTTTGCAGTTATAGCTTCCCTCATGACTGTATCTTGCCTTTGTATCAATGGAGTAATATTTTCTAACAATGTGTCAAAATGTTGTACATCCATTCTTAAAAGCATTCTGAATTCATCGGGATCTTCTACCTCTAATTCATTAAAAACAGTGTTTGTGATCTTCTCAACATCCATGGCCTTGTCCAAATGTGACGTTGCTCCTTTTCCAGCAGTTCATTTAATTCTTCTACTAATAGTGGAATGAGTAACTTTGTATATTTTCTAATTATCTTTTTACGATCCATCTTGTCCGAATTGTAGTCTCAATAGAACTGAATTATTTCAAAATGTGTGTGAACAGCTACTCGCTTACTACACTGTCTCGGCCGAGAAACATTTTACTGTCTCGCCGGTTTGCTCGGTACGTGTGATCAAGGCATATCTCTAACCCGCAGCGCTAGCTGTATTTCAGACAGACGCTTTCCTCTCAGTAGTATAAAATATATTTCATAATCAATAAAATATTTTATTAATAAATAACCTTTCCTTATATATTATCATATAAATATACATAAAATATAAGTACATAATAGTTAATTAGTTTTTCTCAAATTAAACAATTTCTATATTAAAAAGTTAAATAATTCAACTTAGATTAGTTTAAGTTATCACTTCTGTCGGGCGCCCCGAGACGCATTGTTATTTATTTATTTCAGTGTTCACTTATTCATTTATAATTTATAGTGAATATATATTTATAATGCGACCCACATGATGAATGATGATGATAACCTTCATTAATCGTATTCTAAGATGAAAAAACTAAATCTGACGTCGAGACCCTATATATAATAAACAGATTATGTGATGTTTTAGTTCACATTTATTAATATAAAATAGGTGAAAAGGTGGCTCAGGTCATTGACAACAAATATCGACGCTTGTTAACGATAAGACAATTGGACTACATTTTTTTAAGTATAGCATAGTATCATGTCTTCATATTTAAAAATACAACCACTGAATCGAGAATTCGAAAAAGTGCATGCAATTTTTTAATTCTTTGTAAAATATATCTTTCTTAATAGATCATAAAAGTTTAACCATGACAAATTTAACCTTTCGTTAAGTATTTTATTCATTAAATAAACATGCGTCTGCCGCGTGCAAGCTCCGACGACATTAAAACAAGCGGTATTATGTAGCTACTATACAGAGAGTTCGTGAACGCAACGTGTTTATCTTGCTAACGATAGTGCAAATAATAACAATATCGACGGTAATTATTGAACAACTTAATTTTACTGTTGACTACTTTCTTTTGTGGACGTTTGTAACGTATCTAATAAACGAAAAATGTCCGAGAATAAACTTCAACTACGTTTAGTTACTCATATGTGTCCAACTCATCCCGTTGAGCTATACGAGTTAATTGCAGAATTGTTAGAAGAAGCGTTGAATTGCTTTACAGTTTTGCAATATGAAAGCCGCAGCCCCGGTCCAGTACCCAGTCGACCAGACCCATTTCAACAAAACTATATTGATATTGGTAAATATAACAACCTACCCGCGTTTTTAAATTATGCGAAATTACAATTTTACTGCATATAAAAGAAATAAAGAATACGGATGGATTTTGTAGAAAACATGTATTGAATAATTAATGAACCTTTAAAAAATATTGGAAGGTGTCGACCTTAGGTGCAACCTACGCGTTAGTTACCTGTAAAAACCTGCTCTAGTTATATGCATTTCTATGAAAATAATAAAGTAGAAAAGTATTGATATTTCTATCCAAATTGGCATAAAAAAATGGTTTTCTTTTTCCAATAATTTTGTGTTTCAGGGTTCATGACGGCCGCTGCCTATATGAACATAAAGAAGAAGGACAACAAGTTTATTGAACTGCTGCCAGTAACGCCAGTGTTCGCTCATCAAATGAATGTGGAAAATAAGCCCGGGTACTTCTCAGATATCATTATACATATCGATAAGAAGTAAGTCTTTTTTATATGAAAATAATTTTATGCGTTGAAATCTATAAGAATGTGTGGTACAACTTCTTACATTTCATGTCTACGATGTATGTGTGTACACCCGGCAAAATTGTACGGAAGGCATGGGGTTCGATGTGGCGCAGTATGTGTGTACGCACGGCATATGTACGGTAGTCATGGGGTTCGATGTGGCGCTATATGTATGGTCATATGGTATATGGGCACAGGGCATATAAAGATTAAATTTTATACTTCTTACAAGTATTTTTTTGTGCACAATACTACTATATTTAGTAGATAGAGAGCACGATAATGTCCTCGTTGAAATAATTAATAAATATCTCTATAACAGAGACAATTAATATTTATAACAATAAATTCATTGAACTGGTGTTATTTAAAACAACAACTAAATACATTGAACATTCACGATAGTCCAAAAACAAATAGAAGTACTTAGGTAGATAAATTAATTGTTATCAGCAGTCTGTTGATAACGGCCAGTGCTTCTATTATTTCTCAATCAATTTCGGTTTCTGGTGTCACTGATTCCTAAGACAATATCATTCTGATTACAGGGCCCACAACGTAAATACCTTGCTCGATCTACGCGGTTGTACGTTTGCGTATAGCAACGAAGATTCACTGAGTGGAAGCAAAATAGTTCTTAAAACTCTGAGAGAAAAAGGCGAAAATGCATCTTTCTTTGGCTCATTACTAAGTAGTTACATTAAATAACATTAATTCATGAGATAAAAAATTAGAACTTGTTTATGATAACTTTTATGATTACAGAATCTGGATCACATTTGGCCTCTGCTCGAATGGTATTATCTAAGCAAGCGGAGTGGGCGGCAGTTGATTCAACCACTCTTCTCAATTGTAAAAGAGATATGCATGAAGGCGGAAAGGATATAATAACTTTGGAAACCCTGGGTCGTCTTCCGCCCTATCCAATTGTAGTTAATTCTAGGCTATCAGGTATGAATATGTAACTAAGTATTATTTTTTGTATGTTATTATATGAATACAATATTATTTATTATATATAATTATTTTCAGAAACTATTAAGGATTCAATTACCAAAGCATTATTAAACATAACAAAAATTCCTGTGTGGAAAAATAGATTTGCTAAATTTGGAATAATAAAATTTGAGAACAGTAGTGACAAATGCTATGATGGGCCGGCTGCACAGATGTGGTCCATCCAGAAAGAGACGCTCAACGTTAGATATTATTAGGCTTCTTCTTGTAATTAGTTTAATATATGTCCTGTATATTTTATATGTTGATTACACACCAAGGAACTAAGAAATATCTTGCTTACAAATTAAAAGATTTCATAATCATTATTTATATATTTTTTTGGGTCTAGAAAGTCAGTATAAGACTACATTAGTCGCTTTTAATTTAAACAGATATTTATTTTCCAGCTAAGCCACTTTTACTTTCTAACTTCTGTAACAACATTTTGAAAACAATTACGTCACCCTTTTTTCCATATTGTAACATTATGGCTCGTGGGACCATCATGCCTGGGGCTGCTTCTTTAGTTGTAGTTGTTTGCCCATTTATCTGAAATATTAATAAAATAACCAAATCTGCAGGAAAGAAATTTTTTGTAAAACAATTCTTGTTCTGAAACAATGATTCCTAATGCTGACAAAATTTCAAAGTATGATTTGTTAACTATTTAAGCTAAAACTGCCTGTTTTGTAATTTATAATTTTAAATTAATATGCAATGTATTGCAGTCAGGCCCACCTAATAAGAAACACCTCTTAATTAATAATATTTAATCAAAACACAACATAGATGTATCATAGAATCATGTATGACAATAACAAAAACACTAAATAATGTTACCTAATGGAGTCAAAGTGAAGTTAAAAAAACAAATTTTAAATGCCTCTCATAACATTAAAAACACAGACTACTTATACTACTTTTAAAAATATGTTCTACAACTAAAATATCGAAATATTACTTCTATTAAGAAAAAAGTAACTAAGTCTAAGAAGTAACTGTGCACTAAACAACTCCGCCGCCGTTGATGTGATCAATCTCTTCTTGGGAAAGTGGCAGACGTCTGTAGCGAGCAGGAAGATCTATGTCTGATATAGATGCAGTACTCATTGCGGCACTCGGTTGAGCTTGAGGAGACTGAATTAAAAAAAACAATATTTTATTAATTTTGAAGAGGATTGTCTGATTATGAAATAAAGGTCGCGATACTGACCGCCTGAGGCGCTGCAGCTGCAGGAGCTGCTGTGGCGGCTGCAGGTGGTGCGTGGGATCCACCGCCACCTTTGCGGAATTTAATAACGGGAACCCTAGATAGAATTGTGGTTATCCGAACCATCTTTTACTATGAATTTTATTTCTTTATTGCAGATTTTAGACCAATTGTTTTCTAAATGACACAGATAATTGTCAATGTCAATATTGTCATTTCAAGGCACGTGACGTTGACAATTTAAAAACTTTATTAAAATAAGACGACGCATTAGACGCTTTTAAGCCATTGCGCATGCGTCGAATGTAAGTGTTCTCAAACTGAAGCCAGGCAGTTATCGTCCGAAAATTATCGTATATGTGACCCATATACGATAAATTATCGTACAGTCAGGAAAATGGCTAAAAATACTTTAAAAAATCATATGAAACGTGAAAATAAAATGTTGCAAACGATTTATATTTAAACTGTAACTTGTGTTTTTCAAATTGAAAAAATAATAATAATTCAATCTCTTCCGTAAAGAGGAACAAAAATACGCAATATTTTCTCGTTCATTTTACATCGCATATTATTTTTATCACTTAAAATTCGTTCGGTATTAAAATGTTATCGAAGACTTCCAAATCGGTACCATACAAAGAATTGGTGTGATTGGGTTGTTTGTAATAACGCTTTGTTATTGCTGTAGTTGCTTGTGAAGATAAGTTTAATAGAAAAATAAGCCAATAGATGGATGACACTAAAAACTGTAATTGTTATTGGGTATTGTGTAATATAAATTTTATAGATGGAAATTATGTACAATTCTACGAAGTATGTACCATCGTAATCGTAGTAGTTATGAAATTATCGAAATGTAGATAATTATGTACGGGGGGTAAGTGTTCTCAAACTGAATAGATGCGGCATTTTTATTATATTTTATAAAAAGCATGCTGTTTTAGAGTCCGTAATAAACGACGTTTTATATATATATAAAACGTCGTTATATCGTATAATGTCTATAAGACATTGTTGTTTTATTTGTGCATCTAAAAATTATTAAATTAATTAAAAGAAAAACAGCGTCGTTTTTATGTTACAATAAAAATGCCGCATCTATTCAGTATTCGCACAGGCGGCATTCGCTATACTCGTCTGACAAATGATGTTATGCATTAACTCTCTTTCACTCTACCTTAAATATTTATCATCATTAACAGTAGGTAACCCTTATTTGCGGCTAGATTTAACTAGGCACCCATATACGATAATTATTATAAATAGAAACAAATTGGCTTCAATTTGATATATAATTAATAAATGTACGTTATGAACGTAAAAACGTATCGAAATCATACCTGGCTACGAAGAAGTGCGGCCAGGGGGGTCTAGACAAGATGGCTTAACAGTAGTGTATGTAGAAAGTCGAAAACTAAATTTGTATGAAAATGGCAGGTCGTTTCGACAGTCGGTAGCCTAGGACCTAAAGACCGAAGACGTGAGTCGGGACACAATAAGCGACGCCATGGGTTGGGTGTGAGAGTGATACATCCGAATCTGATGATACTGATTATGCAGGAGTCTCGGGGACCTTGATTGGAACACCTCCAAGTAATTTTAGCTGCCGGAAATGCGTCAAAGTATTTTAAAAAAAATTTAAAGTTTTGTGAAATGTATTGAAATTTTTAAACAATCCACCATTATCTACTTCTTTTCTATTGGTAATAAGAGATGTGACATTCTCGTTTTCTATTGGTTATAAGTGATGTGACATTTTCGGTAAATTAATCGGATTGATTATTATTTTCTCATTTGTTATTTTTAAAGTTGAACCTAATCAAATCGATTATTCCCTCATTTGTTAATTTTAAAGTTGAACCTAATTTAACCATTAGTTGTCAAATGTACATTACATTAACTTCATGTTTCAATTAGTGTATGGTTCCGAAAATTTTTAAATTATTCAAAAAGTACCTAAAACCGAATCAGAGCACCCCATTCTCCACGTGGTCTTGTCTGCCTTACCCCTAGAGTGTATATAAATAATCGGAGGAAGAGCAGCCCCCACCCGCTGTAACAAAGCACAGGCTTATTGTTCGCCTTCGGCGACCAGCCTTAGCTGCTACGGCTTGCAAAAAAAAAACCATGTTTTTTCGTATCCACGGATTGATAATGAACCGAATGGGCGCAGTAAGAACCGTGTGCGAATTACTTAGTAGAGCTTTTTTTTTTTAAATTTTTACTACTCCGTCACATGACAATGCAGAGCCCTGAATGTCTGCCTCTTCGATTTTCTTCATTTCCAAGACGTTTGTGACCATGAACCCTAGAGGCATACGTGCAAATGATTTAATATCCCCCTTTTTTTAAGCAACTTCAATCGGCTGTAACGCGAAAACGCAGCGACGTAGGACCTTACTTGACTGGACCAAATCAATTCGTACTGACGTAAACTGCAATCTACCTCGATGTGCAACTTGTGCTAATCATATAGCTAAATGCTCACCATTTCCCTAACTATTAGGCGAACCCCCTAAATTTGATTGAAAACATATTTTTTAATCAAAAACACTTAAAAACAATAATATATTTTTTTATATATCAAGACTTATTTGATTATAAAAAGCTATTTCTAAGATTCTTTTAGCTTTTTTCTTTTATTAGTTTTCAGGACTGAAGCCCAATTTCGTATTGTTATGGGGTAATTTGCCAATTATTTATTTATTTATTAACACTGCGTAGCAAACAGAAATATAATACTACTAGTAGACTCGGCCAAGCGTTGCTGTGGCTAATAGACCACAAGCCCATGAACAAAAAATACCTGTGAAATGACCCAACCTGAATTACGCTTAGAAGGCTGTTACTATATCTGAAAATAGTTCTGAGCACTATGCCGTCATTTCTGAGCGGTACATGTGAGTACGTGAGTGAATGGACTTTCTCATGTACAATGGGGGAATTTCGACTAATTATTAATGTACGGCTTTAATATAAGTGTATAGATGATTAAAAATAAATGTCGAAGTGATGGTGCCGGAAGTCGGTGCAAATTTTTAATTCGACGACAGTTGCAGAAGCAATATAGGTCATTTATTACTGTACGGCATTTGTGTCATTCCTTTTGGACACATATACAGATACTTTACCCGTAAACGCCGTACATATTTCCAACGGAGCGGTCGAAAGCCAAGGGTCGGAAACCTACCCCTACACCCATATACCCTAAGGTCATTGTAAAATGTACGGCAACATGTTCAAAATATTATTTAACACGGACAATAATGTTTTATAATTATGCCGTCCAAATATTATAGTTAATATTTGTGTAATTAAATATTTATCGAAATTTCAGGATTTATCAAGTTCTTACTGCTGTAAGATCAGAGAATAATGTACGGCAACTTGTTTTTTTACATAATGTTACTAAATATTACCGTTGTACATTATAGCCGTTCATTATAAATGGTAACAAATAAAAATATTATGATAAAAAATATATGAAATTTCCGAAATTTAGATGACTTTTCAAATGCTCCTAGAGTAATATGGGGAGTAATATTTTCAAAGATTATTGTTATTTTATATGTAGCAAATATAAATAAACAAAAAAAACCAGATGCCTTACATTTTACTTCAGATTATTCTTTACAGCTGATAAAAACTTCGACGACGTTTGAGGTGTCCCTTAAGGTCATTAATAACTGTATATTATATCTGAGTATACTACCATAAGGCTGTAAAGTATATTTACAGCCTTATCGTACCAGCAGAGAGAGGTAAAGGAAAAATATTTTTAACAAAAATATATATTTTAAAGTAACAGACTCGTAGGGGATTTTTTTAGGCCGAATACGATAGATAATGTTTTTAATTTGATTAAAAAGATATATTCACGCTGTTCCTTTCTTTTAAAATACTATGTTACTTAAGAAGAGTTATTAGTTTTTGGCCATTCTTTCGATTGGCATCATAAAAGTAGGGGTGTTTTTTTTACATTTAAGTCAGTTAGATTCCCAGACGAGGCAAGTAATTTTTAAAAAATCTTTAAATGCAGAATTAATAACTTTTAAAAATAACATAAAGTCTTCTTTTAGTAAAATACCCTATCTACGATATTTAAGGTACTTTCCCTTCATTTCCCATAACTTTGGGACGCCCTGTATTGGTAGGCGGTGGTAGCGGACTATCGAAAGTGTACGGAATTTATCTTTTATTGAAGATTGTCTAAAGTATTAATAACCTGTGTTATTGCCGTACAGATAAAAGTCACCGGAAAATGACTCTTTTCTGAGAAAAGTAATTTACCCCATACACCTATGTGTTCCACAAAAAATGTACGGCATGCTGGAAAATGTTATCTATTTGTGAAGTACTCTCAAGATCATTTAATTTTATGTTGATTCATATCATCATCACCTATATGCTAATCAGACATATGTTGCGACCCTTGGCTTTCGACCGCTCCGCTGGGAATATGTACGGCGTTTACTGGTAAAGTATCTGTATATGTGTCCAAAAGGAATGACACAAATGCCGTACAGTAATAAATGACCTATATTGCTTCTGCGACTGTCGTCGAATTAAAAATTTGCACCGACTTCCGGCACCATCACTTTTGTACGGCACTAGGTTTTTCGACATTTATTTTTAATCATCTATACACTTATAACAAAGCCGTACATTAATAATTAGTCGAAATTCCCCCATTGTACCTGAGAAAGTCCATTCACTCACGTACTCACATGTACCGCTCAGAAATGACGGCATAGTGCTCAGAGCTATTTTCAGATATAGTAACAGCCTTCTAAGCGTAATTCACGTTGGGTCATTTCACAGGTATTTTTTGTTCATGGGCTTGTGGTCTATAAGGTTTTTGTTACAGATGTTAAATAGTATCTTATGTGAAACGTTGGTACTTTCAACACCACAGCGCGGCGCCATCTGTTAGAATTGTGATTTGTGACTGTCAAATAATAACAGACAAATAATTAGCAATAAATTAAAATTGCGACTATAATTTGAGATTTAAACTATCCTATCTCTCAAGTTGGATCGAACTGCACATGGTGTGCAAATTTGATTGATATCGGTTCGGTAGTTTAGGAGTCCATTGAGGACAAACATTGTGACACGAGATTTATATATATTAAGATTGATATAATTAAAGAAGCAGAAGAGCTATTAAATGGGATGTCAATCCGGTTAGGGGATTTATTTAATGCTATAAATTCGTTCATACCTTCGGCGGATTGACAAACCGCGCGGCTACCGCCACTATAAAAATAATTGGGGTTCCGCTCGGATCTATTTACTTGACGTACCTAAGCGGTTAGTTGCTCTGCGGAAGCCGGCGTATGGAGGTGACAATGGATCGCTTGACACCGAGCTATTATGATGAGGTGGAAAAGAGACCTCTTTGTGGGACATCCAATGTGCAGAATATTCCAATAAAATTATTAGAAAGGAGCTTGGAGGAGTGGTGGATATTTTTGGAGAAAATGAGGATTCTTTGGAAAAAAGGTTCTTTTTGGTCAGTATGTATTTAATTTTACATTTATAGGGTAGTTTACATATTTTGTAATTGAAGTCCACCCCAAATAACTAAACTATATAAAAATGTTGTTATTGTGATTGGAGGTAAGTATGGGGCGGGAAAAATATCACGTTAGCATAGTAAGGAGTAGCTAGTGACTATGTGCAACCGACGCGACGCCATCTTGAGTTTAGTTATTTGGCGCGAACTGTAACAAATTTTAATTTTGGAACGAAGTTCCTTATGGCGTTGTGAAAGGGGGCTAGACGGAAAAAATCTCACGATTCTCACGCACGCAAACACCACGCCTCGCTACTCGCCTCTAGTACTCGCCTAGTGAGGTCAACTTCGTTCTATCCGGGTGTCCCTTGACACCTCTCAAGTTTTTATATTTTTGTGTCTTGCCATTCTACAGACCCTCATTTACAAAGTAATTAGCATATTTGTCTCTAATATTTAATGATGACGGTGTACCCCTTCCTGATGTAATGTATTAAGATTACTCATTGGCCAGTATATAAAGTATCTTCAAACTGTATACCATCTCTAGTTCTAACAAAATTGTGTAGCACAAAAGGCCTTTATTATGTCTTGGAAAGTCTATATTAACGTTTATAGGCTATGAAAAATGCGACTTGTTTGCCAGAATTCAAAAGTGCATTCAATATAAGTGAGTCTTGATAACCTGTAATTAAATATATTTTTTTCGTATGATAGCCCTCTACCTGCATAGGGTCGATTAAGTTTCGGATAAACCAAACGCTTCATCGCCAACTATGACGTATGGAATGGGTAGGATCTGTGTTAGATATTGGTTTAGGTTTTGGTATGTGTAATGACTTTTCTATTAATCTTTTATAAAATACGAATTTTTAAAAATTGCAGAATCACTACTTTTTCATATGATCAATATTATGAAAGAAAAACAATAGTTACTATCACAAAGTGCCAAAGCACTATGGAAAAAAAAGTTTTGTAATTATAATACAAAGATCCAGAATATTGGGTTTTGTAATCCTTATATGCTTGCCATCTATGGGAATGAATTGGGGAAATTTGATATTTTTCAAAATCTGTAGCTATTTTCTTCCATATATTTGTGGGTTAGGATGACATTTTTGGACTTTTTCCCAAGAGTTCACATACTTACGGACAATTCCTGTAATTGTAGATGAAGACGAAAGTTGTAATGAGTTCTCCAAAGGAACAACAGTACCCAGATATCTGAAACAATATAATCTTGATCTGTATGTTTTGTTAAAAAGTTGAAACTTTTCATTTATTAATTATAAGTGGGGAAGTAGTTTAAAATAATGAGTGTAATTATTTTATTTTAAATTTTTAAATTTTGAGTGTCTTCAATTATTTGACCGCTTGTATTTATAAGTTACAATTTTGTTAAAAATATGATTTTGTTAGGTGTAATTTAAAAAAAGTGGAAGAATATAGGGATGTTATAATAAGGAATTAAGAAAGGCAAATCAATTCCTTTGGTTTGGGATGTAAAGGTTAAAATAATGTATTTTGACCGGCTTTTTTTCTTAGAAGACAGTAGAAAACAAAGAAACGACATCAAACATACATGAAGCCAAAAATGAAGGAATTCAAAACATTGACCAAAACCAAGATAATTTTGTTAATGAGTGAAATACAACCAGTACCCAATAAAAGGAAGAAGACTAAAATTACTTCAGAAGAGCGATTGGTGACATATTAGAAAATAGCATTGAATCAAGGGATAAAATACAGAGACAATTACAAGAAAGTATGTAAAGCAAGATGATGATGATAAGCTTTTTTGTATGTATTGTATAAAGAGTTAAAAAAGTTCAGAAAATAAGGTTTGGCTACTAAAATTGAATTACTCAGGTAATAAGAAAGGGAGAAATTACCAGCGCCTATTCATATCACGAGCCAGCAGAACACGCCTAATGAAGTATTTTGGCAAAACCAACAATATTCAAACCCACAAGGATATTTTACAGGATATTCTACAATCGTACCAGGAGAGTCTCCATGCCTTTATCATGCAATAGATGACGACTACAGTCTTTATAGTACAAAACATATATTTGATGTATAAAATAAATATCTTACCTTAATGTAATCACGAGTTTTTTTTGGGGACGTTGACCTCATATGGGTATATTAGATGAATTTGTTATGATCATTTTAATAATTATAAATGAATTTATCGACATTCTAAATAATTAAAGAATGGTAAAATTTAATTTTGGATATAAAGTAGAAAAGGGAGCGATAGTAATATGATGCACAATATCGTCTTTTTTAGGAGAAAAGTACACAATATTGTTTTGATTATGATGGATAGAACGCTGTCACTCAGGGATAGGATGATTAATGGTGTGAAAGGGAGGGATGATGAGGAGGGTGTTTAAGCGAGTAGGGACGGGAAGTAAATTCCATAGCCTCACTGCAGAGACCTTAAACGATACGAACGAGATAGGAAGGAGTTTTAGGATTTAACAGTACATAATATATAGAGTGATGGAGAACGTGAGCATCACGTCGCTGATGAATGGGTAACCAGCCTAGCCGCTTACGGAACGTAGAGATATGGTCGTACTTTATTAAACCGAATAGAAAACGGATACAGAAATTATGTAGACGATCCAGTTTATTAAGCAATTCCTCGTTTAGATCGGAAGAACAAGAATCGTCATCTAGTAATGGCAGGAGAGATTGTGCACTATATAGTCGTACTTTTTTAGACTGATTATAAAATGGATACAGAAATTTTAGAGACAATGTTTTCTTATTGGGATTGATTAGTAGACCAATATCTTTACTCCAGATTTACTATTTAACAAAATATGGAGCACGCCATGCGTTGCAAATTTTCGACCAGACTATTTTGCGGTGCTGGTAGCAGTGATAGCGCTTCTTCTAGTAGTTAATGTTTTTAATCTGTCGCAATAATTGAAATTAAAATTATGAAGTAAATTATTAGAAAATTGCAAGCTGACCGGGTTAACATTGTTAATTTTAAATTATCTCTATTCGAGAGAACAATATAATATAAATTATATTATATGATACAGAGATGGCCCTAGGTTGTGAGTGTTAATATGCTGTTGAATTTTTTTTTATATATCTTGTATTTGCATCATTATTGTAAAATACCTTTATAATTAAAGAATTTAAAATGGGCATAAATAATACAGACTTTATTGACTTTTGAAAACGCCTTAAACTTATAAATAAATAATCATACATACATCACATACTCTACACAATCAAAAATTAGAGAAGCAATTTTTTCCTATATAATATACAATCTAAGTCTGTTATAATGCAGAAACAGGAATACACATGTTGGTACTTAAAGTACCACTATTGTGCCACACTAATATTCAATGATAAAACAATGTAAGGGAGTTTAGACCGGTCTGCGGAAGTTCTTGCCAGCATACTTGGCTGCTGCACCAAGTTCCTCCTCAATACGGAGAATTTGGTTATACTTGGCCAAACGCTCAGATCTGCATGGAGCACCTGTCTTGATCTGGCCAGTAGAAAGACCCACAACAAGATCAGCAATAAAAGTGTCTTCAGTCTCTCCGGACCTGTAAATTTTTATTATATTTAGTTTTTCCTTTAAAAAAAGAAAATCAATTCTAAAAAAGAAACTAGCAGGTAACATCTCACCTATGAGAAACCATTGTGCCCCATCCATTAGTCTTGGCCAGCAAGTGAGCATCAATGGATTCAGTGACACTACCAATTTGATTGACCTTCAGGAGAAGACAGTTACAGGCTTTCTTTTCTACAGCAGTTGCAATGCGTTTTGGGTTTGTTACCTACAAATACATTGTTAAATATAATCATTTTCATTTTAAATGGGATTCAAAGCTTTCAAAAAGATCTTACTGTAAGATCGTCTCCAACAATCTGGATTGATGTGCGGGCAGTGAAGTTACTCCATGCCGACCAGTCATCTTGGTCAAAGGGGTCTTCAATAGAGACCATGGGAAAGTCCTTGATGAAGTCAAGGTAGACATCGGCTAATTTTTCTGATGAGAGGTAGTCAGTAGGGTTTGACTTGGGATTCTTGAAATCAAGATCATATGTTGCATTCTTGAAAAATTCTGATGCTGCTACATCCATACCAATTTCAATCTGGAAACAGTAAATAGGTAAAACAAAAATAAAACAGATTTTTTGGGTTTGAGACCAATGCCAATTTTTCAAATGCACAACTTCAGGATTTAGCGTTGTTAACTCAAGCCATAAGCCAACACCATTCAATTATGTATAATGTGAACTCCATTTTCAACCCATGATTGTTTCTCATTGTTTTGTTAAGGAAAAAAATATAATTTATAATGTAATGTAATTGTAGTGTGAAAAATATACCTTTCCAGTGTAGCCCGCCTGCTGAATAGCATCTTGAATAAGGTACAAAGCGTCCTTGTTGTTCTGAATGTTAGGGGCAAAACCACCCTCATCACCCACAGCAGTTGAGTCTAAGCCAAATTTTTCTTTGATGATTTTCTTCAGATGGTGGTAGATTTCTGAGCCCATGCGCATAGCCTCACTAAATGATGATGCACCTGCAAAATTTGATAATAAGTAAAGTAAATCATGAAAAAATATTGAAGAAATACAGATAAGTTGTTTATTATTTACAAGTGATAAGGATATATGATGTCAGTATGTATTTATATTGTTTGGGATATACAACTGATAAACATATATGATGTCAGCTTTTCAGTATTTTAATTATGAGATAAAATACAAACCAGTGGGCAAAATCATGAACTCCTGCATGGCAAGTTTGTTTCCAGCATGTGATCCACCATTAATGACATTAAAGGCAGGAACTGGAAGAACAATGTCTTTGTTTCCAGCCAAATCAGCTATGTGCTTGTAAAGAGGAACACCCTTTTTAGCAGCACCAGCCTTAGCTACAGCCAGAGACACACCCAAGATGGCATTTGCACCAAATTTTGACTTATTCTCAGTGCCATCAAGCTTGATCATGAACTGATCAATCTATAAAAAATGTTATAAGTATTAACCTTTACTAACAGTGTAAAGCCTTAATAACTTTAAATCTCAAAAACTAACGAATATTCTGTCTTTATCACTCTTAGGACATTTTAAGTAATATTGTCTTATGTGTTTATATATAAAAAACATCTTAACCGGGAATTATTAGAAATAGTTTGTTTTTAACATAAGTATATTTAGATAATTGCATTAGTATATTTAGTTACCTCCTTTTGCTGGGTTTCATTAAAGCTTTGTTTAAGCAATTCAGGTGCAATTATGTCATTGATGTTCTTAATTGCAGTCAGAACCCCTTTCCCATGGTATTCACCCTTCACATTGTCTCTTAATTCAAGGGCTTCATGGACACCCGTTGATGCACCAGACGGTACAGCCGCTCGGAAAAGCCCCAGCTCAGTCACCTTTCGAATTTAACTTATATTTAGTAAGCTGTTGTATATTAAAACAAACTTCAATTTAGACAAGGTCAAATTCTATACATACTAGGTCAACCTCCACTGTGGGGTTGCCGCGAGAGTCGAAGATCTGACGAGCTTTAATCGAAGTGATTGGCATCTTGGAAGTGTAAATTCGGAGACCTGCTTAAAAAAAATTGCTTCGATTGTTAGGTAATACTTAAAGTTAATTTATAATAATTTTAGAATTAATTAATACTTTATAATTATAAATTCTATGTGACCGATATTAAATTTCACCTAAGAAAACTTACCTAATAAAATCAGTTGCTTCTAATTAATTTGACTTCTTTAACCTTTGCAGAAGATGTGCAATACCCACTGAAATTCGCCGGCTACTGTCCTTTGACCTTCACAAGGTGAAGTTAGAGACGTTCATCTGTACCATCGAAAAAAGTACAGATACTAGTACAACTACAATAGTCTATATATAAAATGTATACTAAAACGTTAAGCAATGTATCCCATATAAATGTAGCGTTATTAAAATACATCCACCTTATTTTGTAGGTAAAAGTGCACCAAATTTCAATCGCAACATTCAGTAATTTTTATCGGTTTTTAATTACCTGTGAATCTGTATAAAAGTATATTTTGACGTATGATATTTTAACGATCGATGAGTCAAGTGTCAACCAGTGTCACTGTCAAGAACGATTTCTTTTATAGGAATCAGGTCACTGGTCAGTCGTCACGATTATTTTGTAAATTGTGTAAATAATTAGTCTTCGAATATAAGTGTAAAGTGTGTTTTATAAAATAATGGATGTCAAAGACGGCGATAAAGAGGAAAAGAAACCAATTGTTGTTAAAGATGCTACAGATTTACAACGACTTCGCCTTGAAAAACTAATGAAAAACCCAGTATGTATAATTGTTTGTCTTTTCTTATGCTAGGGTCGCAGTCTAATTCTTTTTTTATAATTTTAGGAGAAGCCAGTTTTGATACCAGAGAGACGTAAAGATAAATCACTTGCTCCACCACCTGACTTTGTTCGTAATGTAATGGGTTCTAGTGCCGGCGCGGGTTCGGGAGAATTTCATGTATATAGGCACCTTAGACGAAAGGAGTATGCACGTCAAAAATTCATACAGGAAAAAAGTGAAAAGGTATACTACTACTAAATACTAACGTCATATAAACGAACACAAATAATTTTTAAGTAATTAAAATAATAAGTTTTTATTGTAGACCCCATTTTTGTTTTAGGAAAAGCTTGATGATGCATATCACAATAGAATAGAGGAAAATAAACGTAAAGCAGAAGAAAGAACTGCCAAAAAGAGAGCTAAAAGGTTAAAAAGGAAACAAAAAACTAAAATAAAAGCTACTCAACCAAAAACAAATATTGCTGACGACAAATCTTCCCAATCTAATAGTGATAGTAATAATTCAGAAGAAGAACTTGGACTTGACTCGAAACAAAAGACTGATAATACTACAGAACCTAATATTAATAATGTGAAAAGTGATTGTGAAAGTGGCAATGATCATTCTTTGTAAACTTTTATTAATAATAATATTTTTTACAATTACCATTAAACTCTATTAATATAAGTGATATAAGTAATATAAGTGGTAAAAATTACCAAAATTATATCGTTTCACTTGTATTCTTTTACTTATTAAAAAAAATGGAAAAATATATAGGCCTACCAAAAATACCAAAACTTTTATTTGGTTTTATCCTTGTATGGACAAGGCAAAGTAACAAAGAAAAGAAAGTTAAGTGTGTTTGACATTAAATCAAATGACATAGACTTTATACTATTTTAATATCCATTTGTAAACATAATCAACAACTGCCTGAATTTCTTTCCTGATACCACAAATATGTAGAACTTATTTAAATATTTTTTCAAAAATATACAAAATTGATACAAACAACTAAATTACTTCATAATACACTGAATGTGTAACTAACTAATGTAGGCCACATTGGGAAGAACTGACAGGTGAAAGAATAAAATCAAATAGAATCATTAATATTTTAATTATTTTTAATTAGAAAGGACATTTAATTAATTATAATTAGAAACTAAATGTGCATTACTGAACTGAAGCCATTATGCTATCCTCATTTTTCTTCAAGATTACAAAACCTTCCATAACCGGTGATAGTGGTATGTACTCATCAGTTGCGAGCTCTGCTCTCTCCCCAAAGGATAAAAGAACAGGTGTAGTATGAGTGTGTGATCCTGCTATTGTTTTGGGTGTACCAGCTTTTCCAATAACATCAACAGCCTGTAATCAAATTTAAATTCAATAATGCTAAGTTAATTAATTAACTTACTTTTGAATTTTGATAGGTTAAGTAAATTTATTTAATTCAAATTACCTGTCCAACACGAACACTGACATTCAAGGGTTGAAGATTCTCATCCAGTGTAACTAACCACCTGGGCTGCATTGCAGTAGCCAGAACAAAGAGCAAGTAATGTGACTTGCCAAGGATAACTAAAATAAATTATATAATTCAATTTAGTATGAATAAATTTACTAAATTGTAAGTATATACTATAGTGTAAGGAACTAAAAAAATGCTGGTCAAATTTCAAAAAAAATTAAGACTGAAAAAAGGCTAAAGGCTTCGTTCTTAAGATAAATATTTATTATCCTAAATTAAAATTTGAACAAAGTTATGGGAAACATTAAGTATATCGAGATGCTCCTTTTTAATTAACCTAGGGAACAGTCCAAGTTAACACGCATTCCTTATGTATAAAAAATCTTACTATTTTTGCAGTCGAGAAGCGCTGTTAGCACAACAAGAAGACCAGCAAGAGCTGGCTGGTTGACTAGACGGCGATCCGCATGTGCTGGACTCAATGTCACTGTACCTTTGCCTGCGTGGCACAGACCTTGAGCAAGTCGCACCATGAATAAATGCACGGGCGACTTGCTGTGGTATAAAGCCAGGGCACGGAGCATTGTTGCCAGTCTGCAAAAGACACATAAATACAATGTTTCTTTCCATATAACGACAACTATCTATAACGCCAGAAATAGGCAGACCGTTTAGCATCAATATAAACAAAAATATTTTAATAGTTCCCAAGACACATTCTTTATTAACTTCTAAACCGTCGGAAATGTTGTCTATGTATCTTGTTTAAAAAACCCACTTTTGACTGCATATAAATTAAACAGAAATAAAATATATTTGGACCTAACGAAGGAGGTAGGAATTCTCAAATTAATGTCTATACACACCTGGCATTGTTGGTACCAGCTCCAACAAGCCCCATTGCGAATATCGCGTTATAGGCGACGTCATTGTCAGAGTCGTGTGAGTACTTGTTAAGTACATCGATCACCGCCAACTGTGGGTTTGACACAGAGCACAAGGCAATAGCGAGTGGCACTGCGCGTCGAACTGCTGGCTCTCCGTAACGACCCTGCATTTAGAAAATGATTTTATAATTAAAGATTTTACAACTACTATTTTAAAGTACACTTTTATCGCATCAAAGACCGTTTAATTATTTATACAATCTCATTCGGTAATATCCTAATTATGAAATGAAATACAGACTTTTATTGGCATATTTTATTTACATACATACTTACTTCTTTAAGAAAATTAAAAAAGTAAATGAAAGCAATATTCTCCTAACAAAACAATGCTTTACAAATTTTTTTTAATTATTAAAGTACAATGTGTCTCAACCAAGGAGGTTTCAATTCAATTTAAGATCACATTATCTGTGGTGAGCGCGCTGGTTCCGAGCCAATAGACAAATAACAGACTTATAATAAATAATTTGTTTCTTTTATATTGCATTTTATTTAATGTAGCTACCTATAGCCATGAGATTAAATAAAGTAGTGTATGCAACTGCATATAATTAGGTATTAAAACACTCATGTAATCTTATTTTGAAACTCTAATACTAAACTATGTTTTAATACCCTCTATTATGACAGTTGCTTAAACTACTATAAACGTACCAGTTTTATTAAAATTTAATCGCATTTAAACTGATGCCACTTCATAATAGTATTTTAGGTGTATGAACAAATTCATGAAAAGGTTTCAAAATAATCGTATTAATTCCTTTTTGTACTCAAATCAGATAGTTTAGGATCACAAGTTGCAATTGTTTCTCTTATGATATTTTACACAATTTTTGATATGTCAAAATATTTGCGTTATATAAATATAGTCCCTTATCTGTTTACCGTAATATATCGTATTTAAATATTTATTAACGGACTTTAAGATAGTTTGTCCCTCTAGTTGCAGGAACAAAAACTGTCAAGTCAGCCCGAATTGACAGCTTCCTTAATGTAACTTGTGTAAAAATAAAATCACAAACATAATAAATAATACCTATAGTATACAACTTACCAGCTGTCCAAATATCCTAGTGCACATTTCAGCGCCAGTTTCTTCCGCGAAAGCGATAACTGCCACTCCCAGGGTAGCAACCGCCTGAACTGACGACAACTCCTTGTTTGCTTCACGCTCCTTCTCTTTCTCTTTGCTCTTACTGTCTTTTGACTTGCCTGGAAAATATGGCAAATAAGAAATCTAGAGTTAATCGTGGTATATATAGATGGAATATATGGATAAAAATACAATTACTCTATTTGCAGCGTAATAACTAAGCTTCTGTCTCTTTTTATCACAGCGTAAACACAATTTGACAGAATGGTCCAAGTTTTAATTAATAATAATAATAATAAATAATCTTTATTTCTTCTCTGAGATATACATACAAGGTTATTATGATTAAACTAAGATGATAACAAGTGTATGTGAGAGACTGGTCTCTGTAACAGGAGACCTGAGTGACAGATAGCCAGCCTCTCCACCACCGGACCGAAACACGTACAATCAAGTCATTATCATAAGATAAAATAGAAAAAAATAAGAAAGTGCTAAAAGAAAACATTGCAAACGGAGTCGTAAAAATAAATTTGGTGTGTGTGCGCGCGCGCGTGTGTGTCTCTGTGTGCGTGCGTGTGTGTATGTGTGGGCGAGTGGGTGTATTACAGAGTAACAGTTATTAAATCTTCTGTTTCATAATAACTCAACGTCTTCATTAATCTTGTCCTGTTTCTCTTTATTTTTATGATAAACTTACTGACACCAATTAATTTTTTTTTTACTTCAAGCGCTTTAAGCAGTCACTGATGAAAGTAATTAATATAATTTCCCATTTAAATTTGGACAGATATTTATTTGTACCAAAATCAAGTACAAAGCTATACTTACTCTTGTTCTTATCATCCTTGGAGCTACTTGCAGAAGCGCTACCACTGCTAGTGCTTTCTTTGTTCTCTTTTTTATCTTGCTTCTTAAAGGCTGTATCTTCAGTGGATGCTTGTTCATTCTATGACATGTGTAACTTTAATATCACATTCAAACGATCTATAATCAGTATACACATCAAATCTATGTACCGACGCAGAAGAGACAATTCTTGACGTTAGGGACGTTAGGGAGCGTTCAAGTATTACGTAACGAGTTTTTATGGGGTGTCCTTTTGTAAAACGTTACGATGCGGGGCGGAGATTGAATTACGCGTTATTGCTAATATTATTTTCGACTTACACCACATAATAGTTACTAAAGAGACACAAGGTGGTCACGAAACGTTTTACTATACTTGAGTACAGTACTGTACAAGGGTACTGAAAAACGTTACGGCGAGTTACATGCCCCCCCCAATCAATAATCTCCAAAAATTGCGTTACGTAATACATAAACGCTCCCTTATACAGTTCTCGTTATATAGAACAAAACATTGTACGAACAAGGGAAACCAACTTAATTGAAGTTAGAAATAAAAACATTAAAATTAATTAATTATTATACAATTTAAGAAACTATGCTTGACTTCGTCATAAACACGTTTTAATCAATTATTTTAAAAAATCCGCTTTTTTGCATTTTTACATTTATGGTATTAACTTTTTTTTTTTTCTAGTATTGGTCATCGAATATTCAATTGTATTGTATAACTAGTCTAAGGAAGGAATCGTTACATACATCAGTCTCGTAATGTTTGGAGCAGATGTGCAGCATCTGTTGTACGACGAGCACGTCACCGGTGCCTGCGTACGCGCACATTGACAGTGTTGTCTGACATAACGACTGCTGTGGTTCTGGTAGGACCTCTAACGCCGCCATTGTGGCTTCTGTACGCTCTTTGCAACCTATAAACAAGAAATATTGGATACTTATACCCTTATACGTGAAACAATACTCAGGTTATTGACAGGCAATATTGACGGTTTTCTATTATGATCAGTATTCTGTCTACACTGTCAACAGAACCAGCTAGACCACTCTATGGGTAAGTAGATAATTCATCGTATACCAAGCTCATCATTATTATAACTTGTTATAAATATAAGAATCTATACAACATACTTTTCTGCTTACATTTTTATTTTTTTACTTTTATTAAATAAGGCTTCTTACCCAAAAAGCATAGGCCGAGACCTAAATGCAGGAAGCGCGCATAGGTCGACGAGTGAAGATCTTTATTGTCATCGATTAGACGTTGAATGATTGCACAGGTTACCTATAAAACACGAAATAGTATTTATATAATATTTGAATAATTAAGACAACACTTTACATCTCAAAATCAATGATGTATATGGTGTTACCAGGTTGACACATTTTTAAACTAAATACTGTTAACAAATTGGAATGGAAGGTACGAAAGAAAACATACAATACATACATACACAAACAAGTCTTAACTTATTTTTGAGTGACGTCAGATTATTAAATAAAATGCCTTATAAAATACGCCTTAACACAAACCCACAATATCTATCTAATATATCTAGGCTTTGGACATAATTTAAAAATAACATTCGAATAATAATAGAATTTATGTTACACTTAATGTAAGAGAATAATAATAAATATTTATTTATTTAATTTTTCAAATGTAAACTGAACTTTATAGACTACTAGCTGGCCTGGCGAACATCGTACCGCCTAACAGTCGATTCTTTATTTTTTTTAAATACTTATTCTGCTATTCGGAACACCCGTCTAGCTAGTAAGATAAAAAAAAGTTGATAAGACAACAAATACATTATGTCAAAAAATAAAAATGTACCTTCCCGGAACCCCTCCACTAACACTTGAACTTTATGATATGGTATTAAAGTTCAAATTGACTTTTTAAGTATTATTACGAATATTTTGTATGGGAATATAGAAAAGTTGTTAGACTTTTTCACTCAATTTTTTTTAATTTTTCTCTCCGTAAGAACCATCCTCGTACTTCAAGGAATATTATAAAAAAAGAATTGGCCAAATTGGTCCAGGCGTTGTTGAGTTATGCGCTTACCAACACATTTTGCGATTCATTTTTATATTATAGATAATGACTCCTTTTCCAGTCTTTGATTATTTAATTGTAATTAATTATTTACATGCAATCAAAAACTACATATTTTTAATAATGCCAAATAACTATAACTTCTTTCGCGCGTACATAAGTACACGCACCCTTTTTTTTTTATTGTATAGAGATGTTCAATTATTTATTTTGTTTCCCAAATAAATAAATAAATCAATGAACGACTTTTTATTTAACAAAAAAATTAAAATAAATAACCCAAGAGATTTAAGGAGAAATAACGAATATATAATATACTTACATCGCCATTACACGACCCAACAGCGATGAGACCACAAGAAACCGCTGCCAGTGCACAGATCTCAGGCGGCGCCGCGGAATCGCTTAGAACTGGCAATAAATGAGACAAGACGTCCTCGCGCTGAGTTCCAGCGTACGCTATGCCCAGACCTATTGGAAATATTTATTATTTAATCGGTTTTCTGAATTAAATCGCGTTTCAGAATCACAGGATTAAAAGCTAACTAGACAGCATATTTTACAATTATTTCTTAGAATTGTGCTATTGTTACCTACTTCATTGACTTTGATGCTTCAAAATTATGCTAGGAAATTGTTCTCTGTAAGATAAATTTTATAATGTAGTTGTTTTTTTTAAAACAGGTATTATCAAAGATACCTGCCACAATTTTAAATCTAAATAAATAATACATCATTATTTCTTTGAAAAAAATCTTTTAAAAAATTTCAATAAAAATTCTTGACATAGATTAAATAGCATTTCATTTGAAAAATAGTAGGATATGCCTCGTTTTTCGACTAGATTTGTCTTGAGTCGTTTGTCGACTAGATTACACTAGAGGTAAACACAAAGTTTATCTTTGAAACCTGATTTTTTTGTTAAGAATGATGATCTGTGTTATGTTTACCTAGATAGTATAAACCATTTGGTTACTCACCTAAAACACTGCCGATTCTCAAGTTAGCACTAGAGTGGAGGACATAGTCCGACAACAGAGCTAGTGCTGGATCACACTCATTCCTGACTCCGCAATTTACTAAGCCAAGAGCGAGAAGAGCTCCGGCTTTAATGTGTTCATCAGCTGTGTATAGGTATTTGTCAATTGGAGTTAGACCTCCATCTACATCCCATAAATGGATCATGCCTAGAGATGCTGCGGCTGATAACATTCCTATTCAAAAACAAAAAAATATTATTGTCAATTATATTAAATAGATACTTAAAAGAAATCAAAGATGAATTGAATATATAATTTAAATACACAATAAAGTTTTATAACAACTTTATTTATAGCACATGGGTCAATGACCCCTGTATTTAATTTTTTTTTCTACTATCAACAAATTTTATTTCATTATTGATCTTACCATGGTCTTTGTTCTTGTACATCCATTTATTACCATCTTCAGTCGTAACCAACTTATCTCTGCCAAACCCAGCATTAACAAATGCATTGACAAATGTTGCAGATAAGTTCTGACGAGCTGAGTCAACAGGGTGATCAGCTAGTAGTGATGGTCTGAGAGCAGATCCAGCTGATTCCAACCAGGTTTTGTATACCTCTTCTGGTGTTTTTGGTTCCATGATATCAAGCTGAAATAAATATAGATTACATTAAAAACTGCAACATACTAATAAAATTATACTTTTAATGTTTTGTTTTCTGTGAGCATGCTTTCTTTTTATTGTATAGAAAAAAAAATTTACTAGGTACCAGTTGATAAAACTCTTCTTGCCTTTGGGTTTACATTTATTTTTATGCCAATTGTGCTATACAAAATTATTAATATTAATTAATTATATTTGAGTTAATTACTCTCCATTTAACCACCACTTAAATATTTTTCAAATTAAACTGCCATATTATTGTAATAAAATATTTGTAAGTACTTCAAACTTGACTACTATTTACTAAGTTTAATACAATGTTTTAAATTAATTTTTATTTATCAAAATATTAAATTTATTTTATAAAGTACTCAAAATTTTGTTACATGTCATTAAAATAGACCTTAACTGGCCCCAAAGTGCATATAATCAATTTCACGATCTATATTTTAATTATAATATTACCTCTCTTCCCAAACTCAGAAAGTGATCATTGATGTGGGCATTGAGTAGGATTGTTCTTAGATCTTCATCATCCAAGTCTAAAGGTACATACTGTCGAGCAAGCATGTAGCATAATTGTTTTTTGACCAACCTAAAACATTAAATTAGAATAGTTTGGAGTAGGTCATGCACAGGTTATGTTCAAAATACCTTTATCATATAAAATATGGTGTTGAATTGTAGAAATATGTATTGTAAATAATGATATCAATGTTAAAATTACTTACAGGTCATTACAGGAATTAAAAACTTCCTCACATTTAGCCTTATCATGCAATTGCATAGCAACCAATAAGGCTCTTGGGTACTCTCCAAACTTCAAATATGTTTCCAGCACTCCTTGGAGTATTTGAGTTGACTCAGGTTCAACCACATAACTTGCACATCTACAAAAAATTAATAAGTATAATATATGGATCACTAAAACCTGGCCATGAGGATAATTTTTCTTAGTAGAAGTAGGTTTTCAGCCTAATGTGCGTGACAAGATGCCTTTCCCACAGTGTTTTTAAATCATGTTACATACATGTATGTGTGGAATAAAAATTATATTATCTAATACCATCAATTACTGACTTTATAAAGTATAACTTTTGACAGGACTTTTGAATTTTTGGTAAAGATGCGAAACAGACGTACCCAAATTTAGGGTTGCGGGGGGTGAGGAGGGAGGGGAAGGGTGTAGTAATCACCCCCCACAAATTTTGCGCTTAGGAAACCAAAAAAAATTTTTTTTTTTACAGTACTTAATCTGAAAATGAGCGCAAGAAATCAGTGTCTAGTATGTATGTAAAGCCAAGTTTTAAAAAATGGTAATAAAATAACGCACATTCACGCAAAAATAAAAAAACCTAAAAAGTAACGGCTTTTTAACTTATAATTTGCACTTGATCACTGTGAACACACACTGTTCTGGCAAAATCCACATTCGAAATGGCCGATTGCGTTTATACTTTATAAAATGAATAGGGATGTGAAAAATAATCTATTCTGTGAAAGTGAAAATCGATTTTAGTATTCGATTTTGAATCCGATTTTGTATTCGATTTCGAGTTTCAGTTAAACAGTTATTTAAAAAAAATATTAATATACGGTTAGTATATTAATATAATCTTATATTTATATAACTTAACCGATCTAAATAATATTTGTTTATTTGGACAGCTCCGATCTAAATAGTAATTGTTTATTCAAGCCTCGGCTTCTCGGCGACCAAATATTCATATACTTTTTTTTTTTTTTTTTATATTGTTGGGAAATCAATTTACTGACCCCCGCGCGGGGCAACGATTTAAAAGTGGCGCAGGGAGTGTGGGAGTCAGTCCGTATGGTGCAATGGACACCTACCCACTAAAACCCAACAGCCCCATCTGTTCGCTATGGACGGGAGGCGCGGTAACAGTTTCCCTTAATCCGTGCCTCCGTCACGAGCGTCTGCTGTGTGAGCACATATTCTGCGTTGCCCAATCCTGTCCTAAGGTCCCAGTGGAGTACGTGCGTAATCGCGAGTCTCCTTCCAGGCCTTTTTTGCGTTGAGGGTCGGCGTCTGGGTTACACTCCCGAACCCTCTCCGCATTCTCTTTAAGTGTAATGACGGCTTCACAGAACGCTTTGAAAGTGTTCCATGGGCCGTCACTGTCAGCCTCCATCATAGCTTTAACTATGACTGGAAGCGACAGGTCCAATCCGAAGGTGGCGGTTAATAGGCTACGTTCAGAGCTCCACGCCGGACAAACCTCTAAAGTGTGTTGCGCTGTGTCGTCTGCGAAACCACACTCGTGACAAATGGGGGATGCCTCCTCCTGGCAACCCTGTGAAGGTATCCACCGAAACATCCATGGCCTGTGAGGACCTGAACGAGTCGGTACGAGAGTGCCCCCATCTTCTATTTACCCAAAGTTGAGCACTGGACGTATAGAGTAATTGTCCAGACTCCTGCCCTGTGATCTTGTAACTCATCCATCCATTTCTGAAGGACGGTCACTTGGGCTTCCCGTCTCCAGCTGTTTATGGGCTCAGGAAGGGGGTCGAAACCCCTACTTCTACTATCTGCCCTAGCCAATAGATCTTGGCTAGGGCAGCCGCTTCGAGGTGCCAGGGGCAGTTCCTGCAATATTCATATACTAACCTAACCTAACCAATCTAAATAATATTTGTTATTGTGGACAGCTCCGATCTAAATAGGTATTATTTATTCAAGCCTCGGCTTCTCGGCGTCCTGGTCGCCTTCGGCGACCAAATATTCATATACTAACCTAACCAATCTAAATAATATTTGTTTTTGTGGACAGCTCCGATCTAAATAGTAATTGTTTATTCAAGCCTCGGCTTTTCGGCGTCCTGGTCGCCTTCGGCGACCAAATATTCATATACTAACCTAACCTAACCCATCTAAAAAATATTTGTTTTTGTGGACAGCTCCGATCTAAATAGTAATTGTTTATTCAAGCCTCGGCTTCTCGGCGTCCTGGTCGCCTTCGGCGACCATTTATTCATATACTAACCTAACCTAACCCATCTAAATAATATTTGTTTTTGTGGACAGCTCCGATCTAAATAGTAATTGTTTATTCAAGCCTCGGCTTTTCGGCGTCCTGGTCGCCTTCGGCGACCAAATATTCATATACTAACCTAACCTAACCCATCTAAAAAATATTTGTTTTTGTGGACAGCTCCGATCTAAATAGTAATTGTTTATTCAAGCCTCGGCTTCTCGGCGTCCTGGTCGCCTTCGGCGACCATTTATTCATATACTAACCTAACCTAACCCATCTAAATAATATTTGTTTTTGTGGACAGCTCCGATCTAAATAGTAATTGTTTATTCAAGCCTCGGCTTCTCGGCGTCCTGGTCGCCTTCGGCGACCAAATATTCATATACTAACCTAACCTAACCCATCTAAATAATATTTGTTTTTTTGGACAGCTCTTTCTCGCTACGGGAAATGCAGCCCCTCCACCCTTGCGTACCAAAGCACAGGCATTTTATGCAAGCCTCAGCCGCTACAGCTTTCATAATGCCTGTGCTTTGTTACAGCGGGTGGGGGCTGCTCTTCCTCCGCGCCTCCGATTATTTATATACACTCTAGGGGTAAGGCAGACAAGACCACGTGGATAGTGGGGTGCTCTGATTCGGTTTTGGGTACTTTTTGAATAATTTTCGGAACCATACATTAATTAAAACATGAAGTTAATGTAATGTATGTACATTTGACAAGTAATGCTTAAATTAGGTTCAACTATAAAATTAACAAATGAGGAAATAATCGATTCGATTAGGTTCAACTTTAAAAACAACAAATGAGAAAATAATTGATCCGATTAATTTACCGAAAATGTCACATCACTTATAACCAATAGAAAACGACAATGACACATCACTTATAACCAATAGAAATCGAGAATGTCACTTCTCTTATAACCAATAGAAAAGTAGTTAGATAATGGCGGATTGTTTACAAATTTCAATACAATTCACAAAAGTTAAAAAAATTTTTTTAAATACTTTGACGCTTATCCTAAAGCTAAAATCACTTGGAGGTGTTCCAATCAAGGGTCCCCGAGACTCCTGCACAATCAGTATCATCAAATTCAGGTGCGTTTGACTCACACCCAACCCCATAAATGTAATGCTCCTGAATAAATCCGTTTTTTAAAGTCACATATTTTATAACATTTGCCATTAAACTATTACACGTATCTAAAACAGCTTACCCAATCAAATATAAGCAAACTCGAGGATAGTTGCTTTGATCCATGTGTTGTGTGAGAAGATCTAAACGATCAATTTCCATAAGTAAGTCACAGGCCTGAATTTCAGCTGAGTGTTTCATATCAAAAGCAATTACATCTCGGACCAGAGGTAACAAACTGTCCATATTTTCTACATTCCATTCCTCAGATATTTCCCCTTCAAGTTGCCTATTGAAACAACATGTAATTAATGTATATGTAATTTTTTTGTAACATTTCTGTTTTGTATGGCTCATATTACTTACCTAACATATTCATGCCCCCATTCGCCAACATTAGCCATTGTTCCTAGTAAACAATACTTAAGACATTCCCTCTTCTCTGCAACATCCTACAAAATTTTATTGGGGTTAGAATTTTTAATATGTTATCCAAAAACCTAACAATGAATGATAACTTACAAGAGTTCCACTGACACCCATTGCTAATACTGATACCACATCAGCACAAAATTTTTTAGTTTTAGGATCCTGTATCTTTTCATAGATTTCTTTTAATGCTGGATAGTGTTCTCTCAAAAACTTTAGGGGTTTAGGTACAGAAGTCATTGAAGTAGTTGATGTACGTATTAGATTAGTTAACATTTGTAAAGCAGGAAAGTATAAGTCAACTTCATTTCCCTAGAATCAGAAATTGTTATTAGCTTAAATAAAGGTTTTGGAACCTTAATCATGATTATATTTCCAGAAATATTTTAACATACCACAAGTTTTTCCACAAGCATATTGAGTTCCTCTTGGAGGCGTTTGTCTTCTTCCGACTATAATAAATACAAAACAAGATCAGAATTAAAGTGAACTTAAAAATGTTGAGTGAAATTAAAATTTTTTAAATATTTACTTACCAAATCATCATTAGGAGCAGCTACTGGTTCAGTCTTTTCCTTTTTTGCTTCTTCTTGTTTATTCTTAGCAGTCATTTTTATTTTAGTATTAAACCCACTGGTATGTTAAGGATAAATTAAAGTAATCAAGTTGTATAGCAAAAATTTAATTCACAAAGCACAAATCGTGAGTCTTACAATTTTGACAAGTCACCGCCGGACCAAAGAGTATATAATAAATAATAATATAGTCTGGCACAGACAAACAATATTCCACATATAGCACAGAGGATAATTAGTTTATTGATTACAAAATATTATGTAATGTAAAAAACAGAATTAAATATATCGGTTTATAAGTAGGTATTGTATTGTCACATATTATGGAAAGGTAATTGAAGATCTTTAAACATCTTCAATTACCTTTCTTCGCATTACACACTTACTCTATTATTTAGAATAATTCGATCTTGGATTGACGTTTAAATTCATAATTAATGGTAATTAAAATAAATTGATATATTATTGGAATTGCGAAGTAAACATAACCAATTTATTAAATTTTCGTTATGGCCTGTATATAAGGCCTACAAAGTTATATGACCCGGTGGCGAAAACGGGAACTAAAGTCGCCATCTTGAATACGTCATTCTGTATGTCATTGCAAAGCAGTCCGTCAGCTCGTGTGTTTTTTCTTAGTAGTTTGTGATAAAAGTGATAGAAAAAATGCCGAAAGCATTAAATTTAAGGAGTGACGCAAGAAACATGATTTCAAAAATGTTGGCCTTTATGAAGGAAGAGAAACGTCTCAAAGCCCCAATAATACCATTTAAATAGTATATGAACGAATAACTGCTGCAAAAAAAGATTTATACGTTTTGAAGGGAAACCAGAGTAAGAATAACTGGGGGTCTAGCCATATTGGTGTCGAAAAGTATTCTACATACACTACCGCTTTTGCGTAATTGTACTGTCGAAAACGCTTCGTTCGTAGCCAAGAGGCATGTCGATACATTACCGCAAAGTCGACAGCGTAGATGCGAGCTGCTGTTCGTAGCACCAGATTCCGTCATATTGTCTCTGGATTAAATGTATTCCTAATGTCACTTTTATAAACAAATAAAAGTTAAAACTGCAATATTATTGTTAATTTGCAATAATTGCAAATTCCAATTATTGGAAGCTGCAAAAGGGACATTAGAATGTCAGCAAGGTCGTAACAATTTTCGATTTAAGTGGAATTTACGGAAGGTGTAAAGTGAATATATGAATTTTAATTGCATGTTTAAATTACTTATGGTTTGTTTCATGTTTTCTCAGAAATTTAAGGCTACAAATAAATACAATATTTTGAAATTGCATAATCGCGATATATAATAATTAGTAGTACTCATACTTTGATATTTTTAGGATTTGACTTGATTCACAACTAATCTGCAAAATGAAGAAGCAACATATTTTGTTACCGCTAAGAAGAAACAATAGAAATAGTACTGTGGATTGATAAATAAAGAGTGAAAATAAGGTTGACTAGAAGTTGATAAGGAATAGAAGGATAGTCCAAGAAATTAAAAAACAATAGAAAAAAAACGTAAACTAGTGTGAACACTGAAATTAGAGTTTGATTTAAGCTTTAATTAGGTTTGGTGTTTGTGCTTGAACATTTTTAATGTCAATTTGAAAGCAGATTTAAATATGTGTAGATTTTATTATTGATTTGCTACTAGTTGGAATTATCTCTGTTTATGTCCAACAAACAATTTTAGTTTAAGTTAGAGTCATAAAGATTGATTGTTTATAATAAATGTATACTGATTTTAAGTTAATATTTATGTCAATTAACTTTTGGTTATATCAGTGATTTGCTACTAGTTAATATGTAAATGCAAAATCTGTATAAATGAGAAGTGAATAAACATTGTATGTTATGTATTTGTCAGTTTTATTTTTGGTAATTTACCTATGTCTTCTTTAGTAGGAAAAGCCATTAAAGTGGTTAACAACATTAGTTTATTTTACAAGAATATACAGATAATGCATATATGAATGACCCGTACCTACTAATAGTTAGGAATATTAAACAAATAGGTAGCAAAATAAAAATGTTTCAGTTATGGTTATTTTTTATTAAAATAAGGCACCAAATATCTTCCTTAACATAATGCAGTCTACATAGAAAAATAAGCATATGTAACAACTTATTAAACAATACAGACATTACTACTGAACACACACAGGTGTACCAAATTCAATGCATAACTACCTAATGTAGATGTATTCAATTATTCATATTTATATATGTAGATAATTAACTAATAAATGTAAGTGTTAATTTGCAGCAAAGTCAATATCTTGTTTGCACACAAACATATACAAAAAATAGTTCAATTCATAAAACCTAACGTTAGATGTTGTGATGATTTCATAAAATTACTATGATACCTACAGTTACTATGAATACATCCTGGGCGATTAAAAAAACAGTGATTGTTTCCTTAACACAACAATTGTAAATAATAATAGTTATTTTAAAGATATAATTCTTCCCAAAATCTACAAATCCAGTTTGTTTATAATAATATCTCATTAACATTCAAACTGCTGAACTTATTAAGATTAAATGTGGAAGAACATAGTTTCAGTTCCTGTTTCCTGTTCATGAGGTAATGTTACTTAACCAACCATTATTTCATAATCTACTTGTCTTATTTTTTACATTATTCATAAAATGCTTCATTCCCCATTATCAAATTCATTTTCAGGTACATAATATAACACTTAAATTAATTAAAAGATAAGACTTTAATAAATCTTGTCCATTTGTGGTTTATTTAAATATTTTTAGTTGTCTTATTAGCTTCTCTTTTTCTGAAAAGAAAATATTTTAGTTAGTACATTGATCAAATAGAAAACTGACAAACTAAACTAAGATCGGTCCAAGGTTTGTTCAATAGGTAACTTTAATATTAAAACTCTTTACTTAATTCTAAACTTAAAAATATACTTAATTTGCCACTTTGCTGCTTATTGTCAATTAAAGTTTTTAATAACCAAACAATGTCAGTAACTCCCAAGGGACTTGAAATCAAACTTCTCATTCATTAACAATATTATAATAACTTCTCTAGTATATTGACTTAGTAAATAATTAAAGAAAATATCTGCTTACCATTACTTAGTATTGCTCACTAGATTTTATATTTCCAAAGTTCATAAAGTATAAATCCACTTTATTTGATTAATTTAAATCAATATTATATCATTATCAGCTTCTATTATAATTACAATAAAATATATTTAGAACTTCTAATTATGTTAATTAGTGACTGCTTTCTCATCTGAAATATACAAATAAAATGTACAATCATTTTACTTTGTGATTACATAATATTATATGCAATATTAAATGGTATATGTATTTTTCAAATTAAAGAACAATTTCATGAACTTACATGCAATATAAATATCAATAAAAGATATCCAATATAACTAGGATTTACCTCTACTAATTTGCTGATTTTCTTGATATTTTCATATTTATCTGTGTCTATTATGTTATCCTCGCATTGATTCATAGAAAAACTAAAACTCTTAACTTAAAAATATTAACTCTAGTTTAAATTATTATAATTACACGAGAACGTAAAAAAAGACAGATAACAAATTAAAACCATTTCGTTAAAACGTCCAAAATATGACATGTTTTTAAAACGGTAGCCATTAAAGATGGCAATAGTTGTACTGAATTATTGCAAACAGCAGCTTTTGAGATCACGCTAAAACATGGCGGAGAAACGCCGTTTTTTCTACACTGCCGAAACATTGATTGGCCGTTGGCTACCGAATAGCGTAAGCGTTAATGTGTGTCTTTTCGTAGCACTGTCATGGCGTCGCTTATTGTATCCCAACTCACGCCTTTAGGGCCTAGGCTACCGACTGTCGACACGAGCTGTCATTTTCATACAAATTTAGTTTTCGACTTTCTACATACACTACTGTTAAGCCATTTTGGCTAGACCCCCTGCTGCCACAGGTTAGTGCTGCCAGATTTTGTAATTTGAATTTCCCCATACCCAATGATTTATATTTTATTATCATAGTATGCTTTATTTTACAGGTGTTGGTGAGTAAATTAGTTAATATAAGTTATTATTAGAAAAGGTGATATGCAAAAGTAGCTCACTGAAAACAATGTGGAATGCCATGAGGGTTTCACAAAACCCCAGTTGTATGAAATAATAAAGGTGCAAAAACCAGCACCAGAGTTCGAAATCGATAATTTACTCATAACCTATATATTGTTTACTTGATTATAATTATAATATTAAAGTATAATTGCTAAAATTTGTGTTTATTTTTTTTCTTCATGGTAAAAGACTTACGGTCATATGTATAAAAACACGATTCCTCTAAACACCCCTTTAATCAATCTCTACCATAATATTTCAATCGACGTATATCGAGTGTTTTAAGGAATCTTGTTTTTATAAACAAGACTGAATGAATTTTACCCTAAAAACCGGTATCTTTCAGATGAGGGCAACACTAGGTTCGACTCTAGCGACGCCGTCACCGGGTCAGATAAGTTTGTACTTTTGTAGGCCTATACAATTATACATTCATGTCACGATAATAACGTAAAGGGAAGCTACAGCAAACAAAAAATATGTCTCAATTTTGAAATCTTACGCGTGTTAAGCGATGATTACAGTTTGTCTAACGTATATGAAACTTACTAGAGGTAGATAGAGCTCTTATACTTTTATGTTTAGTGCTCTATGATTTTGACCCATATTTGTTTATCTGTGCAGCGACAGTGCAAGAGCCAACATCTACAATGAACAATCAGAGGACCGAGGCTACCCGCTACAATTACAATCACTGCGAATTGTGGAAGCGCCATACTCTAAAATGCGTTAACAACTTATTCTTACCGCTAAGAATATATAACATTTCTTGACCTTAGACACTGGGGCCGTCGGACCGGTCAGTCAGGGGGTAGACTGGTCGTAGATCCTTCTTTAATACGTCGGTGCAGTCCGTTCCTTCCTCTATAAATATTTATTTCTCTTCGACGAATCGAGATTTATAGAAGTAAATCAGATGAATCATAATACGAAAATCGAATCGTTATATCCGTCTGTTTCATGTTATGGAATAATTAAAGTTGACGAGCCTTACTAAATGTTAGGGACATGATAACGGTTTTAACTAGGGTTGCCAGATGTCCCGGATTTAAGGCTTAGTTTAAAATGTCCCGGTGGGACTGTATGTCCCGTATTCGAACCGTGTTCCGTTTTTTATTATTAAATCTTTAAATAATGTGTTGATCAACTGCTGACGCAAACGTGTAAAAAACGTGTTGATAATATATTTCATAAAATAAAACTCCAAGGTTCTCTCTTTTTATCTGAAATAAACTACAACAATTTCGAAGAAGCTGCGGAACAATTTAAGACGGACGAAATAAATATGGATTGCTAGTATCAAGAATTCTAAATAATCAGAAAGAACCTGAATATTGTTTATACAACTTCTGATTGCAAGAGTATGGGAGCGATTGAATCTTGGAAGAAAGTCATCAAAGGGTTTTCCCGTACCGAAATCTCTAACATTTTCCGAATTTTATCCTTCGTTTTTAGCATACCTAGCTCAAACTGTTCCTAATAAGTTGACTCACACACATTCCCAATAAGTTGACTGATGTGAGAAATAAATGTATCCCTAATTTAATAAAAAGCGAGTTGATAGCGGTTTTTAATTACGATTATAATTATATTGATTTTTATAAATATGTTAAACCAATAAAAATTCTTTGCTCTTCGGAAAAAATAAAAAAAACATATTGTGACTATATAATATTTTTTTTTTGTTGTCCCGGGTAAAAAACTAAATTCCCGTATTTTTTTGCCTATTTAAGCAATTGCCCCTTATAGGCTGAAAAAAAATCTGGCAGCCCTAGTTTTAACCCAACAAATATCTCGCTTGTTGTATAAATATTGTTTGGTTATATCTTTTACTGGTTACTGGAGTCCCATATGTCAAATCAAATGAACTCGAATCTTGCAATATATGCTTTACTACTACTTCAGACCATTATTTTAATAAGGACTATATCATGTTCACAAAAAATACATTAGTTGAGCTTGTATATGTACATCAGTTTATTAATGCATGATATTAATTTTTTAAGTAATAGCTACAATGATGAAAAGGTTTAAATAATATTAGAATATAAGCTTTATCAATAGATTTAAATATGATGAAATAAAACAATTTACTCTTAGGTCCGTCACTTTCTATTATTAAAAAGTTTTTAAATGTCAAAAAAAAATATTGAAATTGTAGTGATGAATTTCATCACAATGCGGTCATATTATAACTAATTATGCACAAGTATCACTTGATTTCTTTTACATATGCATCTAACTCTGCATCAAGTTGTTCAGCAGTTGGTACTGGCCGCTTTCCTCTTATTCCAGCTCCTCGTCCACCACGCTTTCCACCACGTCCACGAACATTTACTTTGTGAACATTGCCCTCTATAAATTAATAAATTATTAAGGCACTTTATTTATAAAAGTGAATTATTTGCAATACCATGCCAGAGAGTCAATAATTTACCTTTGTTCCCAGAATTTCTTCTCATTACTCTTCCTACTATAGGTTTGTTTCTAGGTTCTGCTCTCAATGAGCTAATTTCAGATGTTGCTAGTTGAATGTTCATTGCTCGACCATCAAGTGGAACACCATTGTACTGCTTCATTGCTTTTAATGCATCTGCTCTCCGGTTAAAGACTACATCAGCTGTACCTATAAAAAACAAATAATCTGATGAAAAAGAGTTCTAGAGACAGAAAGAACATTGACCAAGGTATTTTAGTATAATAACTTTATTCACATACCTAAAGATCTGCCAGATCTATCATAGTGCACTGCGGCACTTTTTAAAATACCGAACTCTGAAAACAATTCCTGGATATCCGAGTCTGAAACTGCAAAATCTAAATTGGAAACAAGCAGTTTGCTAGGTCCAGTCGATATTTGTGCACCTCTCTGAATTTTCATGGTACTGAATTCATTGAACATGTCATGTTTCCACGTACTGTTAACATCACCCTGAAATAGTTTCTCCTAAAATGCTATGCCAAATGCCCGCTGATGCCTCTGAGTTTGCACTCGTAACATGGCAAACATTGGTTGTACATAAATTGTTTTGAATATACATAAAGGTTTATTATTTACACATTGATAAGATATTAAACATTCTTCACTAGTAAATCACTTTTCACAGACACTGCATAACATGTTATTTTATAACACTCCAATTGTCGAAAAATTATTGCAGTCACATAGTATTTCCTTAGTTGAAATGTCCTCTCCAGTAAAGCACTTTTGCACTAACAATTTGCATCAAGGTCTTTCATAATGTAGCACTATGTAACTGCTAGCTGCTACTGAGGCGGATTGTTTTAAGGGGAAACTGCAGTAAAGTATGTACGTTAATATGAAGTACCAACGTAAAATAACATATACAATAATTTACGAAAATCTGCCAAAGTCAAATGTCCTTTGTCTGGCAGAAACATATGGCTATATGACGTATTTTTAGATTTTCACCTAATCTCGCTATTAAATTGGTAGAAATAGCTTGTTAAGTATGGTAACTAATATACCAGATAACTTATTCATTAAAATGCGCGCACTCTCAGGGAGCCAATAGCTCGCTTGTTCGCCATATTTATTTTTGTCAAACCAACGTAGCTTTATAAAGTAGGTCGCTATAATTTACCCTTGAATAATTTGTTGGTTTGGACACCCCACCACGATTTCTGCCACGCAAAGTGCCACCCGAACGGTTGCCTCGAAAGCCACCTCCTGCACCACGATTTGATTTTTTTGTATCCATTTTTCTTCCAGCACCTCCTCCTCTTCCTCCTTTTTTTCCAGCTTTAATGATGTCGTCCAAAGCCATATCAATTTTATCAACCATCTCTATATTGAATAAAACGTTTATACTTTTATTTTATTTGGTAATCTCTTCAAATTAGGCTGATAGTGAGTGCACAACAGCTGCTGCTTTAAACTTTTAGAACAAAGAAAAACCATAGACACTGACATAAATTATATAGAATTATAGACTGTCTGGTACCACAGAATCGGTAATCAACTAATCAGTGTTCAGTGATGCACCTACAGAATGTTCCCCTTGGACCAACTTGAAATTCCCCTAAATAATTAAACCCCTAGGTTATTTAAAATATACATTCAATAGAGGAGGTAGCAACGTTTTCGAGAAAGAATTTTAGGTCAGCTGATTTTGTGATATGTCTTCCTTCTTGCACTTTCGGTTAGAGTCTTGGCAATCTGGCTGGCGGTAGCGGTTGCGTTCTTTAGTGCGCATCCTATCTGTCCAGGTAATATCCTGGATTTCAAAAGCATTTTAAGAAACGTAATTTTTAATTTTTTGTTTTTAAATAAGTCTACCTGACATACTTTTTTTATTGCCAGACATTTTTCACATTGCTAACTATGTGCCAGACGCGATTTTAAGTTTCTTTTTTATAAAAATTTCAAAGTATTTTAGAATGTCTGTAATTTTAATATTATGTTATTTAAATATAAGAAAAACTAAAAATGAATTTGCCAGACATTAATTCGATTGTTAAGCCTTGAATTAAAATGAAAAAGTCATGAAAATGTGACAGATAACAACATTTTCATTACTCTGCTTATTACACCCAACCGTTGGAATGATCAATGAGGACTCTTATTTTATTAGCCAGCTGTTTACGGGTGTTAAATGTTAATGATTGACGCTCTGTGCAGATACTTATGTAATTAGTAATATGTAGTTGATGATAAAAAAGTATCATTCCAATACAATCCACAGTTTTTTTAAATTATTCACACAAGGGATAAAGAGAATAATAGAAAAAGTTGTAATGTTATAATAACTCATAAAGCATGTCTAAGTAATAGTTTAAAACACTTAATCATAATGTTAGTCTTAAGTATCAACAAAATTTAAGAGAAAAGTTTTCGGTATAGTTGTTTAAAACGTATAATTATGAAAATGATAGTAGTAGAGTAATATTTAAATAAATTATTCAATGTAATTGAGGTATTTGAGAGCAATTAAGAATATTTATAGTTTTTTTAATAATCTAAGCTAATATTTAATAAACGTATATTATATTAAATTAACATTACGTATATTAAGCAATATTAGTAGCTTATCTAATAGACATACGTCATCAATTGTGCTGCATAATTCAACGACCCTAAAATCCTTATGCATTTATACAAAAAACAGTTAGGACGCGCACGGGTTGCGGCGCAAAAATTTATTTTGCTTTAATGTCTTAAGTAAAGGCTACTCTTTAGTTAGAATACGTTTATTTGTTAGGAAACACGTCTCATATATCACAAAGTATCAAGTTTCAAATAATTACTAAGCGGAAATGTTTATTAAATCTTTATTTTAATCAACTTCGTATCGCTTTATGCACAGACATACAAGTATAAGTGAATGTAAATTTGTTTAAAATGAATCAGATACTAAAATTAGGAAAAAAGTGTCTCAGGTTCCCAAAAAATTATGAAACAAATATCACCACAAAAAATACGACGAATAAGATTCCAAGAGCTAAATCCTTACCGTTAATTGGTACAAAAATAGACTTGATAAAAGGTGGATTAGGAACAAGGTTTGTACCTATTTATTTTGATTGGTTCTTTTTTAAATTTTTATTTATTGTGTGTATGGAAAAGGATCTTGACCGAAATGAAGGCTGTTTTATTTTTTATTTTTATAACAAAACTTTCTTTTTTGTCTGAAATAGTTATTTATGACACGAAATCAGTAGAACTTAGTAAAATCACCAAAATTGAGAAGCCACTTTAAAAAGATAAAGACTAGAAAGACGATACATAATGAGTTTGTTATCTTTTTACTTTGTTCATTTTTTTACGTAAGTCAAAAATATCTACAACGGTATAGTGTACCTATTCTAATCCTTTAACTTTCATGGTCAATGTTGTAACTTGTACGTATATATTCAATACTACCGCACCTTCCAGACTTCACACGACTGGTCATGTTAAAATATTTTGGAAATAAATATACCTAGCTTATATTACTCCGAGGTAATGTAGCATTCTAATGGTGAAGAATGTTTTAAATGGATGTAGAACTTTTTGAGTGTATTTGTTTCATATCCCTATCCTTCCTCTGTAATATTTTTATAGAAAAACACTCAGCTCTGGTACACACCGAAAAAACTTTAACTTTTATATTCTATGATTAAAATTAATAAACTGAATAATATGCTTTTCATAGGTTACATGAATTTATTGATTTGCGACACCAAGAATTGGGGAATATATTTATGGAAAATTTTGGAACGACAGATTTATTATTTGTCAGTGATGCCGAGCTCATAAGAAAACTTTTTATAAATCTCGAAGGAAAATATCCTGGTCATATTCTACCTGATCCATGGCTTTTATATGAAAAACTTTACGGACAAAAAAGAGGGCTGCTATTTATGGATGGCGAAGAATGGTGGCAAAATAGACGAATTATGAATAAACTTCTATTAAAAGATAATGCCAATTCTTGGATTCAAGATTCTGTTACAAAAACAATTACTATTTTTATTGAACATTGGAAAGAAAGGTCGAAACACGGCATCGTTATAAATGACGTTGCGTCGGAGTTATATAATCTCTCTACTAAGGGTAATTTATTTTTACACTGGATATACTCTAAAGAAAATGGTCTTTCTTTTTTTATAAATATTATACTTTAGAAATTTATAAATAGTGTTATATAACAAGTCCGATCGTCAACAACAACCAAATTATTTTTGTACCACCAAAAGTCACTGCGAATTCATTTAATTTTTTTTTAAACAAATAATTATTGTTTCAGTTATAATCCAAGTATTAATTGGAAATACTGACCCACCACAAGGAAAACATTACGATGAATTACTAACCATGTTCACAGAATCGGTAAAAAAGATATTTGAAACCACAACTAAACTTTATGGTATTCCTGTAAACTGGTGCCATCGTTTTAATTTAAAAGTGTGGCAGGATTTTAAGGAATGTGTCGATTTATCTCTGCTATTAGGTAATATTTTTTCCAGAAAAGGTATAAATTTCACTCAAAATTGTAACTTACTGTTTCATATACTAGTATAATTTCAGGAAATAAACTTCTCAAAGAAATATTGGCAGTTAAAAATTCTAGCGGTTTAATAAAAAAATTAGGTGACGAAAAAATGGATGAAATAACAATGTCTAGAATAATAATCGATTTTATCATTGCTGCTGGAGATACGGTACAAAGCAAATTAATAATTTCATAGAGTTTATTTAATATTTATATATCGGAATATTCCTTGTGTACCTACATATTTTTTTAGACCGCATATACGTCGTTATGGATTTTTTATTTACTATCTCAAAATAGAAATGAGATTACTGAAATACGTTCGAAAAAACATACGTATATTCCATTTGTTATAAAAGAAGCAATGCGATTGTATCCAGTAGCTCCATTTTTGACCCGTATACTACCCGAGGATAGTGTTGTAGGAGAGTACTCAGTCAAAAAAGGGGTAAGTTTTTTTAATTACTACATGAATTAAAGCTTTCGTCAAAAACTATTATTTTCCATGAATGTAATAAAAATAAGATCGCAGAAAATTATACAAGCACCATAACACAATTATCTAAGAGTAGTGGTGATCTTCTTTTTTTTCAATAATAATATGTATAAAATTATAAATAGCTTTAATATTACTATAATACTATATTATAAGTATTTAAACAGTATAACTGAAAGTGCTACAATATTGATTTGAGATATATGTGGTTGATTTTGTAGAAATTAAATAATAATATTGCTTCTGCACTGACATACGTGATGATAGAGTCTGGCTGATGAAAGAAGATAACGAAAAGCGCGGCAAATTTAAAAAAAATTGTATGGTTTCCCTAAAAGTTTTGATATATTTTGTGGATTAAACTTACTTGATACTTGATTTTATTTTATAATTTTTTAAATTGATAGTAACTGTATCTCTATGATATTAAATACTTTACGTATTTAGTCTTTTAGTATTTGTACTTAAAATGACTAGCATTGCATGGAAAACTAAAACTATACTTATTATAAAACACATTTTTATTCAAAATAATCAAATCCTGGGAAAGAAACCAAACATTCTATCAAATAAAACAAAGTTTAGGCTATTATACCTGTTAACTATTCGAAAATAAAATATAATAGAAATAAAAATGAGTAATTGCATGAAGTATCAAGACAATAAATCATAATCTAAGAAATAATCATATCATAACCTAAGAAATTCAATGACATTCTGTTGCCATCCGAAAGTTTTCATAAATTCAATTATATTCTTTCATTAGCCAGACTGGTTCTGGTTCTAGTTGCTGGTTGTAGTTTCGTGTAATATTTTTATTTTGATTAATAGTGACAGTTTCGTATAATAACATTTACTTGGTGTCAAAGTATATGTCTGCTGTTGTAATTTGTACATATTCTATCTCGCTGTCTATGCAGTCAGATCATTGGCACTTGGCAGATACATACCAAGTGTTGCCAAAAGATTGACAGTGTTGTGTTTATAAAGTATATAGCATGCACAAGTGACAAAATATCAAATATGTAATTTAGGCAGTAGCCACTAGCCAGTATGTGTATTGTGTATTTGTAATGCAAACTTACCATGGGTAGTCAAATAATTTGTAAATATTTAATTAAATTGAGAAGACCAAGCTATCACTCGTGTAGCGGGCTTCTTTCTATCCGAGAAGAAAAACTAAATAGACCTGATAAACTGATTAATGCTAACCTAAAAATTGTTTTCATAAACCAAAAAAGGAATTTTTCACTAGAACCTTTAATTAAATGGCAACAAGAAACTTATATGAATATTTCAAACAGTAATCTAGTAAATTTTATGCAAGATGGGTTACTTAGTTTTCATGAAGCATCTGGTCTCACTTGGTGGTCAACCATTGTAACTTCAACTTTATTAATTAGAGCATGTATGACTCTCCCACTATCAATTTACCAAAATTATATATTAGCCAAAGTAGAAAACATTGGTTTGGAGCTTAAAGACTTAGTTAATGAGTTAAAAAAAGAGACTGCAATGGCAAGAAAAGTTTACAATTTAAGTGATAAGCAGACAGTGATTTTATATAAAAGGTCACTTAAAAAGCAATGGAGAAAACTTATAGAGAGAGATAATTGTCATCCATTAAAATCAACAATAGTTATTTGGTTTCAAATCCCTCTTTGGGTGTGCATGTCATTTGCAATGAGAAATTTAGTTAACATGCATCCTCCAACTCCATCTGCATTGGTTACCTTTATGGAACTATCTACTGGTGGTATAGGGTGGATACCAAATTTAACAGAACCTGACCATTCATACATTTTGCCAGTTGTATTTGGTTTGACAAATTTGGCTGTAATTGAAATACAAAAAATGTCAAAATTGAGAGAGCCATCAAAATTACAGAACATATTTACAAATGTTTTTAGAGGATTTACATTAGTAATGATACCTGTTGCTGCAAATGTACCATCATGTCTATGTTTGTATTGGGTTACATCGAGTGTCTTTGGATTGATACAAAACCTATGTCTACTATCACCATCCCTAAGAAGAAAGTTGGGGATACCCTTGGTACCAAGTGAACTTGAAGATCCATACAGACATCTAAAACAAGAAATTAGCTTTAAATTAAAAAAGATACTGCCTAAAAATTCATAGTATTTTTCTTTAATAGATTAATTAGAAATCAAAAGTGAGTTTTTTTACCAATTTCAGACACCAATCATTGCATCAATATACACTTCTGGTAGAAATGAACAGTATTTCAGTAAACCTGAAGAATTCTTACCCTACCGTTGGGATAGATCAGATGAGAGAAAAGGGAAATTAAAGAATCATATTCCCTTTGCATCCTTACCATTTGCCCTTGGTGCTCGCTCTTGTGTAGGAAGGAAGATAGCTATGGCTCAACTTACAGAGCTTATTTGGCAGGTAATAGTTTTCTATGTTTAGATAAACATAATATATTTTTTATTGTCTTAAAACTTTAAACAAAAAGACTTGTCTATTATACTCTGATTTTTAATTCTTTATAGATTTGTTTCATTTGATGAAGAAGATTTATTATATATCAATACTATAAATTATTTCTTTGACTTACAATGTCTCCAAATTGTTGCAGAGATCTTGGGTTTAAATTGCACTACCATTAAACACTTTCTAGTTAAAGTAATATAAAATATTTTGTTACAGGTTGTGGATAACTTTGACTTTAGATGTATGAATGGTCCAAGTATAAAACCAATTACTTCACAAGCTTTAATTCCTAACAAAAACATTGAATTAAGTTTGAAAGTCAGAAATGCTTAATACAGTTATCATTCTGTTTTACAAATTAGTTATAGGAGATTAATATTAAAACTCTCATATATAATCCTAACTAGATTTTATTATATAACTTTCTGTACAAGTTTTGTATATTAGTTTATATACTCATTTAATTAATAATTGTCTTATAATCATGGCCTTAACATCTTCCAACCACTGGTCCTTGTAATCTAAATCAAGAATATTTTTAATACATTTATGTCTGTTTTGTTCATTCATAGTTCCTGTTAACAAGTATGCTAATGCCTCTACACAGAGAAAACCAACCCCATCTTGTAAGGACCAAATATAAATTTTATCTGCAGTATCAGATGTCAATTGGAACTGTATAATAGCACTACATAATAGGGTCTTTATTCTCTCAAACAAAAATCTATCAGCCAACAGAAGCACCTCCAAATTTGTTTCTAAATTCTCACAGAGAGGGAATACTTTAATATCACATTTAATTTTATTTAATCCACAATGTAAAAGTGTTAAAAGATATTCAAGTGCTTGTTTAGATACTTTTTTGAGGGTAACACATTTTTCTGAAGATTCTTTGAAAGATCCCGTAAGCATTACTTTGAATACTTCAGAATGTTGACACAAAAAGTTTTTATTTGCTTTAACTGTTGACTGATCATCTAAAACAAATACCACAATATCTTCTTGAGAAAGGTTGTCTAATATTGGATCATAACTAATTGGAACATTATCCTTGTAGCGATTCTCTAAAAGTTTAGGATCTCGTATTTGAAGATTTGTGGCTAACTTAGCTAAAGCTGTAATGCAATGTTGGATATCTTCTGTTAAAGTTTCGGATAACATGGAAAAAAGTACATCCAATGCTTCACAATCCAAAAAGTACTTCTTTAAGATTTTTTCTGACCTGTAAAAATAAAAAGCCTTATGCAAATTTTTGGTTAGATGCCGACGCATAATGACTGTTGAGAATCTGCTAGTAGTAATGCTGTCACAATCACGTCTAATTGTCAAATTTCATAAAGATAAATGGTTTAACAACGCCTAAAACATGACTTAAGTATGATGGACGTTTTAGAATACAGTCCTAAAAACAGATCCGGTAGATTCAGAAACTTCCTTAAAACAAAGGTGGAGTTAGTTGCTCAGTAAATTAAATATGACACTCAAAGTAATAAATTGAGTGTGTTAAAAATACAAATATTTTTAATTATCTTCATAAATTACATACCTTATTATGTATGGTAAAGTAAGAGATAATGTCTGTTTCATATCTGAAGTACCCTTTAGTAAATGATAACTAATTTCACCAATACCATGACTTGATTCTGCCACAATTGTTACTTGCTCCAGTAGTTTTGAACCTAGTTTCAAAAGCTGAAACAAGAAGTTGATATGATTATAAATTCATTGTAGTTTTTTAGTCTAGATAATTTGTATTTCACAATTTATTACACTACCATTGAAAGGTTAAAATAATATTTTTTACTCTTACTTGTTTACACTGACGACATTCAGTAGGTGGGTGTTTTGAATTAACTGACATATTATGTAATCTAATCACGAATCTATGCTTAAGTATGCTTATAAGACATAAAGAATTGCTGTAACAGAAAGTATTACAAATATTCAATCAATTAATTAAGTTATAATCTTATAATAATTAATGAAATTATCAAAATAGGTCACTATGGTTCATACTTTGTTAGTTAAGTTGTATAGTAATAGACTATTGTAAGCATCTTTAAAATAAAACGTAGGCTTATAAAGGGTGTCTCAGCGGCGATTTTAAACTTTAAATATTTATAAAAAAAAAATTGTATTTGTAATTTTATAATTGCAGTAAATTATAATGCATTAGTACGGATTTAATGTACGGAATATTACACCGTCACGATGTCTTCCATCACTGTGAATGCAGTCTTCAAAGCGAACTACCGAATTTATAGAGACACGCCGCAGGACGTCAACTGATAGGATTTTCACACACTTCTGTCGTTATTTAGTCTTCAACTGCTCAAAATTCGTAAAATATTATAAACTCTTGCTTTGAGCCCCATAAAAAAAGTCAGCTGGGGCTATTTCAGGAGATCTGGGTGACCACAATATGTCACCAACGCGGCTTTTTTCGGAAACACCGCTTTTAGTCTGTCTATGGAGACCTTAGCTGTGTGGGCTGTGGCCCCATCTTGCTGAAACCATACACCTGACGTGTCAATATCCTCTTCTTGCAGCTGCGGTACAAAAAATTATGAAGAATGTCATTATACCACTCGCTCGTCTCTGTAACCGTTGCAGCTCGGTCATTCTCGAAGAAAAATTGCACGATGATTTCTTTGCCGATATTGCACACCATACTTTGGGGCTGTGTAATGCTTTCTTTTTGATGTTTTTCTTTTGTATTGCTTGATGACCAGTAACGGGAATTTTGACGATGGACGTACCCTTCGAGGTGAAAGTGTGACTCATCACAAAAATAAACATAGTCCATCCCATTTTCCTCTGAAAAAATCTCTAACATCTCCTGACAATAAATTATTCGATGATTGTAGTCTTCTGGTTTCATTTTTTGGACTATTTGGATCTTATAAGGATGTAATCTTAAGTCTAAGGCCAAAATTCGTTGAAGACTTGAACGGTGGAGGCTCAAAGAGGCAGCATATTTTCTAACTGATCGTCGAGGGTGCTCCGCCGACCGCAGCGGCGACGCGGTCGATGGTTTCAAACGATTTCACAGGTTTATTTCGCTGGCAAATTGAATGATTTAGTAAACATCCTGTCGCTCTGAACTTTTCTATCCACGACTTAATTAACTGAATGCTAGGGGCGTCACTTAAACGGCGGATTTCAAAGCGAGTACAAAACTAGGGTTGGGCTTCACTCAACGAAAACTCATTGTAAAAGTACGCCTCTACTTCGTACGCGCGGTGCGTTCCAGACCACTGCGACAGAGCGATTAAAAAATCCGCACTCGTCACCTATCGAACGCTACCACTCCCCTCCCGCTAGCCCCGCGAGCTACCGCGAAATTCGTGTTTAAAGTTTAAAATCGGCGCTGAGACATTCTTTATAATGGTCTACCACAGAGTTTATATTGTTTCTAAACGGTATAATAACCAGCTCTATATTCAATATTTTATTCAATAGTACTTGGAAAGAACGAGGCTGCATTATGATTATACTGTTTAAACTTTAAATATTTCTGTAATAAAGACATAAAAAATATAGGACCACGTTTTACAAAACAAAGAAAACCATTCTAAACGACATACCTAAGTATCCTGGCTATAATTCTTGCAGCTCTGCCTGTCGGTCGCCTACATCTCTGTACATAATCAAGTAGGGCATTCATAGATTCTCGACCAGTTAAAAGGTCTAAACTAGGTGACATGTCATCTTGACTCTCAATGCCTGTACCAGCACCATGGGATACACGAAACATTAGAACTAGTATACACATTATGCCAGAGGTCTTGGTTATGGTAACTTTTTTATCATCTTCTGAAAAGAAATTGGATCATTGTGTAAAAACAATATTATTTTGAAGCACATAGCATCACTGACCAAAGAAAACGATCAAATGTTTTAAATATAAAGTTCTTCAGGCATATTTTTTTTTATAAACAACAGGGCGCGTACGGACTGAGCCTCATCTGATGTAAAGTGATAGCACCGCCCATGGACAATTAATACCAGAGGGCCCGCGATTGCATTGCCGGCCTTTTAAAAATTGGTACGCTCTTTTCTTGAAGCACCCTAAGTCGTATTAGTTCGGATATACCTCGACGACTCTCTATGGTAAATGCGGCAGAAGATGCATAGACACCCAAAACCAAATTTCAGACACCCAAATTCGAACCGCTCTTCGTTGAATATGGTCATGGTCACGGCTAACTTATTAAGAAGATACATTTACACAGGAGATATTCATCATATATACATGGATGTTGTAAAACCACAACATACTTCAAAGTTGAAATGTACAAACTGTAGCTTAGCTGTAGTGTAAGTTTCTCGCCTATTCATAAAAATGTATCAGTGAAAGCTACCCATATATCTTCTATTCATTTTGCTACATTACCTTGTAAAAACATTAAGCCTGAATTTATTCTATATTATTTTGTTCAGTAGGTGACATCTCATAATAATGGTAAGCTTTGGTCCCACGTAATATATTACCTTTATTTGGTGCCTCATTATTGCTTTCTTCATCTTCCATTATAAGTTCCTCTAAATCATATGCTACTTGTTCGGGATCTAATCCAGGTGTAATAACAATACTATCATCCCTCTCATCTTCACTATCGCTACATACTGGTGAATAACGGCCCGACACTTCAGAGTCTGAACTATCTGAAACATTTCATTATTATAAAATAGGTGGGTACTTCTTGGAAAATAAAGGATATAAAATATTGAACAACAATTCAATTAAAATTTTGGCAATACTACTATATAGTATAAATATTTTATTCTAAACTTACTATCTTCAGTACTAAGAGGAGAAGCTGGACCAGAACTGCTTGGACTCCAAGGAAATTCCACCCTATTTGGTGAAGTAGATGCATCAGTGCTACTAGATGCTGGACTCCAATCCCAGGCACTCCTCTTACCATGTGCCTGATCTGGACTCAAACCTGACCAATTTCCATCAGAGTATGGAGACAATGGACTCAAGTCTAATCTATCAGGAGAATTCATTCGGGTAAATTGGGGTGATATAGGTTCAGGACTCTTTGGCTCCCAGTACACACCAGCAGACCAATCCTTTTTCGCCATTTTAATAATTTTTGGCTTCTGCAAATTTATAACTATATTTATAGGCCATGATGATTATGGTATGTATTTAAAATTTTATTGACTTACCTTTTTAAAATTTTTTGGACTTGTCCTACCACGCTTAAGGCCTCTTCGCCGTAAAGGCGAAGTAGATGCAGGCACAGAACTGTCATTATCACTGTCATCTGATTTATCACTACCTATAGCATCAATAAACCCAACTATCATGTTATCTCTTTCTATTACAACCTTAAGGTCATCTACTGTCTCTGTCAGTTGGTTTTGTTGCAAATCCATGCATAATTCATTAAGTTTTATATTATCAGCATATTTCTGATTCACTTCTCTCTGCTTTTCAATACTTTTTTCTTTAGTTATGTGATTATGTTCATACTCCATACTACTTATATAGGCTGTCAGTTTTTCAGTTAAGAGTGTTATTAAACCTTCTCCAATGAGTATTTGAAATGCTGTAAAAGGTAAACATTTATATTAAATTAATAAATAAAGAAGAATGTAGGTGTTAACATGTTAAGTGCAGAATCGAAGTGCTTGGAATGATTGTTCTATTTGTACTTTATAATCTCTAGAATCTTAACTTTAAAGCATAGGTCATATATTACCTGTGTCATCAAAAACATACTGAAGGAGTGCATGTAAAGCCCGATTGTTTACCCTGGCTGCTGCAACAAGTAATGGTAAGCCACCACAATGTCGTAAACGAGATCTATTAACAGATTCTCCACTTAACTGAGCTAAGGTTTTAACAGCACCATCTGGCCAACGTGACAAATCTTAAACATAAAAATACTGCTTAAACATCTACACCTTACTTATATTTGTTATGTCCAGAGTTCCCATTGGATAATAAATTCAACTATTGTTTCAACCCTTATTTACCTGAATTTCTTTGTAAAATACTGACAAGGCATTCAACAAGTCCAGCAGTCCCTAGCAGTGGCCTGCATACAGACAGGTAACAAAGATTCATGAGGCATTTCAAAGCTAATGATTCATTTGTTTTTGTCAAAGCAACTAGACATTGATAGCCTCTTCCATCACCTTGTAACTAAAACAATCAATATATTAAATTCCTTATTAACAACAACAATTTAATGTTTTTATTTATCTTGTTTATAAGAAACTTTATGAGTTTAGTATAAAGAGAAATTACCTGTTCAGCACATTGGGGAATTGAATATGTTGTAAAATATCCTAGACATTTAAGTATACCAATTATAAGTTCTTCTTGGCTCCTCCCAGGCTCCATAATAACATTATCTAAATTTGTGGATTTAATAAGACCAATAGATTCACATTCAGTTGTCAACAAAATTGCAACACATCTAGCCACATTTAAGCTGAGCATTTCATCACGCTTATCTGTTATCATCCATAGTTGTCTGAAAACAGATAGTATTTTAAGTAATAATAGTAATCAATATTTACTTATTTATTCCTCGTTTTTACAAATGAAGTCATACCTGATTGCTCTAACAGCCATGGTAAGAGTTGGATTTGATGTACTTTTATCCCTGCTTTCTATGAGAGAAACCAAAGCTTTTACAATTCCATGATTATGCAAATTTTCTGCATTAGACTTTGATTGTGCCAAATTACCAACCATCTTACAAGCTCTCCCAAGAATACTGTCTCTACATACAGTATTTAGAATGCATACAAGTGGGCCAAACGTATTTAGTTTTCCAACCTAAAGAATAATGGAATAATAAAAAAACTAATCTTGTAATATACTTAAGTAAGAATATTTGAAATAAAATAATAACAAATGTTTAAAATATAAGGGATATAAATAATACTTTTTGAATTATTACCGCTAGGCTGCACTTTTCATCGAGGCAAATATTGCCTAGAATACTTAATGTAACATCAAGAATGCGTTCATTAGGTTTTCGTAAATGCGGTATTAGACATTCTAATCCTCCACACTCGCGAAAAAGCCTTGTTCCTTTTTCGGATGTTATAACGGAAGACCGAATTTTTGTAAGAGAATCCTGAATTCGACTAGACGAGGAAGATTTAAGTCCGTCAATGATAGATTGCAAATAGTTTTTATCCATCTTAACATTTACATTTAATCATATTATTTAGTAAAGAATTAATAATTGTAGATTGTAAATAATTATATTATTTATTGATTATTAATTTTAATATTTTTATACATATATATTTCAAATTTGATGTTCGACACTGACATGAGTGACAAGCTGTTAGTGTCATTTGACAGCTAACACCGGGGGTATGTTCCGATATACACTGCGACCACTGTACAGAGTACCGTCAATTTAGTATACTGTGAAACCGTTTCTCTATAGCCAGCTATACTGCTGGGGGTCTAGCCAAGATGGCTTAACAGTAGTGTATGTAGAAAGTCGAAAACTAAATTTGTATGAAAATGACAGCTCGTGTCGACAGTCGGTAGCCTAGGCCCTAAAGGCGTGAGTCGGGATACAATAAGCGACGCCATGACAGTGCTACGAAAAGACACACATTAACGCTTACGCTATTCGGTAGCCAACGGCCAATTAATGTTTCGGCAGTGTAGAAAAAAACGGCGTTTCTCCGCCATGTTTTAGCGTGATCTCAAAAGCTGCTGTTTGCAATAATTCAGTACAACTATCGCCATCTTTAATGGCTACCGTTTTAAAAACATGTCATATATTGGACATTTTAACGAAATGGTTTTAATTTGTTATCTGTCTTTTTTTAACGTTCTCGTGTAATTATAATAATTTAAACTAGAGTCAATATTTTTAAGTTAAGAGTTTTAGTTTTTCTATGAATCAATGCGAGGATAACATAATAGACACAGATAAATATGAAAATATCAAGAAAATCAGCAAATTAGTAGAGGTAAATCCTAGTTATATTGGATATCTTTTATTTTTCTTTAATTTGAAAAATACATATACCATTTAATATTGCTTATATTATGTAATCACAAAGTAAAATGATTGTACATATTATTTGTATATTTCAGATGAGAAAGCAGTCACTAATGAACATTATTAGAAGTTCTAAATATATTTTATTGTAATTATAATAGAAGCTAATGATATAATATTGATTTAAATTAATCAAATAAAGTGGATTTTTACTTCATGAACTTTGGAAATATAAAATATAGTGAGCAATACTAAGTACTTAATGGTAAGCAGATATTTTCTTTAATTATTTACTAAGTTAATATACTAGAGAAGTTATTATAATATTGTTAATGAATGAGAAGTTTTAATTCAAGTCCTTTGGGAGTTACTGACATTGTTTGGTTATTAAAAACTTTAATTGACAATAAGCAGCAAAGTGACAAATTAAGTATATTTTTAAGTTTAGAATGAAGTAAAGACTTTTAATATTAAAGTTACCTATTGATCAAAGTACTAACTAAAATATTTTATTTTCAGAAAAAGACAACTAAAAGTATTAAAAAAACCACAAATGGACAAGTTTTATTAAAGTCTTATCTTTTAATTAATTAAAGTGTTATATTATGTACCTGAAAATGAATTTGATAATGGGGAACGAAGCATTTTATGAATAATGTAAAAAATAAGACAAGTGGAGTATGAAATAATGGTTGGTTAAGTAACATTACCTCAAGAACAGGAAACAGTAACTGAAACTATGTTCTTCCACATTTAATCTTAATAAGTTCAGCAGTTTGAATGTTAATGAGATATTATTATAAACAAACTGCATTTGTAGATTTTGGGAAGAATTATATCTTTACAATAACTATTATTATTTACAATTGTTGTGTTAAGGAAACAATCACTATTTTTTTAATCGCCCAGGATGTATTCATAGTAACTGTAGGTATCATAGTAATTTTATGAAATCATCACAACATCTAACGTTAGGTTTTATGAATTGAACAATTTTTTGTATATAACAGCACACAAACAAGATATTGACATTGCTGCAAATTAACACTTACATTAGTTAATTATCTACATATATGAATACATCATTAGGTAGTAATGCATTTAATTTGGTGCACCTGCGTGTGTTCAGTAGTAATGTCTGTATTGTTTAATAAGTTGTTACATATGCTTATTTTTCTATGTAGACTGCATTATGTTAAGGAAGATATTTGGTGCCTTATTTTAATAAAAAATAACCATAACTGAAACATTTTTATTTTGCTGCCTGTTTGTTTAATATTCCTAACTATTAGTAGGTATGGGTAATTCATATATGCATTATCTGTATATTCTTGTAAAATAAACTAATATTGTGAACCACTTTAATGGCTTTTCCTACTAAAGAAGACATAGGTAAATTACCAAAAATAAAACTGACAAATACATAACATACAATGTTTATTCATTTCTTACTGAAACAGATTTTGCATTTACATATTAACTAGTAGCAAATCACTGATATAACCAAAAGTTAATTGACATAAATATTAACTTAAAATCAGCATCAAACTTAAATTTATATCTATTATATCTAAGATGTTGGAGCATCAATATGGAATCAAAGGTTGATTAAGGGTTATAATTTCATACCAGACTAAGTTTCTATTTTATATTTTTTATTAATTCCTCTTTTCATTTCATTGAGTAGGTACTTGCTGTTTTTCAATTCTCACTTTCTAAAAGTATAAATATATTATAAACAATCAACTTTTATGACTCTAACTTAAACTGAAATTGTTTGTTGGACATAAACAGAGATAATTCCAACTAGTAGCAAATCACTAATAAAATCTACACTTATATATAAATCTGCTTTCAAATTGACATTAAAAATGTTCAAGCACAAACACCAAACCTAATTAAAGCTTAAATCAAACTCTAATTTCAGTGATCACACTAGTCTACGTTTTTTTCTATTGTTTTTTAATTCCTTGGACTTTATCAACTTCTAGTCAACCTTATTTTCACTTTTTATTTATCAATCCACAGTACTATTTTTATTGTTTCTTCTAAGCGGTAACAAAATATGTTGCTTCTTCATTTTGTAGATTAGTTGTGAGGTCAAATCCTAAAAATATCAAAGTATGAGTACTACTAATTATTATATATCGCGATTATGCAATTTCAAAATATTGTATTTATTTGTAGCCTTAAATTTCTGAGAAAACATGAAACAAACCATAATTAATTTAAACATGCAATTAAAATTCATATATTCACTTTGCACCTTCCGTAAATTCCACTTAAATCGAAAATTGTTCCGACCTTGCTGACATTCTCATGTCCCTTTTGTAGCTTCCAATTGCAAATTTACAATAATATTGTAAAGTTTTAACTTTTATTTGTTTATAAAAGTGACATTAGGAATACATTTAATCCAGAGACAATATGACGGAATAAGGTGCTACGAACAGCAGCTCGCATCTACGCTGTCGACTTTGCGGTAATGTATCGACATGTCTCTTGGCTACGAACGAAGCGTTTTCGACAATACAATTACGCAAAAGCGGTAGTGTATGTAGAATACTTTTCGACACCAATATGGCTAGACCCCCTGGTTACAATTTAAAACGGAACGCTCAACGCAGTCCAGTATACTAGTCAGCTTCGTTTTTCGACACAGTTTTCAAATGAGTGCATCAATGTTTTTCAATTCAACAAGAAAAACTATTATTGGAGTATTATCGCATTAAAAAAATCTATATTAATATTAACTGTCAATTGAATTAATACTACAAAGAAAGTAAGTTAGAATTTTAAATGTTTGTTATTAAACTGTAAGTTATATCAGCCGTTAGGCATTCAAGTGGTTTTGATTGATCACGTGATCAAAGCACTGCGAGTACCTTACCTCGAAAACGCCAGTGCTCGCAGTAGAAGTATAGCGGGGATTTGTGACGTCATATATTTCCCTAGGACGCTGCGGCTGTATACTGGCAGTCCATAGCGGAACGAATTTTTGAACAGTGGGAGCACTATACAGTACTCGCAGTGTATATCGGAACATACCCCGGATGTATATTTGGTAAATCACACATTGATAATATATTTTACATTCAGAGGATTTTTTTTTAAATCTAATTTAGAAGAGGCAAGTAAAATCCTATAGTCGGTACGTCTAAATAGAATTCCTTCTTCTTTGTTTATTAGTTTTTATGCGTTGATGATTTGGGTCTCATTTCCGAATCTTCTCTCCGAACGTCTCTCTCCTGGCGAGTTCTATTGAACCATATAGGAAGTAAATATTTACTTGTATATGGGAAAGCCTTTGTCGACATATAATATATTAATGCTAGAGAGAGAGTTTTATGATGGTGTCAGATACGACATTTTATCTGATGGGGTTAGTTTGTAGCGAATCGTAGATACGCACTTAAAATGTACATACTCTTTTGTGTAGTATTTTCTATAAGATTTTGATGTATGTGTTAACATAAAGATATTAGGACACTAAGAAAAGAAGAAAACAGGCGTCATTCAGAACGGACTTTTAAGACGAGCGATATTCATGTTTTTTCCCTTGAGCGTTTCTATGTGAATATAAATTAATTACTGTTTTTTGTGAAGAATAAACCAATTAACAAAGATAAAAATGGGTTGTGATTTATAACAAGATAGAACATCCCATAAGTTCAATAGGGTTGTGTTCTATTAAAACAAAAAGTAGGTTGCAATTGGAGATAATTAAATTTGCTACCTAAGGGCACAACTACATTAACGTACTCAATAGATTTATGGGCACCAAAAAGACATTGGATTCAAATGTGTAGGAAGACATGTAAAATACCATATTATATATAAACACCATGCCATACATTACATCATTTTCTAAAATAAAGTTGAGAGTTGCAGGCTGCAGCATATAGTAGTAGCGCCATTTGTTGTAACGAATATAATATTATGATAGGTATTCTTCTATGTCTTTGGATAGAATATGTAATAAATAATAATATACTTTTTCGAAAGTCAGCCATATATTGACGTTTTCATCTACGGAGTCATAGAAGACAGCTGACAGTTGACAGTTTTATAAAATTTAGGAACAAAAAAAATCGTTTGCTTGGTTTGCTAGCTATGTGACTATGTCAAATAGTTTAAGTTGTATTTTGTATTTTTAGGAAAATTGTGATTGCAACTGTTCTATTGTAACATAAAATTGTCATGAAATCGTTTTCTGAGAGATGAGTGTCTTTGGGGATTTTCAACGTGTGTGGGTGCAACGTTTTCCAGACAGTACTTTACCAGCAGCTTGGGAGGAAGATGTCAGAGCCAATTTGGCTAAACATAAACAGAAAGTCGCTATATTACGAGAAGAGCTTGAGAAGGAGGAATTTTACGTGGAATACCTTGAAACATTACTATCAGATGTAGAGAAACACAAGGCAGCCTCTCTGCCCAGTAAAGTGGCGCCGCCCTCAGGTACTGACACGAGCGACGATAAGACTTTTGATAGCAAGCAGGTAATTACTAGTAATTAATAAGAAGTCTAATATCTCCCCAAAACATACGGGAATGTACATAAATAAATACATATCTTTAATGCACTCTATAATTAAAAAAGGGTTGTTTTAGTATTCTTTGAATACATTTTTTATTATGAATGATTCATGTATTATTTATTTTTCTGATAGGGTTCCAATACTAATTCTTTATCTAAAAAAAGTGAGGGCAGTATTAGTAATAAAAGTGATGACTCAGCTGAGGGGTTAGATGTAGAGGAGGAAAAGGTGCCTTTACGAAATAGACCTATAAACTTTGCTGAAAGAAGTTCTGTTAACCAATGCATCAATGAGCTCTCTTCCAATCTTGCTGCAGAAGCAGCTAGACGGCGTTGTAATAGTGAGATTGTGCAGAGAACTGAAAAAGAAGATAATGGTAATGTTTCTTTCGATACTACTATTACTTTTACAAAAGTACCTCTAATAAGAAATTCTAAATGTAATTGCAAATATTGCTCTAAGTTCTAAAATAAAATCTCTTTTATATTACCAATAAATTATATTTATTGTGTATAATATTGTGGTAGGTGTTGAATCAATAAATTTCATACAAGCTAAGAACCGTCCAGCATCACAAGGTGGTGATTTTGTAACAGTGATTGAGGTGAATGGCCTTAAAGCTGCTGAGAATGCTGCCAAGAAACAAGACGAGTCACCCCAGACCTCTGAAAGTAGTTCAACTGATGCTGCTATTGCTTCTAAGAAAAAAGTACCACCAAAGTAAGATAATTTTATACCTGTTCTTTTCTGTTTCATTTTGAGATAATTTTGTTCATAAACAATAATCATTTTAGACCCCCACCAAAAGTATTCAGCCGACGAGGTGCTTCTTTACCAGAGAGTGGCTTACCAGAGGACAGCCCTCCATCCAGCTTGGGCAGGAGGATGAGGAAATCTGATTCAAGAGAATCTATTGCTAGTCGTGGGTCTACACCATCTATAAGTGAAAGAGTGTGTATTTTATTTTATTTAATGGGATACAAGTTGAACAATCACGAATCAGTGAAAAAATCTATTTCACTTATTTTCAATGTTTTTTTATTCATTTTAAATTTCAAATAATCTTTAACTTTCGTCCATACAAAGATATGCAATTTTAGGGATTAAGAATGATTATTTTTAGGTAAAAAGCTATGAGTCAATAAATTCACTGTCATCTGAGAGGAAACGTTCTGGTGGAGCAGCTACACCTCGATCTATTGATGAAGAAGTTACATCAACTACTCCAGACTTTCCTGAAGGCAGTGATGATAAATCTCCACCGATTTCTCTTGAGAGTATTCCTGCAGTTGTTCGTAGCTCTGAGGATGAACCCTATTATGATCAAGTGCCAGTGGACATAAATGATGGAGAATATGTTTATATACAAGCAGGTATGTTATACCTTTTTTTAATTACTGAAAGAGTTATTCGTTTTAATTTTTGATATAATGTTTGATACATAATTTATGTAAGTGATATTACTACTAATCATACTTTGATTGGGATGCTGTTTACCTTCTACAGAAATATATATATATACTATTAACCAGTACTATATCATACCTATCAATGTTGTACTATTTTTTTTTGCTTTAAGTGCCAACAAATTTTTATAATTTTATTCTATTTTATTGTGTGCTTGTATTATCTTGTATATGTTTTAATTGTATTTTTTAATTTCTATTTTATTTTTCTGAAACTTGTTTACTTTAATTGTCACACATTTTAGATGTAAGATTTTGTAAAATAATTAGTAGATTTAGTACTGTGTGTGATGTCGTAAGCTTAATAACTAAATAAATAAGGGCTTTAAATAATAGATAACATAGAGTATGTTTTACTTCTTTGGAGGTTGTATGATTTTACCCTTATAGGGGGTGCAGGATCAAGTACAGAAGATGGCTCGAGTGGCACTAGCACCCTCGCGATGGTACCTAGTGCCCCTACGGCCCCTTCAGCGCCAACAGCCCCTGTCGCACCTGATTCACCTTTGTGCGCGACGGCTCCTAACTATGTCAACATACATTATTTCATACAGTAAGTTTTATTATTCTTAATATATTTTTGCGTCTTTTCATAACATACAAGTAAAGGTCTAGTTTTTATGATATATATGATTAATTATTATTGACACAATACCTAGTAGTAGAATAAAAAAAATATCATTTTCTAAGTAAGGTCATGAAGCAATAGTAATAAGTACTGGTAATCAGGGCTTAATATTGCGATTTAATACACTTTCCAATTTTACTACAGTTAAATAACGTTTACAACGTCATTTCTAGAGTACCTTCTAGTCAACTGGGCCAATAATTGAATACGTTATCAAATCCTATGATATAATAAGCTGCGAATTTGCTTGAAATTAGTTATGAAGCCTATGCCAAAGGAATAACTATGAGCATGTATTTTTCATGCGATCAGTCATGTGCTATATATTCCAAAGAATATTAATATGAAAATACACTATATTATTTTTATTTTAGTTTTTGATTTAAACAGATTATAAAAAGATTTTATTGGTTAAAAACATATAGTTTCTAATACGTTCTTTACATTTTACGCAACCTTTATATTTATAGTACAAACATAAATGGAATAAATGTACTGTAACATTCCCTATTGTTATCCGCACATTGGAATCGCATTAGCTGACATCATCAGAGATAAGAATTTGACTCACAACTTTATTACTCTACAAACCTAATATGTTTGTAACAAAACTAGAATAATATTATGAGTCGTGTAGCTCGAGGCGTCAGACAGAATTTTTTTTTACCCTGATTATTTTTAATTAACATTTTTCCTCCGGACTGACGAATATACGATTTCCGGACCAAAAAAATTGAATAAACCTTTAGTTTTATTATTATAAAAAAAAACAAAGTGGTTTGCATGAAATAGGCATGTCAAATTTATAAGTTACCCGAAACTAATAGCAAATTATAAGATCTTAAATAATAATAATTATAGTTTTTCCTTATTACTAGAATCTAAACCCAACTTGGCAAAATATATGAATCATTTTCGAGTCAGTTATTTAGGCATAAAATAATTGTGATGAGTAACCAACTAAATTAGTTGGCCATTCACCTTGAAGTAAATTAATATTGTTCTCTATAAAAAGGAAATTCCACTTCCACAACTTTAATACTTACTGTTACAAAAACTAATTCAGAAATATAGTTAATTGTTCTTTAGATTTATTTCTCCGTTTAAGTACCTACTCGACTAAAATGATACCATTATTTTAGTCTTTTTGTATTACACGACCTGTATAATGTCAACGTATATATTGATTGGGAAGATTTACTTGTCCGGAATATGACATGTTAGAAATTATGTCGAGAGTATATATAATAGTTTATTCTATATTGATTTAGGCATGGCGTGGACGGTGCAGAGGCAAGTGAAACGAGTTCAGAAATAACGGAATCGAATGATACACCACTATTGCTTCGAACTATTTCTTCAGACACGGAGGCCAGCGCAACTCCTCCGGTGTTAAGGAAACTACAGCATCAGGTTTGTTTATAGAGTCTATTAAATATAATTTTAGTTACATAAGTAATTAAAAAATAAACTAAACATTTATCAATTAATTTATTATTCTGTTGATAATTTTTAAATCGTTTTCTTCTGTGTTATCCGTCACAAATTTTGTATTTTGCGATAGTGCTTTTTTATGTACACTAAACTGAAATGGTTTGTGAGGCGAACATTCCTCTTCGCCTGTGATAAGATTGTATTTGCAATACAATACTTGGCAATCGTGATTTTCACAAGACATGTAATAGCAGATACCGTCTGAGCAGATTGTCTCAATGTGTAGTCTTGACATCAATTCATTAGCCGTTTGCGTTGCGTAGTATGTTAAAGTTGTTTGTATATAATTAAGTAATATTTTATCGACTCCAAGAGGTAGGAAACTGATTCGTTGCTCTAGAAGATATTTTTTAGAACCTGAAAAATATAAGTCTGTGTTAAATCTGTATTGAGTAATGGTCGCGGGTTCGATTGTATGTGTCAAATATACATAAGTACATTTTGCAGCTCTTAATTAAAATAAAATTACCATTTTATTAGTTATCCTTTGTGGATTTCGTATCATTTACCGTTGCCGATAACATCATTTCTAGTTCTATCGGTCTTTCTTCTAATGGGTCGTTGTTTTGTGCTGCGTTTGAGTTATTCAGTTGTTCAACCTTATCCATACTTTCCGTTTTATTTCCTACAGCCTCCATTGGTTTAAGCTCTGGCTGCGTCGGTTTAGTTGGTATCTCTATTGGTTTATTTTCGGGATCTTTTGGTTTTGTTGACTCTACCGGTTTGGGTTGTGTTTCTATCGGTTTAGGCGTATCTTCGTCTGAAGGTAGCGTATTATAAATTCTACATTCGCCATTTAAGTCTGTGTCATAAATATTGCATGTTAAATTTGTACACCCGAATTTATCACATCTCATAGTAGTACAAGTTTGATCGTTGCACCATACTGTAACATTTCTCTTTCCAATTTCTATACTTTCGACATTATTATTTGAAGAGAACGCTAACTGAACATTTTCTGAGATGTCGTTTTCTCCATAGCTCCACCAAGTAAAGGGATACGTTATCCAATCCCAAATGGTCGAACCGATCCCGCGACCCTCATTCAAGTTATCTGCAAGCCATTTTACGTTTAAAATATTTAAATTAAGAAAACGGGTCCACGATGTCTACATACGCATCGCTACTTTTATCTAATACTAAATAAATTATACTTACGCAGTACTGGTGAACTCACAGAAAAACCCACTAAACACAAAACTAAAAAAGGTACAACTTTAGGAGTCCACATGTTGCAGGTAATGCAAGTGTATCTTAAAAATAAATGTTTGAACAAACCCACCTCAGCTTTTATAACTGCCCTGAGGTACTCCCTATCTGTAGGGAGATAACGCGGCATTTGGGAATGTTTACTTAATGACTTATGACGAGGACATACCATAAACTTTTTAATTATCCTAAAACCCTTTAGTGATAAACGGTGAACAAAGACAATTAATTACGTAATTTGGATAAAAGTCCATGCTTTGACTACAACATAGTACTATCATTTAATATTCTTGTATGACGTAAAATATATTGTCTTTAATTTGAAATTCATATTAAAATAAGCAATGTAAAATAAAGAGATTTAATTGTGCCTTTTAATTGTTTTTTTTACAAAGATTTTTTTGCAAACTTTGATGAACTAAATATCTTTTTTTCTTTTGTCACTAACTGAGTACATTGTACAATACTTATGTAATGTATGTATACGGTCAGTCTGCATTGCCACTTAAAAACTTTGTCGACACTTTATTACATATTGTTTCATTTCTATGTTTCAATTTTACTTCGCACAGCATACAATGACTTTTAATATTACTACACTGCAAGAATCTACATATTCCGTGTTCTGTGCATCTTGTAAGAATCTTTGCTTTTTTTACTGGTATGTAGTTAACAGCGTTTTCTAGGAAATTCCTAATATTATCGACAATTAATGAAGTATTCAATAAGTATGTGGCGTTTTGATTCAGCCATCGCATAGAGTTTTTCGTATAATTTATATGTTTCAAATTCATAATTTGATATTTATTTATGTCACCTGCTTCAGTTATATTTCCAGCTTTATCAAATGCTATAATGCTTGGCCTCCTACCAATTGTTTTCCAAGGGTAGAAAAATAGATCATCCGTCTTCTAAAATAAGATATATAGGGCTAAAAATATGCATCCATATTTTAAATTGTTTATGCTCTGATTAGTTATATCTCTTATTTACCTGTGCATATAATAAATTGTTCCTTAATTGAGGTAATATATACAACAATGTTATAAAAAATATTTTTATCAACATAGTATGTATTGAAATGTTTTCAATTTTCTTTATCAACACGACCAGTACACAATAAATTCTTATGGAAATACATATTAAATATTTTTATTTCAAATCTTATTACAGAATATTATTTTAACGCTGTTTATTGTAAGGGCATTCACTTAAAGTATTAATTTCTTTTGAAGTACATTTATACTTGATTGTTGTCTTCTTTGATGCTACAAATGTTACACATTTAAAACCTATACATATAGTAATTTTTCCGTACATTTTACCAAGCATTTTATCTTGTAAAATATCTACTATTTCAAGAGCCAAATTCGAAGGTAAATCCATAATTGATTCCATTTTGGCTACACTATCTGTAAAATTAAAAAAATAAGTAAGAATATTATTATTTAAAAAGTTATGAAAATTTATATATTGTATACATATATGTTTGTTACCTGTACTGTTATTACCCAAACAATGACCCATCTTGTTATATCGATTGTCTGTATCACATTTTCTGTGTACACACGTTTTATTGGCACATTTCATTGAGTGACATACGGAATCAGAGCAAAATGTTAAAACTCCGTGAATATATTTCCCCACAAAAGATATAAAGACAGGTGCAACTGTATCTACATCATTCCAATCTACTTCGCCAAATATAGCTCTTTCTAAAGCTATTGAGTGATTGTTACGAACGTTGTCACTACTCATATTGAACTTAGATTTTCTTTTTTCAATGTCAAAAATAAGTGAATTTATATTTTTAGAACTGTTTGCTAGAGTCTTGGAACTCTCATTCTGGGATTCCGGCCAATATGATAAAATTGAATCATTTAGTAATTTATCTAGCTTTTTGTCATGGGTCTCATTCAACACGTTTAATGGTTTTACAGATAAATCCAGGGAGTCGGAAGTGTTTTTGTTTGCAGTGTCTCTCTTTTCTCTGTTTAGATTTATTGCAGTGAAATTATCTTTTGTTTTAAAATATCCAGTTTCAATGCTGTTTTCTAGTTTATTCATTTCGTCTGTATGGTTTTCGTTTTCATTTGATATATTTAGTGTTAAATAAATAATTTCTTTAGAGTTACTTTTAAGGTTATTATTTTCAGGGTTTTGTGATTTATTAATAGCTGTATAGTTCGTATTTTCCGAGATGTTATTCGTAATATTGTTCTTGTATAATGTATTATTTTTCCCTTGAAACGTCTGATTTTTAGTTTGGGGCATGGTTTCGTTAGTATCAAGTTTTACTGCTGTGTTCTTATCTGTTTGAATTTCATGAACATTAAATGTCTTCTTTTTGTGCTTCTTATTTGAGTTGCCGCGGAATTTCTTTTTCTTATGAATAGTTATTCTTTGCAAAGGAATAGACTCAGACATTCGAGGCATTGAGTTAAAGCCTAAGAGGTCACTGGGATTAGGAACATTGAAATACGGTGTAATATAGTTCATCGAATATTCTTTACGAGACGTTGGATCTGATTCCGAGCTGCCATGATCTTTTTTACTAAAAAAATTAGCAATTCTCTCTATAATTTTGGGAAGTTTAATGTCAACCTTTATTCGTATTTTGAAATCGTTGTCAGTTTTTCCTTCACGTTGTAAAAACGGGTCTTTTAAATTGTCATAGTGCAAAGGTGATTTCGTATTAAAACTGCTATTAATAGAGTCGAATTGTATGATGCATTGTTTACAACCACAATTACATGGAATTTCATTAGATTTGCAATAACACGACGACAAAGTATTACTTTTTTGTATGTTGGAAGATAGATAGTTGCGATCATAAGTTGGCTCAAATAGATTAGGAGAAAAGGAGCGAGATGTTGTATACGAAAACTCCGTATCGCCCTTAAAGACACGAGATAAAGATTCTAGTTTCGGGAATATTTGTTGCGTTTTACTTGAAAATGGATAGAAATCCTCAAAAGCAGTTTTAAGGTTATTCTTTTTGGGATACTTGTCGTGCCGTAAAAGTGGAATTTTGTTTTTACCGGTTACTTTTTCTAAGTATTTGACGTGTTGCTTGTGAGCTTTATCCAAGTAGTGCTGGTATTCAAGTAATAGATCTTCGATATTTTCATCGCTCTCACTTTCTAATGCTAATGATTTCGCAACTGGTGGTGTATTCTGAAACATTAATGTCTTAAACATAATTCAAATTTATGGGAAATATTTGTCTGGATATTTACCAAGTCATTGTCGAAGTCCTTAATTACTTCCGCTATGTCATTAAATAAAATGATATCGTATATTGGTGTGACTTCAAGTTGGTTTATTTCATAACCTGTTAGAAAATTACAGTTGTTAATTATAAATATGTTGTCAAAAATCGCATAATAATACAAATATATATCACTTACTGTCAAAATCGGCACAATAATAAAGTGAAGTGAAGTAAAATTTTAAACAAAAGAACAGTAAAGCTCGCATGGTTATACCATTAATGTGAATAATTGAAATGTACCATTAGTAGAAATCAAGTTTAAGCATACATTTGTAAATATTTTCTTTTTCCGGGTCTATTGTTGTTGTACTTATACAATCTTATCGCCGCATTACGAAACCAAATGGTAACGTTAGCACGTTAACTTGTATTTTTTCATACAGAATAAAATATACAAACCTTTTAAAACCGAGATTTTTTTGTAATTGCAAAAACACACTATCTCTGACTGAAATTTTCTCTGATGAATTTTTATGAAGAGATAGGAGGACCGAGACATACCTTATACCTTACCCTCGACCTATCGGCATACCTTAAAGATAACAAAATTTTAACCTTATCTATCTTCTAATTAAGGGTACTGTATATACAATTAAACATATACAAAATTTTTTTGCAATTACAGTCTTTAGTCTCCGACACACCTCTTAAAACAGTAAAATTTACAATGAAAGTACAAAAATAATTTACAGATTTTATTCATATTTTTCCCTCTGATACAGAATCGAACTCGTTATAACATGCGTCACGGTCCCTTTACGAAACCTAGCGTTTCGCTGGCGCTATATATGTATATATATTTATCAACAGAATGATTATATACTACATATTTAAATAAATATATTTCGCTGGAACTCCAGTTTCATATTCAATAACAATACAATCGATAACAATTTGGTTCATGCTAAAAGTTTCTTTCAGGAATCCAGTAATAATGCAGAAGCGGAACGTCTTACGATGCACCGTTGTATCGTCACAAGTATTATTGAAAGTGAAACCGTATACGTCGAATGCCTATATGTTATGGAAAAGGTAATTTCTATTGATGGGTAAAATATTAATTATTCATAGATGAATTTATTTAATTAGTTTGTACCTGTATGACATAGATCTCTCGACTAAAGGTATTAAATAAGTAAAGTATAATAAATATGGGCATTTTTTAGTACATGAATGCGATAAAGGCAACTCTATCTACATCTCAACCTGTGATAACTGAAGAAGAATTTGGTACTATATTTTACAAGATATCCGAATTGCACGAACTTCACAAGAGTTTTCTGGAAGGGCTCAAATCGGCTGTTGCTAGCTGGGAGGAACCTTTGTGTGTTGGTGTTCATTTTAAGAAAATGGTGAGTGTAAGCAATAAAAAAATTAAATTTATGTAGTTTTTATCAATACATTAACCTGAATATACATTAGCCTTACAACGTTGAAACTGAAATTTAAAATACGAAATTTTAGAATTAATTACGGCACAGTAACATACCTTTGCCGCATGGCCGACTTATTTCTGCTTTAGAAGGTCATATCGTATTGATAAAATTTTCCACGTATCAGTAGATTCGGGTCCGTACAATGAGGTCCATTTTACAATGTACAAATGACAAAGTATTATTGTATAAGTTACTTGTGCTCATGGTAACGTATGGAACCTTCTATGCACTTCAAACATTTTTTTTATTCTCCACCGAAGTTGATTACCCTGTGATGCCCTAGTACAACTTTTAAATACAATGTGAAAGATATATATCGATGCTGAAGGAACTGCGCATCGCTATCGAGTTATAGAGAGATGTCGTTATATAGAAAGAAAGTTACATTGTAGGCAAGTCATTTCGACGTTTTTTTGAAGTTAACATCGCATCATGTTGATACAGGCTGAGAATATTAACGTATACGGCGCCTTTCTTCATAACTACGGGCGCGCTACGGATGCGGTGCGTCGCCGTTGTGCGAGTTCGCAGCGTTTTGCGGACTTAACTAGACAGATTGCGTGTAGAGGGCAGCCCATGTCACTCGACGATTTATTGCACAAACCAGTCGCAAGGGTGCAGAAGAATGCTCTTGTTTTGCATGTAAGTACTAACATACATATTTTAGTAAGTTTCAGTGTCAGATACTAAAATTTTTAATAGTACTGTCCGATGTCACAAGTGTGTCATGTTGTTTATATTTAACATACGTGTATTTGATAATGCTGAAGTCTCTCACGTAATATTGAACGATTGGACGCTAACATATTATAACAGTAGTATATATATTTAAAAACAATTAATAAATAAAGAATTATTGTTTACGCAATACTATGCATATTAAAGTGGAAACCAATTTTGTATTATGTTGTAATTATTCTTAATTTATATACAACTTATATGCTAACCTATCTCGCTGGCACCAACGCCCTTACTACCTTTCAATACTGACAGAGACACCGATGTCGACGTTTTGTGTGAGATAAGACCGTGCCGAAATGAATCTTACCTTAGGAATGCATTCAAGATTTTTTACTGTGTCTCAATAGTCTGACATCGTTATTCATTGAAAAAATTAATCTAATTGTACTAAAGTACTACGTCTCCTTCTGTCAAATTGTATTTACGCTGAGATAAAAACAGATGAGCAGTTAAAATTGTTCAGTTACTGATTATGTTTTTATGCAGAACGATGTGGAGTCTTCGGAAAGAGAACAAGCGCGGCAGTTATTGCTAAGCGTCATTTACCTACTTTTTTATATAAATAGAAACTTTCCGTCACTCTTTTTAATCGATAAGTTTTGAGTCATACAAACTGTTTGAACTGGAGCAAATTAATCGCAAGGATAAGGATCATTTAAATATTTGTCAAATTTATAAAAAGCTTTATTGATTAATTTACGTTTGAAAGCTTTGAATTTATTTAGTGATAATTCTCTAATTTCGCTTGGGAGTTTGATGTAAAAACGAATACAATTTCCGTATAAAGAGTGGTTTATCTTCTGGAGCCTGGTTGGAATCGAATCGAAATATAATGTGTAGTAACAGTGTTATCAACATAACAAAATAGATAATTTGCACTTCTGTGACCTCAACTCACACGACGGTTCTCTTTTTTGCACAGCTATTCTTTTAGGTAAAAATTATTGTTTGGGTTACCTGGAAGAAACTTCTCTAACTAATAAGACCGACCATTTACTTCAAATTAATCTTTGTGATAATTTTTTTTGTGTACGATTGATCTAAATAATGTTATATTATTAATTAAACCATTTTTGTTTATAGGATCTCATAAAATATACCCCGGCTAGTCACCCTGACCACGCGATGTTAACTGAAGCTTTAAATATGACGCAGCACTTTTTGGACGAATTTAATATTATACAAACTAAATCTATGTTCCCTGTAAGTGTTTTATAATATTTTATAAAGCGGGTAAAATAATAAATTACTTTATCAAATTAAACCAACTGCCTGAATGTGTAAAGATTTTATACGAAAAAATATGGTTCCATTAATGGGATTAAAAGTTAAATGCAGTAAAATAAAATCTCTTACAGCTTACAACTGTAAGCATTTGTTTTTCTTAACATTCAAGTAGGTGATTAACCTTTTATGCCTGAAACACGCCATCCATTTTATGGTCTAATACGATTTCAGGAAAGTTTTGCCTCACCATGTTTACCTTCATCGTTCGAGCGAGTGTTAAATGCGCTCATACCAAGATAATTCATTGAATGTACGACCTCAGGGTTGAGAGACGTACAATCAAGTCACTAGGCCAATACTGCTCTAAATTTTGTATGCATTACAATATATAATATATTTCAGAATGCTGATCGCGCACAAAGAAGACTTGTAAAGAATTCCTTTATTGTAGAATTGTCAGATGGACACAGGAAGTTACGTCATCTATTTTTATTCAACGATGTTATAGCATGTGCTAAATATAAGGTAAGCAATATATTGATCATAATAAAATATAATAATAATGAAAATATGAAAGTAATACCTACGCACGCTCGTACGCATTCGTGCACGTAGTAATAGCAATTGATCGTTGTCCAATCTGATATATAAACTAATATAATATGTGTACGTATAACATTAATGGTCTTATCACCAATCCTATTCAAACAAAAAACCACCATCCATCGTAACTGTTTTTTATTTAAATTAGTATTTTTAATTATATAGTTACTTTACTTCGAAACGCTTTAATATGTTTATCCCCTTCAATTAGTATGCTATAGACAGAGATAGCTACAGTTTTGTCTTCGACAGGCCTCCGGTCGAGATAAATTCACGTTCGAGTTGAAATGGTTCATACCGCTACCGGATATAGTGGTCGTGGAAGAAGATGGCAGTTCCGCGGAGAGGGAGACATCGCCAGCAAACATAGTGGCGCTCAAGTCGCAGGCCTGCACTGTACGAGACCAGATATTAGCCGAGGAACGGGCATTGCAGGATGATAAGGTAATTTACGTATTATGTTACTCATTTTTATTTAAAAAAACTACAACCTTTGGTTCAAGACCAAACCTTAGATTTGATTAGCTGATTCTGTCACCTATTAAAATTTCATTATAAAACTGTCCAAAATGTTTATTTTAGAACCGTAACTGGTATCATTATACAACGCCCGTAGGCCAAAGACATCGTAACCATCGATGTGCGCCAATTGGTTGTTGAATGATCTTTACCTAGGATGTTAAACTTTAATTTTTTGTAAAATTGTTGTAACTAAATTAACTCTAAATTGTGAATTTAAATCAATCTTTTGTCAATCGACAGAAAATAAGGTTAGGCGGTCGTGGCGCAGCGGAGAAGCAGCGTAAAAAGCTAGCAGAGTTAGAAGGGCAGTTGGTTCTGGCTAGTCCCAATCTTATATTCCGCATCGCTGCGCGTGCGCCAGCATCTACCGCACTACAGCGACAACATGTCTTCTTCCTCAGTTCGGAGTATGAAAGAACGCAGTGGATTGACTCTATACATGCGCTACAGGTTTGTGAAAATATATTTAAAAATGCGTATTGTACGACTGCAATAAATTGTGGAAAATATTTAAAAGTTCCTCGTTCCATAGCAGATGTTATCTGCTTATACTAAAGAAACAAAGAAAGTACATATGAAAAAATTATAAGCATGGGCCAACTAAACTCTATCGTATACGTATATACTTTTATCTGTGTTGAATTGTTTGTTTAAATTTATTTGTTGAGATACTCGAAAATCGAAAAATTAAAAGAAACATGACTTAAATAATTAGTATATTTCATAATTATCCGATATCATACGATTATTTTTAATTAGTTCTTAAAAATATTTTTCTTAGGCATCATCGGCGCCGCCCGCCGGATCCAACACGGTCTCCATGTTGGAACTACAAAGCTGGGTGACGGCGTGTCGCAGTTACTTACAAACTGACATGGGCTCGTACTTGTTGCGCAGTGGACGGGATGACTCCTTACTTCTGGGTGATTTACAGCTACACATTGGTGGAATGACCGCTCCACTCGACACTGCCGCTGGTATGTAATCATAATACATATTATATAAACATCTAAATTTGTATATGCCAATTTATTATATTCTTTACGAGTGCTTAAAAATCGTGGATAGCACGAAACTGAATTTCCCGTTTGTGAAATTCTGATCTGATTTTGCCGTAAGACTTTTTTGCAAGTTCCATAAATCTTAGAAAAAGTCAAAGGCTCAATGACATGTAAAAACAAATAAACATGAAAGAAAAGTCTCACTGGCGTCCAATTATGTTTTATTTCTGAATTGTCCAGCGTGACGTATGTCTGGTGACGTATACGTGTCTGTCCTTATCTTAACAATAACATACATTCAGGGAATCAAGTATTATTTTCATCTTTATTAAAAGATCGTTGATACCGTTGATTATATTTTCATTAGAAATTATGAATAGTTTCAATAAAAGTTACAATGATGTCATAACTTGTTAAGAAACGGATATTTAATAAAACTATTTGATTCCAGACTACTATATCATCGTAGAGGTGGATTCTTATGGGCATTATTTCCGCAAGGCTAAGTCAAAGTTGGTGTGTAGAAGTGCTCAACCGCGTTGGAACGAGAGCTTTACTATTGACTTGGAGGGCTCTCAGAATTTGAGACTGCTTTTATACGAAGATGCCGCTAGGCCGGTTCTTAGAGGAAAATGTACGGTGAAGGTGTGTATTATTATTCATTGCTTTATAAGCTGCCGATCATAATCTAACATGTCGTCGTTTCCTCTTTGGTTTAGATTCTGAAAAGATTTTGATTTGAATGTTAGGTTTAGAATAACTTTATTTCTCATAAGAATTGCATACATAATTCACTTACTGAGAAACAATATGTAAAACTAAGATTAAAAATTAGAGCGCACAGATGTAGGTACGTATATAAAATAACAAAACAAAACAGAAACAAAAATGTGGGTAGACATAATAAACTTAATCAGTCAACCAAGCAAAACATAGATGTTCGAATTTGATTTTTTTTTACTAGATGTGGCATTGATGGCATGGTGTTCTTGTTTTATTCCTAAGTTATCGCGCGAATGGGTGGCAGAAAGCGCTGCGGGTGGGGTCTCCAGAACGGTGTGCGTGGGAGGTGGTTCGTTGCCTCTTCGTTTGAAATTGTTGCCTCCGGAACGCTCTGCGCGGCATGTGCCTAATTCCAAGTCTGGCGCGCTTTTCGGTGCCAAAATCACGCATGTTGCCAAGTAAGTTTTGGACTTCGAATAACGGTCTTATTTATTTACGTAATAGTAACAGCCTAAAAATACTATGAAATAAATTTATTTAGTTTGATTGTTTAAGTAATGAGATACATATCAGAAATTGGTAGTTACACACATAATTACCACAATGTACTTTGACTACTTTTGCCCATTATCACAAGAAATCTATGTCAAAAATATTAATTTCATTTCATTTTTTCAAAATTCTTCTTGAGTCCTGAATGTGACCACATACATACATCAATGGCGCTACAACCTTATCTTTTTTAGGTCTGGGCCTGTTATATATATATATATATATATATATATATATATATATATATATATATATATCTATCTGTTTCATGATCATTTGGTAATCTAATAGGCAAGTAGGTGATCAGCCTTTTGTGCCTGACGCACGCCGTTGACTTTTAGGGTCTATGGCAAGGCGGTTTCCTCACGATGTTTTCCTTCATCGTTCGAGCGAATGTTAAATGCGCACATAGAAAGAAATGAATGAATGTGACCAGTGAAGATAAAAATAGTCGTATCGTTTTTAGCAATTTTAGCATTCCAATGTTGTCAATTACAGACGGGAAAAGCGCAACATTCCTTTCATAATAAGTGCGTGCATACGCGAAGTCGAGAGGCGTGGCATCCATGAAGTGGGCATTTATCGTGTTTCCGGTAGTGCTTCAGACCTAAACCGGCTTAAGAAGAGCTTCGAAACTAGTCAGTATACCAATGACCCTTTGATTAATAAAACTTAGTAATTTATATATTTATGAAAAAATTATTTACTATTCGATAATTTTTTCTTCTTTAGCTTATATTTTCATATAGACTTCGCCTTAGTATTATCGCCACATACGTACGATTTTATTCTTACACAAAGTTTATTTTAAAAAGATTTGTTTATGATTCATATGACATCATATAACAAATTATAGCCTGGAACTCGCGTCCAAAAGCTCATAAAAGTCTTTTTTAAATACTGTTCTTATATATTTATTTATAATAATATTTATAAATTCCAGATGCCTATGAAGCAGAGCAGCTATTGAAAGAAGTGGATATACACAGTGTGACCGGTGTACTTAAATTATACCTACGAGAACTGCCTGAAGCCTTATTCACTGACGCACTCTATCCGGAGCTATTGAAAGCCTGGGGTTCCACTCAGGTACGCTTCTTAAGTACGGTCTAAAGACCAGATATTCCTCCCAGCGCAGCTTACGTCTATAATATGGCCCCCAATATACTGATTTATGTAACTTAAAGTATTGCTATTGTGTAATTTTTTTATACTTTATTGTATTAAAAGAATTTAAAAAACTTAAAAATAATGTAAACAGTTACATGGTGCAATGGCGGCCTTATCGCTACTTACGTTTTCTTCTAGGCAATTTGAACTAGAAGTGTAAGACTGTAAAACTAATCTTATAATAAAGAATTAATCATTACTTAAAAACTTACAAAAAAAGTAAGTATATTAGGTGGAAAAAACTATATATAATTATTAATATATCAAATATACAATTTTATAACAACTATTTACATTCTGTTTTGCGCTGGTTACATAAAATATATTTTATTTTAAACTTTCGCATTTGTATTACTAAGATTTAAAATTAATATAATATCTTACAGGGCGTAGGCACGTCGGTTGACTCGGGCCCCGCACACACGCGACGACACGCTCTTCTCAAATGTTACGCACAGCTTCCGGATCTCAATAAAAATTGCATTGATTTTCTGCTCAACCATTTTGTTAAGTAAGTATCGATCATAAAACAGTAGTAAGCATGTTTTACTTAAATAATCGTCAAGCAAAAAGGACTGAATTTCTATGTGACAATTTAACTTACAAATAATGAGTTAAGCTACGGCTTCCTAGAAAAGCGGTGCCGTTATCTAACGGCCGTAATGTAACGTTGGGTTACGTCATCCATACGTTGTCTATAAATAACATCGGAGGTTTTCTAGAGAACGTTGAGTGTCACCGTAACGTCAAATAGCGGTGCTGCCATTTGCATGACGGCCGTCATAGCAGTGATAAACAGTAGTTTAACGTTTTTGGCGTGTAGCGGTGCTCATATTTAATTAATACAATGACTTGGACGAGCGAAAATTATGAACAATTAATTGATTTTGTTATAAATCATGAAGCTTTGTACAATATCAAATCCAAAGACTACAGACAAGCACTTGAACATGACACTCTCCTCCAAACGCTTTTTTCGTATTCTGATGACTCTTCATCATCCAAAAATACCAGGAAACCACAGCTTGGCCACCGTAAAGACGGCCGTTATTAACAGGAAGAAGAAGCAGCTTTTCTAGGAAACCGTAGCTTTACACGCTAGACGCAATCTGAAGATATGTTTTATCCTAATTGGATGTTAAGGAGTATGGGAATTGAAAGGAAGCTAAATAAAATATTAACTTTTGTTTTCAGAGTAAATCAACACGAGACAGAGAACAAAATGTCTTTACACAATTTGGCAACGGTGTTTGGACCTACATTACTTCGGCCATCAACCAGTGCCCCTGGTGCTAAACAACGTACCGACCTCTTAGCCGCAGGAACCGTAGACGCTATGGCCCAAGCTGGTATACTCTATTGTCTATTACAGCAGAGACAATTGGCCGCGCAATTGTCCTCGCACCATAGAGCTCCAACGCTTCTAGATTAACGATTTGCTGCTAAATCGCGGAATTACCACTTGAGATTGGGATCCAAGAAAAGCGGTGTTATGATTTTTCCCGCAACTGACTTTCTTATATTCATACTCCAATTAGAATGTTTAACTTTACAAGATAGATAATTAATTCAGAATTCCTAAAAGTATTTGTTACAAATATATTTAGGCATTTTAAATCGACATAATTAAATAGAAAAATAAATAAACCTAAAAGTAGGTTTGCCTTCTAAAATACTTTTTTAGGCAGTCCATTGTTTACTGTTTACCGCCATCTCTGAAGTCCATGTCTTATTACCTGGATTTGACATTTACAAAGTAACTCATTGGGTCATTTAATCGCCGACGCAAACAACGTTTTGAATAAAATAGTGATTTTTTGTAATTTAAATTTGGTATTTTAAAGCAATTAAGTAATTGTCTGTGCCCAGTGCTGGGCCTTTGGCTGACATGAGAAATATTATTGCGTGTGTTTTGGTTTCCTCTGTGTGTGTTGTCTTTGTAAGTAAAGTATACATTCCATTTAAAAAATATAACAAAAATGTGAATGAAATCAAAACAAAAATCGGAAAAAATAATATAATTAAAAAATTGGCATTGTTCACCACATGAACAAATTGTGATTTTTAATATTGCTATATGGAATGTGGAGAGACATAATTAAATAAGTGAAAAATATTATATATTATGGCTAATTATCCTTAGGCCAAAATTGGTGCTAAATATTCAATTGAAATTTCGAAATTTTATAATGCAAGGACAATGCCAATTAATAATAGAATTCAGTGTGTATGACAAGTATTATGAAGGGACCGAAAGAAAGTCACGGTTAGTGTTAACAAAATATAGACTGATAAATAATAAAACTGTTGTGGAAGAATGTTTCCTGCAAATAAATGAAAATTGCTTTAATGCTTAGACATTTAATACAGATAATTTCAATGTGCAGCAATTTTCAGTGCTAGTCGTGCGTATTTACTTTATTTTTTTACCACTTCTAGTACTTTATGTTTAGTTGTTAGTTTCTCATATGTATTTACAACTCATTCTTTTTGCTAAGTTAGTACTTAAAGACAACCAAAAATGGATTTTTGTAGAACAAAGTTTATTTCATTTGTAATGATTTTGTTATTATCTTAAAACTTAACTATCTATTTGTTGAATAATATTATATAATTATATTTATGATCACATAGTGTTTATAAGTTTTTTACTTGTTCAAAGAACTTCAAATATGTTTTCTTCAATCACCAAAGACCTTATTTACTGCATCTTAATTTACATCATTTCATGTTGACAATATCCAGTAATTACAGGTTTATTAAATTAATATAGTAACAATAATTATTTATAACATAAATAATCATGTGGATGTGTAGAACAAAATTGAAATCACACCACCCAACGAAACCTTAAAATTGGCACTTTATTATTTCTTCCAGTTAAAAAGTATTTTTAATTAAAGCAATTCATTAAAAATTATCATGATATACAAATATATATATTTTTTTAAAACATCACATAATTGCCATAAATTATATAAAACACCTTTCTTATCTTAATATAAAATGTATACCACAATGTAGAGGCCTACCTAGTTTTAAAATATCGTAAATGCAAACAGTAGTAATATTAATTGATTTTTAGGATATAAATGTACTTTCCTACCATTCTAGCTTTATCAGTGTCACCATTATTTTCTGACAGCTTTTACACAAAGTAATACTAGGTCTGTAGTATTTCACTTTTATAAGATTTTGCAGTATTTGTATAAACATCATAATGCACTGGACATTATTGAAAGGAATACTTGGTAGTGGTCAAAACTTAAAAAATCATTATTCATCATAAACACATATAATTGTGGCCAGTGTATTATGGCTGTTTCCTTAACCTATATTTAATATAATTTATACATTAATATTATAACACAACTTATTTGGCATAGGTAACATGTTAGCATTTTAATATTATATGGTAACAGGCAAATTGCATTTCATGTATTTATTTTAAACAGTGTTCTACATTAGTCAAATGACATAGTAGTCATATATTGAAACTCCTTGTGTATTGTAAGTTGTACTGCAAAACAAATATTTTAAATTCCTTACACACCAGTGATAAATATTGAAATGCCAATAAAGCGGCCAAGTAATTGATTATCTTTAATATTTTTTGTATCAAAGCAGTTTTCAGCCCTGGTTACCCTTTCTCATACACAATAATTAAAGATTTTTGTTACTGAGGTATGTAGGATATTTATAAGATAGTTTGTATTATTTGGATTTTGTATTTAATTTTTGTATATAATTGATACTAAAATGTAGTTATGAACCTTTCACAATAAATGTATTTTTAATACACCTTTTACATGCTTTTGACTAGAATTTTTCATTCAAGCCATGTCTCAATATGGTTTGCGATTGAATCCTTAACAGTGACATCTGTCCCAGTTTCTAATTTAAATATTAAAATTGAAACTAAAACACCAATACCAATTGCTAAAGGTTTTGTTCTTCGGTATAATAGATACATAACAATATTTAAGGAACTATACATAAATAATCTTTTATCTGCATTTAATAAGAGATTATTCACAATTTTTTTATCTATACATTTACCAGACCATAGTTCCTCATTTGGCCTACAAGCTGTGCAGTTATAGGAACCAGAACCAATGCAAGTAAAACAAGATGCATCACAGTATTTGCAAGAAAATGAACCTTCATTATTGATACAATATTGGTTATTTTTACACACAGTATCTAATTGGCATTCATCAATATCGGTACAACTATCAGTTATTAGTTCCCAACCAACAGCACATACCTTACACTTATTACTACCATAACTAAAACATTCCTGGCATGCTTTATGGCAGGGCATACATTCAGTTTCCTTAGTACTATAATAATTACTAGCACATTGATTACAAAATGGACCAGTATAACCTGCATCACAGATACAAGTTCCATTACCTTTGCGAGTGCCATCTCCATGACACGTACCTTGATTGCTACAGATATTTCCATCTTTATCTAAAGGACATGGGGTACAATCTGCACCATAATGATGCTTAGGACAACAATACTTTAGGTTTTCCAAACAGAGCCAAGAATAAAATTCTGATATTTGAAATTTTCCTTCTGACCACCATTTCTCCACTAAATATTCTGCTTCTTCAGCAACTGAATAACATTCATCCATATGTCTACTTAATTCTGAACAAAGGTTTTCCTGAATTTCTACCAATCTTATCTCACTCTGAGCATATGATTTTAGTTTTGTTTCTTCCCAAGCTACATCTCCACCATCAAATTTACCACGAGATGTTTTCGCAAACCAATTTATAAAGGAGTCGCTAAACACCTGACATCGGCGACAATCGTTAAGTTTTTGAAGTCGAACTAGATTTTGGTTATTTTTAGCACATGCCATAGTAAGTAAAAGAAAAAATTCTATGAAAAAGCACATGTAAAATGGTATCTTGTCCATGTTCATTATTTTTCAAAATATAACAATGTAGAAATTCTATATGAGAAATAATGTAAAACTTTAAATATTAACTGAAGTGCATACAACTTTATTTTTGGTTTGATAATAATCCTTAACAAGGTTATTAGTTATTACTAGTGCCTTACATTTTTTTAAATATTTGTGCTATTAATTAAAAGATAAGTATTAATTAATAATTACTGGTATTTTTTATCACTTACTACTCTAACTAGTAATAGACTATAGAAATATTAATGGCAAACGCAAGAGTAGAAATATTGAATATTATATTCCAATTCCCACTTAGATTAGCTTGCCTGCCGCGAAGTGCTTGTAGTTTAACCTGTCAGTTATGATTTATACGTCCTACTCCTGTCTAAACTCTAATGACAACTTAGAATGACAATTTCTTCATACGACGCCACTTAAAAGTGTCTAGTCAAGTAATAGCAGAAACAGTTAATAATATGTTCCTAATCTGTGGACTGAAGTCTAAATTCTAAAATCAGAACTAATTTGATCAATCTGTGGTAATAAGATTTTCATGGCGCTTGAGCGAGTGTAGAAGTTTTTTTAAAATAGTTAATACTTAATAAAAAGTGTTTCAAATTCTGATTTCACCATTTCTATTGTATTAATGAATTGAGAAAATGTATCGGTAAATAATAAAAAGGTTAATTTTGGTAATGGCATTATACTCACAAATTAACCTTAAATCGTTTTATTTGTGACTCAAGAATATTTGTTTGAAATGGCTGACAAAATAAGGTACGTATTTTCAAAAAAAAGGTACAAGCTCCATTTAGAAAATTATTTATTTCTTCTGTCTCTACGGAGTGAAATACATGCAGTTCGTTTTATTTTTTCGTCGTGACCCAGCAAAATTTTCCTCATGGTTATTATGAGCATATGCCACATTACCGAGTTCTGAACGATAATCATTTTTAAAATACATTTTTATTACTTTTATAATTTAATTTGTGTGTAAATCGTTTTAATTTATTTTAAGAAAAGTAAAACATTAAAGACAATATTTTTGTTTCAGAGTTAATAACTCCAAGTTTGATTTGGATGACAACTATGATGTGTCCGAATCAGATAAAGAATATACAGAAAAAGAAAAGAAACTACTAGGGAAATTGAAACATCAACATGATAGTGATTCTAGTAGTGAAGAGGAAGTTTATCGTTTTTCAGAATCTGAAAATGAGTCTGAAAAAAACGATTTGGAAATGGCGGATAGTGATGTTGAAGGCCAAGAAAAGTCTGATGATGATTTACCAGATTCCAAAGCTTGGGGAAAGAAAAAGAGATCCTATTATTCTACTGATTATGTTGATGAAGATTATGGTGGATTTGGAGATGACGAGGAGGCAGCTCTTATGGAAGAAGAAGAGGCAAAAAATATACAGAAACGACTTATAGAACAGTTAGAAGAAGATGATTTTAAGTTAGATTTTTTAACACCACTGCAACCAGCCTATAGTGAGAATGAGGAAACATTAATCAAGAATGATTTAAGTCAGATGTCTAAAAGACAAAAAATGCAGTTACTTGAAAAGGAAAGTCCAGAATTTGCTGGACTTATTGAAGATTATAAATCAAAACTTTCTATTGCTAAAGATAATTTACAGCCACTTTTGAAACTTGTAAGTCAAGGAAAAGTGCCAGAGTGCTCTGCTTCAAAATTTGTTAAAACTAAATATGACCTTATTTTAAACTACTGTACTAATATAAGTTTTTATGTTCTTCTAAAAAGCCAGCGAATTAGTATACAAAATCATCCAGTTACAAAAAGACTTTACCAGTATCGGCAGATGTTAAATAAAATGGAACCTATATACTTGGAAGTGATTAAACCGCAAATTGATAAAATTATAAATGCTGTTGAGAATAAAGTCAAATTAGTAGTGAGGAAAGAAAACATGAAGCGGAAATCAACAAAACTGTCCTTGGAACAGCCACTCAAGAAACTCAAACTAATAAACAAGCTTGAAAAAGATGATGGAGAAGACACTGGTGTTTCTGATAATGATTATGATGGTAATGACTTCTTCAAATTTAGTGCTGGTTCTGATGATTTGGCTAACAAACACACGGAGTCGGATGAGAGTGGTTTTTCTGATAATGATGATTTGGAAGCTGAAAATAACAGACCATCCACATCTCAAGAGGTAACCATGGAAGAATTAGGAGAGAAACGTGAAATAACTTATCAAATCGCTAAAAATAAAGGACTAACTCCACATAGAAAGAAAGAACAAAGAAATCCAAGAGTGAAACATAAACTAAAATACAGAAAAGCTAAAATAAGGAGGAAGGGTGCCGTTCGAGAACCAAGGACTGAGGTCACTCGTTATGCTGGTGAAGCCTCGGGCATTAAAACAAATGTCAAAAAGAGCATTAAAATTAAGTGATTTATATGGCTTTATTAGATATAAAATAAGAACATGTAATGGTTTTATTACAATAAAATTATAACAGGAAAAGTTGTAGTTTTTTTCTTAATGTTGCCACCTGCGAAGAACAAAAAAAGATATGTAATTCAATTACAATTTATTTTCAATATTTAATTTATTTTCAAATTCAATATTACACATTTAGGCAAAATATTTTATCAGAAAAAACACCCTAATTGTAATGAATTGATTAATATGAAACTATACTTGAGCAAGAAGAGGTCATCTGATATCAAAATAATAATATTTAGGTACCTAATATAATATCTTAATAATTTTGCTTATATGTATCTTTCTTTACAAGGTTTCAATAAATGAATCATATGTTGAATGGATTGTGTGTTCCTTTTTAGACATGTTACAATGAGATAAATTATAAAAAAACTAATTTATACTTACAGTTTTAATACTTTGTCTTTTCCACCAGATGCAACATAGGCACCATCTGGAGACCAATCTACAGCGAAAACCTCATCAGCATGTCCAGGAAGGTCCAATTCTAGTTTTTTTGTTTTCATATTCCAAACTAAAATAAAAATTAATTCCACTATAATATCTTACATAACTAAGTCAGTAATTGTATTGCTTGACAGATAGACAAACACAATAAATAATTGTTGTTGTATTTTTGTTCTAAATTCTTCATCATACTATTTATGATTTTACTACCTTTAAGTGTAGAATCTGCACTGGAGCTTAACAGAAGCCTGGAGTCAGCAGACCAGGCAACCATATAGACAGCTTGCACATGTCCTCGCAAAGTTGTTATAAATTTACCAGTTGATGCTTCCCACAGTTTTACAGATTTATCAAAAGAGGCTGATGCTATTATCCTAAAAATGAAAGTAAGTAATAGTTAATGATAGTGTTAAATGTAAATACATAATTGCAGTGATAAGCTCTGACTAAGCTAACCTAGAGTCAGGAGAAAATTTAACATCATTAATTAGTTGTTGATGTCCTGTCATTCTAGCTAATGGACGTTTTTCCTTTTCAGGTAACCAAAGGAACAGAGTAAAATCATCCGATCCAGAGACTAGCCGCTCAGTTTCATTTTTGCATGTTTCTTGATATCTCTCCAAAGCTCTTTGTTGAAGAATTTTTTCTGCAATGAATTTACACTTTAAAATTGACTATTCACACACATAGTAACCATATTATTGTATATATAAAAGTTATGTTTCTTATTTACTATTGCAACACTCTGTTTTAACAAGATCATACTAAAACTTACTGTCATGAGAAGGAGAGTTCCTATCAAGTATGGGGTGAAATGGCCCGGTGCGTAAAATATAGTCTGTACTTAAAGCCATAGTGTTCACCCAATGAGCATGCCCCTCTAAGGTTCTGCACAAAATTCCATCTTCAGCCCTCCAAACCTAAAATAGTTTATAGTGGCTAATTATTAAGCACAGAAACAACAAATAAGAAAAAACTGTATTTGTTTGTTATAGAGATGAGAGTTGCTGAATGGTTTCAGCCCAACAGAGCACAGAAAAACAAATGTTTTACATAATTATATACAAAATTATTATTAAATACAAGATCTGCAATGTAAAAACCTTAATAGTTCTATCCTGCGATGATGTATAAATAAGACCAGTCCCTCCCCATTTGACACATGTTACAGCTTTCGAGTGCCCAGTCAAACTAAGTATTGTATGCCCTGTTACAGTATCCCATATTCTAACATCACCATCTTTTGAAGAACTTGCCAATTTCCGACTATCAGGATTACTACAAGAAAAAAATCATTTACTTGGTTGATTAAAAATTATAGCTATGTTGATTCTAAAATAGTACACATTATCTATTGTGAATTAAATGGTGTACATACCTCAAGTATGGTTCCCATGCTAATGATGTAATCCACTGTTTGTGTCCTATCATGGTCTTTCCAACTTGATTGCCCGTAACTGGATCCCATAATATAATACGACCCTGCTTACATGCAGATGCTAGTCTTGTACCATCTGGAGACCAACTTATACAGAGTACCCAGTTGTTGTGGCCTTAAAAGATTTAATGGGTAAGTTGTAACACTTTTATGACTGAAAATTAGTATTTGTGATGTGTTTACTAACCTTTACATACATGTAAAGGAGTTTGTGTATTTATATCCCAAAATCTAACTGTGGTGTCACCTGATCCACTAGCTAAATGGTTACCAGAAGGGCTAAAACATGTAGATATTACTGCTTCTGCATGACCTGGAATAGAACTATTAATTTTGGATTATTAGGTGTGTATTGGTACTTTTTAAATAGGTATTTTTTATTATTACCTTGTACATCTTGTAACTGGCCTTACTTTAAAGACAGCTTGTTGTTGGTATATAATTTCTATGACTTCTTCTGAATTTAACTTTTCAATATCAAGAGCTTCCTTAAGATTTGAGGTTATTTCTGTATCTTTGACGAAAAATAAAAATGGTTTCTCTTCCTAAAATACAATTTTCTTGTTAAAGACGAGAATTTAACAAATAACTTGTTAAGTCCTCGTGCTATTGTAAAAAAATAATATTTTCACCTCTTGTAGAAGTGCATTACAAATAAGAGTTAGTTGATCCTTTGTAATATTCAAAGGTAAGTCCAATGGACTTCCAATTTCTTCTCCCGTTTCAGATTTAAACTTAGCCTGAATACAAGTAGGTAATTCGCTGTCTAATTCCATTTTTTATTTTTATTTAATATAAATTGGATATACAAATGTAAACATAACCTAAAAATTGCAATTAGGACTTGTTGGGTTTTAACTTTGTAGTTGGTACTTGGTAGCAGTGTTCACAACCTGAAGCCAGGCAGTTATCGTACCAGGGCCGTAAAATTATCGTATATGCGATCCATATACGATAAATTATCGTACAGTCAGGAAAATGGCTAAAAATACTTTTAAAAATCATATGAAACGTGAAAATAAAATGTTGCAAACGATTTATAGTTTAAATCTTGTAAACTTGTGTTTTTCAAATTGAAAAAAATCATAATAATTCAATCTCTTTCGTCAAAGAGGAACAAAAATACGCAATATTTTCTCGTTGAACAATATGGTAAGTGATATACCTATTGTCCGTAAATATCGCATATTATTTTTATCACTTAAAATTCGTTAGGTATTAAAATGTTATCGAAGACTTCCAAATCTGCGTCACCATACAAATCGTGAATTTTTTGGCTGTGCATTCTGATGCGTTTTTGTGTTTGTACATTAACGCTTTGTTCATCTGCTGTAGTTGCCTTGTGACAGCATAGGTTCCTAATAGAAAAATAAGCCAATAGATGGCACTGACACTAAAAACTGTAATTGTTATTGGGCTATCTGTGTAATCATCAAATTTTTTATCAGACTGGAAATTATCGTACAATCTGCGTACGATAGTCATGTACCATCGTACATCGTACGTAGTTATGAAATTATCGCAAATGTACGATAATTATCGTACGGTTGTGAACCCTGCTTGGTAGTTGGTGGCTGGTGCAGTTATTTTTTTCATGTGTAGTAGTTTGACATATGTGACAAATACAACACATCAACCGCATTGTGACAGCAGGAAAGCATGAGAGAGAGGCTGAAAGTAAAAAGTCTAATTAATCTGTATCTCCTAAAGATAAGGATAAATTTATAGACAAAATGTCTCAATCTAAATTCTAATTTCAGTAGTTAACATCGAAATTTGGTTTAATCAATTTTAATAAGATTTTTTTTTATGGAACAGGAGGCAACCGAGCATGCACCCGCCTTCACGTTATGTGTTTACCGCCGCCCGTGGACATCTGCACCAGGAGGATTGCAAGTGCGTTGCCTGCCTTTAAGGTAATGGTACACTTTTCTCTTGAAGGTCCCTATGATTTTTGTGTAGCAACACCTCCATTCTACGGCTATTAATCACTGCATTGAAGTCATACCCTGAAACACGCTAACGAAGTTATTCCGGCCGCTATGGATATATATAACTTCTCGGCCACTGTAACCTTCGGGCCGGCCAGTTAGTGGTTAGACTAGTCTAGGGTCTTTCCTTTAGGTTTGAAGAACTGTCCAAATATGAGATAGCAGATGCCGAGAACCTATTTAAATCTTAAAAGCACCAACAATAAACGAAGAAGAGTTTACGATCACGAAACAAAAAAAAGGGTGCGTGTGCTTATGTACGCGCGTAAGAAGTTATACTTCTTTGGCATTATTAAAAATAGTTTTTGATTGCATGCAAATAATTAATCAAAGACATTATAGTCAATAAAGTTCAGTTTACATTTGAAAAATTAAATAAATAAATATTTATTATTATTCTCTTACATTAAGTGTAACATAAATTCTATTATTATTCGAATGCTGTTTTTAAATTATGTCCAATGCCGTAGCATCTTCCGTGGGCAACTTCATTCTGTTAATTTCGTGTCAAGGTGCGCGCGCATCGTAAAATTTCACTCTCATAAATTTTTCATAACGCGCCTAAAGAAGTATAACTTCAAAAAGTGTGACTTAGGTGTCTCATTCCTCTATACACATCATATAACGTGTAAAGTTAAAATATCTAGATACTCTTACTTTTTACTCTAAGGCAGTGATGGGCAAACTTTTTAAAAGGAGGGCCAGATTAAATTTAAAAATTTACAGGCGGGCCAAAAAAAAAAAACATCAAGCACATGTTTCATTTCTAGAGCAGATTTTCACAGAGTTTCTTGATGAATGATACAATGAAGAAACACCACTTCGTTCCCAGGAAATGATTCATTAAATTTGCCTACAAAACCAGATTTTGCCCCAGTCATATTTGGTGCTCCGTCAGCAGTAATGTTACAAATAGTGGTCAGAGGTACTTTCAAAGATGTGATAGTTTCTTGAAATTCTTCAAAAATGTCTGATCCTTTTGTCGTTCCCTTTAATGAACGCATGGAGGCTAATTCTTCAGTAACACCAAAGTTGTCATCTATACCTCTTATAAATATCAGTAACTGAGCTGTGTCAGTTATGTTGGTGCTTTCATCCAACGCAAAAGAACAGAATTTAAACGTGCTTATCTTTGATCCTAGTTGTGTTACAAACTGCTTGTTAATAGCTTCAATTCTAGACGTATTTGTTTTTCGGGACAAACTTACTGCTTCAAAATCTCTTGTTTGTTCAGGACACAAAATATCACTTACTTGAAGTAAACAAGTTTTTACAAATTCGCAATCAGAAAATGTTTTGTTACTTTTAGCAATATTGTATGCTACAACATAGCTGGCACGTGAAGCAAGCTTTTGAGATCTGTTCTGCTTTTTAACAATATTTTGCTGACCTGATATTTGCTTACGTAGAGCTCCTGATTGTTGCTTCCGTTCTTCTTCAGTCATCTTTTCATAAGTGGCGTTGTTATGTTTTGTCATGAAATGTCGAGAGAGGTTAAATTCCTTGAATACGGCTACAGCTTCATTGCAAATTATTAATTTTAGGGGTTAATCAAAATCGTGTCGCGGGCCGGATCAGACTAGCCCGAGGGCCGCACTTTGCCCGCGGGCCGTACTTTGCCCATGACTGCTCTAAGGTGTCTCTTCTAATTTTTATCTCTTTAACATATGTCCATAGCGAATAGCGTGACTGGAGGTAGTGATTGTGGACTGTGCTCTGTGTTGAATTGACAGCGACAGAAAAGGTAAAAGGAATTATGAAATGTCTGGCATCGGCTTTTACATACGTGTTGTGTTTATTCTTATGAGGTATTAAACTGGACGTAAAAATGAAATATCTGTACATTTTAATATTGTTGTGTTCTTTAGTTTATTGTGATGAACATACTCATACTTATAAGCAGGGGGAACAAGTTGTGCTATGGATGAACACTGTTGGCCCATATCACAATCGTCAAGAGACTTATGCGTATTTCTCACTACCGTTTTGTGTCGGGACAAAAGTTACCATTGGCCATTACCACGAGACTTTATCAGAAGCTCTACAAGGTGTAGAATTAGAGTTTAGCGGTCTCGACATTACTTACAGAGACAATGTTCCAGCACAACAATTTTGTGCAACTGAACTAGACGAGCAAGCATATAAGGCCCTGGTTTATGCAGTCAAAAATCACTATTGGTACCAAATGTATGTGGATGACTTACCTATATGGGGAATCGTTGGAGAAATTGATGGTGACAATTACTATATCTGGACTCATAAGAAATTTGATATTGGCTACAATGGCAACAGAATAGTTGAAGTAAATCTTACGGCGGAAAACAAAGAGAAACTGGCATTAGGAGCTAAAATTCCATTTACATATGAAGTTAATTGGAAACCAAGTAGTATTAAGTTTGAAGATCGTTTTGATAAATATTTGGATCCAAACTTCTTTCAACATAGAATTCACTGGTTCAGTATTTTTAACAGTTTTATGATGGTCATATTTCTAGTTGGTCTTGTATCCATGATCCTTATGAGAACTCTAAGAAAAGATTATGCAAGATATTCTAAAGACGATGACCTTGATGACTTGGAAAAAGATTTGGGTGATGAGTATGGATGGAAACAAGTGCATGGAGATGTTTTTAGACCTGTTCCTCATTTAGCTATGTTTTCAGCTTTAATTGGTGCAGGTTATCAACTTACAGTTGTCACTTTAGCTGTTATAATTTTTACTATATTTGGAGAACTCTATACTGAAAGAGGGTCTTTATTGTCAACTGCCATATTTATTTACACATTATCATCACCTGTAAATGGATATTTCGGAGGATCCTTGTATGCAAGAATGGGAGGAAGACTTTGGATTAAACAGATGTTATTGTCTGCTTTCTTATTACCAGTACTAGTCTGTGGCACTGCATTTTGCATTAACTTTATTGCTATGTATTACCATGCTTCTAGAGCTCTTCCTTTTGGTAGCATGATTGAGGTAATGTCGATATGTACTTTTGTTATTTTGCCATTGACACTGGTAGGCACTGTCCTTGGACGAAATTTAGCTGGCCAACCAGATTATCCTTGTAGAATAAATGCTGTACCCAGGCCAATCCCTGAAAAAAAGTGGTTCATGGAACCATTTATAATCATTATTATGGGAGGAATTTTACCTTTTGGCTCTATATTTATTGAGATGTATTTTATTTTCACATCATTTTGGGCATATAAAATTTATTATGTTTATGGGTTTATGCTATTGGTATTTTTGATATTGATGATTGTAACAGTATGTGTGACCATTGTATGTACTTACTTCCTTTTAAATGCAGAAGACTATCGCTGGCAATGGACAAGTTTTCTCTCAGCTGGAAGCACTGCTCTCTATGTCTACCTGTACTCATTTTATTATTTCCTATTTAAAACAAAGATGTATGGTTTATTCCAAACTGCATTTTATTTTGGATACATGGCATTATTTAGTATGGCCTTAGGAATGATTTGTGGTACAGTTGGTTATTTAGGCACAAGCTTATTTGTACGTAAGATCTATTCAACAGTTAAAATTGATTGAGCCGTACCCATTATAAGCATTACTAAGGTTTTTAAATAATTATTGTCATAAGGACTGGCAGCAATGTACGAGAGTTTAAAATATTTGATAAAATGGAAACTATTGTCATCATATTGTAGTGATGGCATATTTGTCTTATAATACAAATATAATAGATATTACTGGAATATATATCAGATAGACTTGATTATGTAAATGTAACCAGAGTTATCATGAATGCCCCTGGGACATTTTACATGATGATTTAAAACAATTTGCATATAGTAATTATATTCACAATATGATTTATTTTGTACTCTTTGTATTGTAGAATTCCAGAGAAGTCTGTATTAAAAAATGATTAGAGTGGCAAATCCTACATAATATCTGATATATCAGTAATGTTTTGTCATGTGAATCAATTCATATTTATTTTTCTTTATGTTCAATAAGTTGCTTTTATTAAATGTTAAATATTTAACAATGTTACAAAACTGATAACTATTTACGATCACTTTTAAAAATGATTTTGTGAATGAAACATGTATACATACTATTCATGTTTCATAATGTGTTAGTATGAGTTTATCAAATATTGTAGATCCATTTAGGGACTGTTAAATTTGTAAGTCACTATTTTCCCTAAGAGTGTGATCTTTAATTAAGTTGTATTTAGGTATAATTTTACTTTCTATATTATGTAAATATTACCTTAGAAAATGTAGCTACTGACTTGCAACAACTTTTGTTTTTAAATTATTTGTGTTCATGGTTTAGGCAGAAAAATATCTGTAATGCCATCCGACACATTAAATTATAACATTGTGAGAAATAAAGTACTATATTGACAGTGTTTCTTTTAATTATTAATGTTTATTGTAAAACTAATGTTACTAAAAAAGAACATAATTTTTTGGAGCCTTTGTTTTTAGAACTAACACACTAAATAAATAAGAATAAATCTCTCTGCATCTTCAACCGGATTTACCATGGCGAGTGTTTAGAGGAGTTGTTCGGATTAATAACTGCAGCTGAGTTTCATCATCGGACGCCGAGGAAGAATACGAAATATCACCAAGACGTCCGTTGTTGCACAACTGCTGAACGTATCTTAAGGCAGTTTTTCCATGAGGAACCAGCTGTCCACTGACGTATTTTCGAAGCAATTCGAGTTAGGGTCCTTCAAGAAATGAGCGTACCTACTAATTACTTTTATTATAAAAAACTACATTTGGTCAGTAAATTAGCCCTACTGGATTTGGATTTTACTAGTTATTGGAAAAAAATTTTTTTCAAATCCGTAGTTTTTTCCCGTTAATCGCTGTATATACCAAAGTCCCAGCCAGTCCAGCTTCTACAGAATCGGATATAATTTATTAATAGAATTAGCAACTGCAAGAACAAAATAAAAAACCAGTGGAGCTACAACCTTTTAGGTCTGGGCCCCAGATTTCTGTATCAGCCTTCGGTGCCTGACACACGCCGTCGACATTTTGGGTCTAAAACATGCCGGATACCTCACCGTGAACTAACTTACGGCGCGGCGTTCTTTAGGTACCTTTGCCGACCAAGTAAGTTTTAATTAAATAAAACTACAAAACCCAAATGTCAACATGTATTATGATCAAAACAATCATGTATTATAAAATATTATTATCTTATAGATAATACATATTTGTTATATTGCTTTATTTTCATCATTTTCAACAAACAATTCTGGATCGACAGATGCTTTTCTATTTTTCTTTCCACCTGGAGTTTTAGCATTGAATGCTTCCGCAGTTCTTTTCCTAAGCGCAGACACATCTTCATTTTCGTCACTTTGATCTGCCCATTCTAACACCAATCTTCTACCGTAAAGATGAGTGGATTGGCAAAGGGCGTCATATGCATTCTGTAAATAACAAAAATCGATATTAAATAAGAAATAAATTTTATTACACTTATGTAATCAAATTTAGTTCAGACACAAAAATCCGTAGGTTAGTTTTTTATTTTATTTGTATGAATAAAACCCACAGGAACTGCTATGCAACTTGCATGTAGGAGTTCATGTGTGCCTTTAATATATGTACAAAAAGTTTAACCGTAACATTAACGTTTGCTAAGGGCAATAATTTTAATTTAAAAACTAAGAAATATAAGTAATTCAACCCGTTAGGTCTATTTTTAAATTATGCTTAAGGGAAGCTCTATTCAGTGTTGCCATACATAGTAATCCAGCCTTTCTATTCCCTTTAGAAGCCTGTGAATGTAGAAATCTAGTTAGTGTTTTAATTTTATTTCCTCTAATTTTTTTATTACAAGCAAAAAAGAAATTAAACATTTGTTGGGCTTAAAGAAATTTATTTTACCTTTGCATCAGCTTTTGAATAATAATCCACGAACGCAAAGCCTCGATGTTGGTCGGATCCTGCTGTTAGTTTTTTCGGCAACCGCAATGTTTTTATTTCACCAAATGCTCTGTAATCAGTAACTTTTATTAAATGAATGTACTTACGAAAAATACTAAATAATAGCTTTAAAATCGTGTTGAATAAATAAATAATCTTCTTACAATGTGCAAATATCGATACACGAACTGTATGCATGCTTTTTAGTTAGAGTAGAGTAAAGAAGAATATAAGGCACTAGAAGTCGTTAAAAATTTACAATATTAAGATAAAATTATTATTATTTCATATTTATGATTTACCTGAATATTTCGTGCAATTCATTCCTGTTCGCCTGGAACGGTACATTTCTCACGAGTATTTTTGTGCCATTCTGTGCTGTCTCTTTGACAGTCTTCTTGTTAGTTTTCACTTCAGTTCTGAAAAAAAAATATACACATTATACGTATAATAAATATAATATTAACATTAATATTTTTATCTACGTTTATTTATAGCTTAACATTGTGAAGGGAGTCTTGTGTACAGTGCGTTCGACATAAAGTGAGGATCCTCCGACTGACCCTAGGGCCCCAGTGCCTTAGTTCATGTTGTACAACTCTAGTGGTCGGAATACCTTCGTTAGAGCATATCAGGGTATGACGTCATCTTGATTATAACCGTGGAATGTAGATGTCGCTACAAAATCAAAGCCGCGCTCCCGTCTAAGTCTATATTACAAAATCCAGACACAAATACACAAAAATAAGAGATTCTACTTGACCCCAAAGCCGGAATCTGACTAATAAGGTATTTTTGAAAGTCTACAACCACATTATTTAAGTCTTAACTGGAGTTTAATTCCGATTTCAGCGTGTTTATTTTTTTATAGACATAAAGGCGATCAGCCAGAATACATTAAATATAGTTTTAAAAAACACTCACTGGTTACCCCTCTCGGAACGCTTAAGTTCAAGTTGTTTCTCATCTAAACTGGAACCTTGCAGTGTTTTTAAGGCTTCAGTGGCATGACCCTTCTTATAAAACTGCACAAACCCGTAGCCCATAGACAAGAATTTCCCGGAATTTTTGGGATCCTTCTTTTTGGCGATTGTTACCGCGTGAATACGACCACACGAAGAGAAATGCTAAAAATATATTGTTTATAGTAAATTAAATACATAAAATATCGGTCAGCAAATTCATTTATAAAGAACGGCCAGATTTTGACGATCAATGATTTGGATTTATCTCCGCCTCCAGTAGCAAAATAACAATCCAAATACATATAGATTCTTCGAATAAATTGTAAACAAAAAATAGAGAACAAAGTAAGACTTAAATCGAATCGAACTCGTAAAGGTCTAAAATTATTGAGGCGCCATTATGGCTGGGTCATCTAGTTAATTATTTCGATTCTTTTTCGTTTATTGCCGAAATCATATGCGCTCAAAACACGACAAAAGCTATATCTACATTGTAAAATATGTATATGAAGCAATAAACCAATAAATCGATTAATAATTCAATTCAGTTTACGACTATTAGCAAGGTTACATTGTTGTGCGTTAAACCACGAAATATAATTTTGTATCAATTGTGCTTAGTGGCGTTGATGGGTACGACGAGATTAAAAGGGTAGCTGGCAAAAATTGGATCCTGACGGCAAGAGAAAAAACGGGTGGTAAAAGTTGGCCTTTACGGGGCCTCATCTAAGAATAACAAAATTGTAGAATAGAAAATCTGGCCTTATTTTAAATTATATAAGCATTTTAAGTCTATGACGTGACCTCTAATTTGTCATTTTCTACAAATAAGGAATCTGTCAGTGCCTTTAACATACCAGTCACTGACTGTTAACCTATCTTCAGAATCTATGTCCCGTATAGAGCTGTCAAATCATTTTTTCTTTGACATATTTGGAAGTGCTTAAAACGAGATTGTGAATATCAATTATTAGAATATGACCAATTTTACGATAGTTTAAAATTTAATGGTCATAGAATATTCTTACCGATTTAACCCCTTCTTCCGTTGTTTTAAAGTTCAAATTCTTTACAAACACTGTCGTATCATTTTCAGGTTCCTCATTGTCTTCAACATCTTGCATAGGTTTATCTTCTATTTCAGTATGTTTATCACTCTCGACATTTTCAGTAGCTTTAGTTACCTCAGGATTATGGACTTCAGCAATGGATTTAATAAAAACATTTTCTGGGGCCCATTCTAAATATAAGGGGGCTGATTTGAATTGTGAGTAAGCAAGTTTCAAAAAGGCTTTCTTAGCTTCGAAAGGCTCGATAAAGTCAACTAAGGCTGTGATACCATGCTTCGGCATTAGGAAACGTGCGATTTGCCCGTGTTTCTCGAATAGCGACTTAACTTCGTCTCTTTCTGTACCAGCTGGTAAATTTTTAACTAGTATACAAGTTTTTGAACGTTTCTTACTGGGCTGAAAGAAAAATCAACATACTGTGAATATCGGAACACTGTTAGACAGTATATTACGTAAGCTTATAACAACAGTCATAACAATTTAAAACATTTAATAAGATTTATGAGAAGCATCAACAGAACTTGGGACCAAGACCAAATTATTTCGCAGCAAGCGTCGCTCTCTGTAGCGTATACTAAAGCAATGCCAATTTCCATAACTTACGACCGTCTGAATTAATTATTAAAAGAGCTAATGTTTTATAACATTAACTAAAGGAAGTATCGATTTCGAAACTCTGGTTACGTTATGATTGAATAACTTCTATCGTAACCATGTTAACAAACAATATACCTCAAGTTTTATAATAAGACCGGAAAAAGTAATTTATCTCTTAGACATAAACAAAAAATTCAATATTTATTTGAATTTGATGGTAGTGATCGTGAACTGTCTAGAAAGAGTTCCGCTTTAGATAGTTATATTAAACCAACATATCTAATCATTTGTAGCGAGATATGTAGGCAATATGTACCGCTATTACGGAAACTAAAAACTAAATTTTAATAAAAATATGGCATTGCTAAAAAGGCTTTAATCTTAATAATTTATACAATTTTGTCTTATGAAACCACCTCTTAACCGATGCAGAAAAAGCACTTACTCTATTAAACGCGTCCAAATACACGCCATTGTTTTCCAAGAATGCTTTGGTCTCGGCAACTAATTGGGTTTCACCCAATGCCAACCTCACGGCAGCACTTGTATCTATTACCATAGAATTAAATAAGTTAATTTATTTATTAAAGAGGTCTGCCTTTAAACAATTCTGCGGTAAATGTGGATAAGAGACGAGGAAAATAAAAGAGGAGACAAATTTATTGGCTAACTTATACATCATAGGATATATAAGAGTTAGAACTTAGAACATAGGATGGTTATGCGAAAGGGAATGGCAAAAGGTTCTGTCTTTTTATTTTAACTATAAAATGTTATTGGCATGCATCTGACAAGATGTTGGTGTCACATCTTATGGGTGACAAAATAATTAGAAAATATTTTGCGCATAAAATAACGTTCTCCAATCTGTATTGAGACTGCCCATATTCACAGGATATATAATAGTGTTCAAAAACGTCCGTATACTTTGGGCGTGTTTTATTTCTGGCCGGGATGCTAATCACTAGTGACTATCTAGATCTCAATGAATGCAGTTGCATGCATACATGATACATCAGTGAAACAAAAGCCAGAATGTCCCTACCCCATGCCCCATATTCATCACATAATAACTATAGATATCGTAATAATTAATGACATGCTATTATCAATATTCATAACTTGATACTAGAAGTATCAAGTCAAATTTTAGGTCAATATATTTTTTCTTAATTTGCACGCCGTTATGGCGGGCTGCATATGCAAACAACAAATATTGTAAAATATTTTGAAGTTAATAAAAAGATGACTATTATATTAAAACAAGTCAATAATTATTATTGATATTGCTTTTATCAAAACTTACTTGTATTATTATCATTCAAGAGTTGTTCCTTCGTGGTGTTATAGTTGGCTGCGACAACGTCAGCCACGGCGTTGGCTCCCAAGAACAAAGTATTCCAGTTGTGCGACGATTTCGCTTGTTCTTTTAATTTTTTCGCCTTTTTCTCCTTGAACGAGAGTCCAGCTAGAAAATAACAATTATTAACAATTATAAAAAAAAGATAAATAAAAATACGACAAAAATCTTAAAGAAATATTAAAACGCATTTTTAAAAAAAGCGAAAGAGTGGAAAGTTTAATTTGAAATCTGACAGATATAAATTAAGAGATTTAACGTTTTTACTATAATATCACATAGGTTAATGATTTCTTTGTGATTTGTTTATTTATTTTCCAAAATATTAATTATAATTTTGATATACAAATATAATTTCGCATATAAAAGGTTATATTAAACTTACCATCATCATCATCGTTTTCAACTGTTTCAGACTTAGCGGGTAGAATATGCATCATTCTCCCACAAAACGCAGTTCCATCCAACTCAGTGTAGGCTTTGACAGCATGTTCCGGCATCACAAAGGTGATTGTCGCAAAACCTTTAGGTTGACGGAGTATAGAATCTATTGGCATGTTCACGTCAGCTATAGGACCTAAAGTAAAGAATAGATTTTATGATATTCAGATCACGCAAAATGGACATTCATTTGTCTAATTGTGGAACTCATATTATATGGTGTTGACTAAGCTTACTTTCTACTGTAAAAATCGGTTCACGGACGGAGCTATGCTATAAACAAAAAAAAATACGCATCGAATTGTCAACACCCTCCTTTTTAATTGTTCATCGGTTAAAGAGTCTTTTCCAATGACTAAAGATCCATTGTAGGTAATCTTCAAACACAATAGATAATATATTTGAAATAGAAAAGAATTTGTATTAAATAATGTAGAAAAATTATACCCGCGACTGCTTTGACGACTCATTGGTCTAGTGGTTAGTACCCCTGACTGCGAATCCATGGGTCCCGGGTTCGATCCCCGGTTGAGACGAACATCGATGTGATGAGCATTTGGTGTTGTGCTTAGGTCTTGGGTGTTTAAATATGTATTTATATGTCTATCTATCTATCTATAATATGTATGTATATCCGTTGCCTAGTACCCATAACACAAGCTTCACCAGCTTGGGACTAGGTCAATTGGTGTAAATGGTACAAAAAAAAAAATTTAGGTCTTCAGTAAGCACAAACTTTTTTTAGATGTTCTTTAAGTATAACAACTTACCATACTTTTCAAATAATGCAGTTAATTCTTCTTCGGAAACTACATATGGCAAATTTCTTACAAAGATGCTTCCACTCTCACCAATAGTTTCACCATTGTTTGTTCTCTGAAAATATTAATATAATTAACAAAATGTTATGTAACAGTTTTGTATGTATTAAATAATTTGCATATTTACTCAAGTTTCTATAACTCTATTATGGTACTCACTAAAAAGCGTAAAAACCACTCATATATGAATATATATTAAAATATAATAATTTAAAGTACAGAACATTCATACCTCTTTTTTCCTTCTTAAGCTTTCTTGTTCTTCTTCTTCGGCTGCTTGTTTTGCTTTATCTTCATATTTATGGACATGCACCCTATGACTTCCTGTACAATTTATTTTTACAAACATTACTTTCACCATATTCAGATTATTTGCAATAATCATAAGTACATATTTACAATACTTGTACTTTTCATAAAAAAAATATAATGTATCAAGAATAGTCCTCTGAATTATATTATAGAAATTCAGAAGATTAATAAAAAATATATTTGTAATAATCCAATTTAATTTACAATCAGCCTTGGAAAATATATTGAGCACAATAATACTATTTGTTGTCTTAAACATTTATGACAATTTGTATTAATATTTCTCATTACCGTATGAAAGGAAAATAAGTAAAAATTGATAATTCTCAACACTCACCTAAAAACAATTTATCCTTTTTAAGTGCCTTTTTAAGTTCAATTTCTGTTCTAAAACCAACATAACAAAAGCCAGCAAGCTTCTTTCCTTTGCCAAGAGGTAATCTAATTGAAAATGGTACTAAGGGCTTGAAAAAATCTTTAATATCTTTCTTCTTACACTTGAAAGGGAGTCCATTTATCTAAAAATATACATATTTATATAATAAGAGAGAAAAAGAATCTACAGGTAAGCTGATAAAGAATGTAATCCCATTGTTAATATAAGATTAGTCAAAGGAGAACTAACCTTCACATAAAATAAAGGTCTATTTCTAATCTTCTTGGGAATTTCATCAGATGAATCATTCACTGTATCCTTGAAGCCGTCCACTTTTTTCATTAAGGACTTCATGTACTGTAAATAATTCTTTATTTGAGCACAGTATTGCTAAATATTTTTTTATTATTATTTTATAGGTAGGTTGTGGAATTCTTCATTTGTATCATTTGTATTCAAATAAATATTTATGATTATAACTATGACAATACACTTTCATAATAAATAAAAATACACACATCTAAATCACTGATTTCTGCATTTGCCACTTTGGTTTCTTGTATTTTTTCTTTTTCTTCACTTTGTGGCACTGCATCATTACTTTCCTTAATTTCATCTTCAACCCCACTATCATTATCACTCTTATTTAAGTCAACTAAGGTATCCTTAATCCATGCGGTTTTGTCATTGACATGAGCTTCAATAAACTCTGCAAACAAGGGATCATCTTTATGCTGAAAGAAGAAAATAATATTTAAATTATATAATGTTTATTTAACTACTTATTTAATGGAGGCCTGTAAAACCATTGATACAAATAAGTTTAAATTTAAAAGTTGCAAATTACAAAAACATAAAATGGATTTTACTTGGACATAATAACATTTTGTTTATTATTAATTAAAAATTTATTATCAAACTTTAATTTCTTATCTACTGAATTAATTGTTTTATAAAATGACCTTTTTACCTTTTTAAGTAATTCTTTTATTTTGTTATTATTTTTCTCTGTCTTGCTAAGTTTTTTCTTAGGTTTATTAGTGACCTCACTGTCTTCTTTATGTAGTTTCTTGTATGCAGTGCTGTCTGTGGCATATTTACTCCATGCTCTAGGCTTAGTTTCAGCACCTAAGTTTGCACAAATATTAACACTTATTTTCATACTATTGATAAATGTTTCATCATAGTGTTCTCGAGCAGCCGAAGCCTGTTCTTCTGACCGGTAGCCCACAAAGCCAAAATTTCTGAATTTGCCATCTTTTGTGTATTTTAATTGGATGTCTGTTACTTCTCCTTTTTGACCAAAGATTTCTCTAAGTTGTTCTACTGTAACCTGAAATAAGTAAGATTAAATTATTAAAACTGAAAATGAAAATATAACTCAACGACGTGAGGTATATGACTTACTTTGTTTGGCAAATTTTTAACAATTAATCGAGACATTTTACAAAGTAGTATAGTTTTACAAAGTATAAAGATAAAACTATTTTTTAAGTTATATATGAACAAAACACTTTTCTCCACATTGCACAAAAATATAAACAAACTTCGACCATGTGTTCCTTTACAGTTCGTTGACAGTTTGACATATGTCAGTTATCACTTGTGAGTATTGACAGGCAATAATAACTACTAAAGGTACCAAGTGCCAACTGTGCCAACTCCTCTTAGTCTTTGATGACAACAAACAAACGAAGAGGTTATTTTCTTCGTAATCTTTACATTTATTTATTTAGTCCGTAAAACCAAGTACTAATATCATAGTTTTCATTAAAGTAAGAATCAGTAAACTCTTTGAATAAGATCTTTCGAAGAGATTTTTAACAAAAGACACTGAAGATTGTTGTTATCAGATCGAAAGTGATCATTATTTCGATCTTGAAAACTACCTCTAGCCACCACTGGGAAATAATTGTGGCATCAGATATATACTTTTTATATTAAAACTTCAATTTAAAAAGATGTCGACTATGACTTTTGGTCAAAAGCAATTCATACCTACACCTCCAGATAAGGGAAGTTTTCCTTTAGACCATGAAGGTGTTTGTAAGGCTACTATGAAAAGGTATCTTAATTGCTTATTTGAAAATGATAGTAATAACTCTATGTGCCGAGCAGAAGCCAAAGAATATCTTGCTTGTAGAATGGAACACAATCTTATGGCTAAAGAAGAATGGTCAAAATTAGGCTTCTCGGACAAAGATAAACAGTTAAAAGAAGAAGAGAAATAAAACTACAATTAGTACTGTTAGACTAGTGATTAAATTTAATTATTGTTATTTAAAAAATATAACATTTGAAAATAATATATATCTTTTATTATCGCATTATCAAAAAACTACTATTGTAGGTTTGAATAAATAATAAGATTTACATCATAGTTATAACATTATTTATTGCATATCAATTGTTATCTAGTTGTAACAATAAGTAGATCTGAGCTCCAATTTATACTTATTTGTACTTTAAACATTTATCTCACTCAACCATCCTCAAAAGGTGTTTTGATCTTCATATAAGTGAAGACTGATAATTACTAAAGCATTAAACTGTATCTTCATTACCATAAATAATAAGAATAAATATTAATTATATTCTCATAATATTCTATTTTCATTTAAAAAGTGCAAGTTCCTTAGTTCCTTTGAATAAGTGGGAAAATGATAAGTCATGTGGAGGTTGAGATCACAAAAACATGTAAGTTTCGTTAGATTTTTAAGTTATGCACACTATACCAATGAAACTTGCTGAGCATGATTCTACAGATTTTCCATACGTTTTGTTTCATTTAGGTCCAATGATTTCAACTATATTTTTGGATTTCAACAAGTTTTAGCAATAAACACCTTCCAACAATTCAAGGCAAAGTTGGCTTTGATGGCATTTTCCCAGGTTTATTAAGATGTAGTGGGAATCTAATAGCAGACTACCTTGTCTCGGTTTTACGAGCCTGCATAGCACATCGCAACATACCTCTGAAATGGAGGGAAGTCAAACTCATATTCATTCCAAAATCAGGAAGAGAGAACTATACCCAAGCAAAATCCCATAGAACCATCAGCCTCACTTCATTCTTTCTAAAGACGCTTAAGAGGCTGGAGGACTGGCTAAATTCTTACACCCAAATCAATCATATCACCAGGCAAATCAACGAAATCATCACTCCACAACGTCTTATATTGGCAACTCTCTGAAATCAAAGCGGCAGTCGGTTGCTTTGATTTGGAGCGTTTATTGACATAGAAGCCTTTGACAATACTAATATCAGGGACAGATCGAGTAGCATCATCTCATTTAGAACGAATCAACAACATGTTAAAACACAAGGTATAAATTTCACCACTACAGAAATCAATCTCTACATGGCGGGGTATGCTGATGACAGCTGTTTTACTATCGGGGAACTTTGAAAGCACCTTATGTGATCTCATGGAGTGCCTTCAGACTGCATGAGAGGTGTACTGAGCACGAGCTGTCTGTTAACCCATCTTAAACTGAACTGATCTTGTTTACCTACCGAAGAGTCCCTGGACCTTACAGACTTACCAAACTCTTCAACACACAATTAAAGCTCAAAAATGAAATGAAATACTAAGGTGTGATTCGAGACAGTAAACGGCTCTGTTAAAACACCTTGAATACAAATTAACTAAAGCAACGATCTCCTTCTATCAATGCAAAAATATGCTAGGCGTTAAATGGGGTATATCGCCTAAAATAATATTATGGTTGGTGGCCGAGATCGGAACTCAGAACGGTAATCTCGAAACTAGGACGCTTACAAAGGCTAGCCTTGTCCGCCGCCAGCGGTTGCATCTAAACAACGCCAACAGCAGCGATGAATATAGCTCTACAAATTGTACCCCTAGACCTCTACAAACAGCAGGAGGCGGCACTAGCTGCCATCAGACTTATGCACCTAGGTATATGGTGAGAAAACCCACTACAGTGCACACAAAGCTATTCTAAACAGGGCGATAAAACCGCTTATAGTCGCGCCATGTAATAGTATCGCTAATCAACACATCGACCCTAAATAATCTAAAAAAAACAGGGTGTGGCTCCGGTGCTGGCATATTGTGTCTTGATCTCAACAACAACATTTAGGCACACACAGATCGATTTTTCAATTTAAATGTGGTTCTCTAACCGAAGCAGCCAGAGCCGTACAGCAGTTAGGAATTAATAACTTCAGCATTAAATTCGTATCTTGCCCTTCTCGCAATAATTGCTTTGTCGCCAAAGATCCACAGAACTCCAAAATCACCGTTGGTTGCAAAAGGAGAAGTGCTGACAGTCCAAAATGGCACTGCCATGCAATGGCATAGCGACTTCTAAGGCTCCACAACAGCCAGGGCGAAGTGCCCAGGAAACTTATGAGCTTCTGAAAGGCGCTGGACTGGCATAACTAGCCAGGACTTAACGCACAATGGACGGAAAAATATAGGTATTCTTTACAAGGAATTAAGATAACTATTAATAAAATCCATATATTTATAATTTTATATTTTCCCTTAAATGTATATAATCTAAAACTTATAAATAGCAGTTACATATTGAGTAATAATTAATTAGTATTAGGATTACACAATTTTGAATTATTTTATTGCCAGTTATTAATGGCATTTCAATAAAAGTAAATATCACAGTAATTATTAAATTATTTTATTTTGTGACAATTGTAAAATGTTGTGAACTTAAATCAACTAAAATATTGCATGAGCGGTTCGAGAAATACTACATAAATAAAGTTACTATAAAATTGTTCTACAATTAAATAATTTCATGTTTAAAAATTATGATGAGTGTAAAATATATGAGTGTAGATTTAAAACTCAGACTCAATGCATTTTGTATTTACAATTATAAACAAAAAACATTGTTCTCATCTAAGTATTTTAATGATTAGGTACAGCTAAATGGACTTCCTATATACTTTTCCAATAAAAATGTGTTTATACTTGAGTAAACATCTATTATGTATAAAAATACAAATACAAATTTATTCTGTACAAATAACTATCTATATAAAGCACCATATTCATGTTATAGAGCTCCGTTTTGAAATATTTTGTATTTGTGTTCATTCTTACATAAACATATCTATTGACATTAAAAATATCCTTTTGGCTGTATAACTCACTGAAAGATTTTTGCGTGGCACTTATTTTTTAATATTGTAGTGTAAACAAAATATATATTAGGTTGACGCAAGTTTCTAAAATAATTTTCTTATATAACCTTAATTCTAATTTTCACGTAAACATTGCACACAAAAAGCACATCATAGTTAAAAATCTACTACGGACTGTAAGATTTTATAAAAGTTATTTATTATTATTTATACGATCTTAGATTATTCAATATTAATAAGAAAATCTACAATTACAATTTACATATTACCGTATGTGTACCTCTAACCAGCATGAGTGAATGTACAATAGTTTTATTTATAACTTTGTATTTATTACACATTTCATCACATTAATTATATATAAACTTATTATATAATTAATTAAGGCATTCTTGTGTAGGTTTATCTTGATTTTCTAAAAGTTTTACGTGAATATATTTACATGATTATTTTAAAAACACGTTGATTTCGTGTTAATTACTATTAAAATAGTATGCAGATATTAGATCTTAGTTACTTCTATGAGTATATACATAATTTGTTTAAAATGTAACATTTTTATTACTGTTAAAGATGATATATTTAGTAGTTTTTATTTAAAAATTACACTTTTATGCGTGCTAACTAAATACTACTTACATGTTTTCAAAATAATCTATGCATTATTATACGTATATGTAATAGGGATTGTGTACATATTTGAATCTATAAGTTTGATACGTAGAAGTCAATTGTCACACGAAAGCTATAATATTAAATAGACAAATAAAAGGAATTAACTTATACTCGTATATCGCTACAAACTGACATCGATATAGAACACGATCTGTACAACAGCTAAATAAATGGTGTTATGTACCTTACAATTCATAATGAAACAAGCACTCGATCATATTGAGATCAAAATGTACATACAATAAAACTTAAATTCCTACCTAAAATTATCCTACAAGATACGATAATATGGGCATTCAATTTAATACTAAAAGGCAGTGTAGTGTTTGCGCAATTTTAATCCTAAGCCTAAACTCAGACATAATATCGATATGTACTTGTTATATCAGTTCTACTAGCCGTATTATGCATAAGCGATAAATTTTATAAATATTTTACAAAGTTCTTTACTAAAAGAGATGCTACTAGAGAAAATAGACAAAGAGAAAGATTTGAAGTAATAAATGGGGCGGAACTTGGTGATCTCAGCGTGGATCCCGGAGCGGGGGGAGCACGGAATGGAGCTCGACGACCTGCTCTTTCACCTGGACACGCCATCCAGTATTGAGCTGAAGAATATTGCTTTTCATGCTCGACGCGCATTTGGAGGTCATTGAATTTCCAAAAACCTTTGCCTTTGAAGAAGTAGGTTTTACCTGCGGAACAAATATAAGTTTAATGTTGACAGAAGTAACCTTGCCTTGACATAGGTACGTAATATGATACTAGTTATCACTTGATCAATTTTAATTTTTGCAAAATTGGCCTATCGATTTATCTGTGATAGTGTGAAAAACTAGAAATAAAGGAAATTTTATTTTTGTATTTATAGTCTCTCTGATTTTGTAAAATGAGAAAAAGCAGCTTAAAAATATGTTGCCACTATGACAAATTATAATTTAACAATTATAATAGGTATTATAATTTACTCGTAGTTAGGGACTTACCATCTTTCCATTGAAATACGCTGTCAACATTGTAGCCTACGCCTTTCCACATCGACATATCTCTTGGATAATCTAATTCAACACGACCAATTTCTTCATCAAACCTGAAATTTAGTGACATTTTTGATTAAAGTGTCAGGACAATAAATTTGTATGGAAATAGTTTATTTTCTTCTCGACGAAAAAAGTTTTAGTATAACTTACTTCCAATACATAGTGCCACTGTAGAAGTACGTCTTTCCGTTGTGTCCCCAAACCATCGCAGCGTCTAATTTATTAAGACTGTCCGGTAAGCCCAGTTCAACTAACTTCTTAGGATAACCCGGCACCAGATATTGTGAATCGAACAGGTATAATTCTCTTCCTGAAAAATAAAGATTCATTTAGTTTTCTTGAAAAGGCTTTTTAAGGGAAATACTGTTCTGATGTCCTGGTTAACATAGAAATAATACATGAACTTCTAGGATATCATTATGCCTTATAAGAAATATTATTATTATCATTTATACTATATAAATAACAACTTATTTGCACGTAAATTTAATGGAAGTATACATACCAACAAAAATAGCAATCTTTCTATCCGGCCTTTCATAAACAGCGTCCACATGGGATAGGTTATTTGGTAGAAGTGACCACATTCTTGATATTTCTAAAGGATATCCTGGGTACCGCCCATTAGCACCAATTCTCCAGTGGTACTAAAAAAGTCAAAGATGGTAATTTTTTTACAACTTATGTAAATGTGTCGCTAATTATTATTTTTTCACAAAACTAGATAGTCATTGAACATACGTAAAGGTTCACGTCGATTATTCAGAGCTGCTATAGATATTTTTAGGTTTCATGAAAAAACACGCGAACGTGTTTAAGTTTCTTACGCTGGTGTAATTTAAATTAATGTGGACTTTATAGAACATAGAGCAGTGTTGGCCTGGTGGCTTCAGCGTGCGACTCTCAAACCTGAGGTCGTAGGTTCGATCCCCGGTTGTGCACCAATGGACTTTCCTTCTATGTGCGCATTTAACATTTCGAACGGAGAAGGAAAACATCGTGAGGAAACCGACATGTCTTAGACTCAAAAAGTCGGCGTGTGTCAGGCACTGGAGGCTGATCACCTACTTGGATATTAGATTTAAAAATGAACATAAAATAGATTCAGAAATCTGAGGCCAAGACCTAAAGAGGTTGTAGCGCCACTGATTTATTTTTTCTAGAAAAGGCTACATTCTTTACATTCAGACTTGTCATATAAAGACAACAAAAAAATGATTTTTATACTACTATAGACTTACTCTGTTCTTAAATATGAAAAGTTCCCCTCGTATCAAACTAACAGCATCGTAACTCGTATCGCACGTGTCAGGCTTGTCCGACGGCTTTGGTGTTGTGGTTTTTGGATAGACCGGCTTCTTTTTAGGATAGTCCGCATCTGTTGGGTAATTTTGGCGTGGATTCGTGGGATATTCAGGTCTCACATGAGGGTATTTAGGACGGTAGGTGGTAGGGTGCGTGGTTGATTCGGTACGAGGATAATGATTGTGGGTCCTTCGAGGATGGTCTTCGCTGCTATTATAATGCCTCCGATCTGGGTAGAACGGCCGTTCCGGATACGGGTTGGATTTTTCTGGGTAATGTGGTCGATCCGGGTACGGGTTTCTGTCTGGGTAATATGGTTTACTCGGAGGTCGAGGGTATTGGGGAGTGTAGCGGTGGTTCGGGTGCCGTTCAGGGTGATGATGGTAAATGTATGGCCGTCTAGTTGTAGTGGTGGTGGTAGTTGTTGTAGTGGTTGTGGGTGGTGGCGTCTCGACCGGTCGGTAGTAAGGAATCTTCGCCCAAGTCCGTTTTACTTTAGGACCTAAAATAAAATATTTTTTAATTCAATATGTTGAAATGGAAGTATCTTGCGTAGAATTTTTTATTTAGATAAAAGTAAAAGCTCCTGAATTATTTTGTAATAAGGTCTCACTTACCATACATTTGCTGTATGCCATTGCGATCATCTTCAGGTAATGCGAAGTTAGGCTGGATACCTTGATACCACGGGAACATCAAAGCTCCTTTTACAGAACTGTGACTGAGGCCCAAGGAATGACCAAATTCATGAGCCGCGACCGCGAACAACGATGTTCCTGGAAGATTTATTGAATGATTTTAAGTTTGCTATTTTGATAAATGAGAATTTTGATATTTCTTAGTGTATTGTGTTTTTTAAAGATTAAAAAACTTAAAGGTGTAACAGTGAGTACTATCCTTTCCATTGAATCAAATTTCCACATTAATTGATGGTCTATAATATAGAAATTATGAGCAGTATGCTGTGGAATGGAAGCCTGGTTATCCATATCACATTTTCTTACCTACTTTGGAAACCAGTCTCCCAATACAGAAGGTATTAGGAGACTGGTTGTTACAACTGTAATCTTATTGTTTGTTTTAAATGTTATATGGGAGAAAATAAATTATTATTATTATTATTAGTGTTGGCCTAGTGGCTTCAGCGTGCGACTCTCATCCCTGAGGTCGTAGGTTCGATCACCGGCTGTGCACCAAAGGACTTTCTTTCTATGTGCTCATTTAACATTAGCTCGAACGGTGAAGGAAAACACCGTGAGGAAACCGGCTTGTCTTAGACCCAAAAAGTCGAGGGCGCCTACTTGCCCATTAGATTAACAAATGATCATGAAACAGATACAGAAATCTGAGGACCAGACCCAAAAAGGTTGTAGCGCCATCGATTTATTTTATTTTATAATATCGAAATATTTTTTTAGTATGTACTTAATATAAGACAGGCAACTATTGATTGTTTTAGTAGGTATAAACAAGCTTAAACAGTATTATAGGTATAACCACGCCTAGTCATTTGCATGTCAAAACGAAGCTGACCGCGACATGCTCATTTCCGAACATCGACTTTTCACGGAAAAACTAGTTTCGACAGTTAATTAACTAACTAGCTTTATAGGGTTCGTGTTAAATAGATAAGCATAATGCCTAGATAAGCATTAATTTGCAAGCACAAACATTTTATTTATATTGAAGCGATAGACAAATGTTTACCATAAATTCAATCATACACAGTGAAAGATTTAACAGGTTTGGTATTTTAAAAGCTCCTTACATATCGGCTCGTAGGCAAATAATGAACTAGTTGTTATTCTTTTATTCTACGGAGATTTACTCGTATTACACGAGGCTTGGATTTCTGTCATTATCATTTCGAATACTAACTCGTTAATAAAGCTTTTTACATAACCGTGTATTGATAGTAATAAAGATGAATATTGTTTTACTAACAAACACGATTATGGTAGGGTTTCAATTAGTGTGTATTAGCTGTTTGCAGAGCTTAGGCTACACGTGTGCATCGATTTAAGCTCGCACATGTATCGGATTACGAAACTGGTAGTGATCGTGTCCAAAATTTGATTTCAGATATTTTTCATTGCAATATTATCTCTGTTTTATTTTACATGGGCGATAATAATCTATATATTTTTATTTATTTAAAATTAAGCTGTGCGTTACAGATATACTTTTAAGAAAATTCACGTTTATCAAACGATGAACAACAACTGAAACTGATTTTTCAAAAGCGTAAGTTAGCTAAATAAATATATGTATTTTAAATAGTAAAACTTTGACTACATTTTATATAATAATTTGTATATGCATATATACGCAAAATGATTAATATTTAAGTAACAATACCTTCTTCGTCGTCGTTTTTGGGTTGCAGTAGCCACAGTTCATCGTCATCAAAGTGAGCGTCACCTCCACGACCTGTGCCCGGGAAAAACGCGTGCGCAAGAATCGAGCCCCTCCCGTCGAATGGATAGGCGTCGTCATGGTAACGTCTGAAATTTAACGAATTCTAAATTTAAAAATTTAATTTTTACTTTAATCAAAAATGAGAAAACTATTTTCCAATAATTTATACATTTTTTTAATTCAATAAAAATAGTTATTTTAGTAGATAGTTATCTACTACAAGAAAATAGGGTTTCATCTTAGAGGCGTAAAAATTAAGGGTCGTATGTATTTTTGTATACTGTGCCATAAAAAAAAAAATACAAAACTTTGTCTAAAAAATAAAATTTAGGGGTGGACCCACCCTTAACATTTCGGGGAATGAAAAATACATGTTGTCCGATTCGCAGACCTAACCGATATGTACACAAAATTTCACTAAAATCGGTCGAGCCATTTCGAAGGAGCTTAATTACAAACTTCGTGTCAGGAGAATTTTATATATTAGATTAGTCATGGTCCATTAAACACAAGAAACATTACAGTGTAAACTCTTTATAACGAATTTCAAGGCATAAGACCGAGCATTTTTATTTGTTTTAGAGAGGTTTCGTTATAGGGAGGGAAGAATTAATGTATGGGTATTGGGTAAAGCCAAATAAATTTAATTCAAGATTACGTTACGAATGACGTTATAAAGAGTTAACACTGTATTTACTTCTGTTTCTTTCTGTATATTAGCATCATAGATCTTACTGACCTTCGATTTTTCTAATGTCTAAAATTCTAATTAACCAATAATTAAACTTAATACGCAGACTTATAATGAGAATAGTTGGCCTAGAGTAATGTATTCATTATGCGACAAACAAGTGTGGAGGACGTAGGTACGGAGCAATCAAACTTGCCTCCCCCGGGTGTTCAGTCTCACTCACCACCTAATCATTTTTGCTTCAGTAACGACTAAAGCTTTCGATGCCTACATATATTTTGAAATTTAGCATTTAAATGCGATTGTTAAAGTGAGATTGTTTTTTATATAATACTAACAAGTAACGTATCTATTACCACCACAGCTTTGGAAGACAAAACACTACCATAAACAGTAGGTATAGATAGGACTAAAGAAAGTTGCAAGTGACGTCCAATAGTTTCTCCGTTACGATCTCCATTGAATTTCATACAATCTCAGTGATTCGAATGACATTTTTTATCGTATATGCTAACTTTAATGTACTATTCAATAAATGATTATTTGCGTGAGACACTGTAGTTGATATAAATTGAATAAAGTATGATATGATATGTACGATACAAATAATATAAGAATTGACCAATTAATTTGACTAATAATGTAAAATGTAAAATTCCTTTAAAGACAAATTTGCGCGCCATTGTGTGTGATAGAATATGCGAACTTACGATTGTACCACCTTACACATTTTTGTACCATATTCTTGCAATAAATACATTATTATTATTATTAATAAACTTTTATTCTCCTATTTGATTAAATAAATTACCTACTATACGTCTCTAATAGTTAAAAGTAAGTTATAATAAAAAATCAGTCACAAGATGACTTTATTATAAAATGTATAAATTTTCATAAACCTATTTATCACCTATTGTATTACGTAGTAATAAATATTGTAATTCCTATCTATGAAAACCACTACAAATACAATCAGTAGATTTTAAAGCTAATTAAACATTAGTGGGCGTGAAAGAACGCAGCATTTCTTTTGAGCATTTATTCGTTTATTAAAGTGGATAGTAATCAGCAACACACCGTCAATGATAAACTAGTTTCTCGTAGTTCAATAAAATGCGACAGTCCCGCGTTGACACTGCCCATCAAATTTAATAGCTTCAAAATGGAAAGTTTCCGAGTAGGGGATGATTTATTACTCCCCAGCTCAATTGCCAATGAGAGCTGGCGATAAAACACCTCCATTTATAATTATGTTTCGTTACTTTTAATATATATGCTATGAAAAATTAGTATTAGCGTTTGGATTTGTTAAACTTTGAGATTTAAAAATAAACTTAACGATCTTATGTTTAATATTTGGTGTAATGTTTTCTCGCAAGTGTTAAATTACTGAATAAAATAATACTCGTACGTTTATAACATTAATCTTGTTTCTTCCTTTCAATCTTCTAATGAACTACTCATCTTGATCTGATTGTTCTATGCATTCCTAAACTATCTAAGATATTTATATATAAGATATGTATAAATGAAGGATAAATTTATAAATTTTGGATTTGAATGAATGAATGAATGGATAAATTTCGTCTAGATTTATCTGGCTTGAAATAAATATATTTCATTTTTAGGGTTTTCAATGGTCAATAGTTAGAAACTGACAAGCTTATTGTTTACGGGATAAGTGTAATAAATTTACTAGATACCACGCTGAGCTTTATCTGTTCATTCAGTTAAACGTTCATTACCCGAATAACTTAAGGAGCTCTGGCTTCTTTAATTTATGTTGTAAGTTTCAGTACTCCTAAAGCAGATACAAAACCATAAAATAAAAGCAAAAGCTATCTTCATATAACTAGTCTATAATGTGATGATGTTACAGTAATTATATGCGTTTTAATTTGACACAAGCTCGAGTCTAGACGATAAAAGTTCAGGCTGTAAGTTTTGACGTGGACGCAATATGGTGGTCGCAATATGTCCTTATTGTGGTTTTTGTTGAGGGTAGTTTCTCATGTCGCGTTGAACGGTGATCTAATAAAGGAAACTTTGTATCCTCATTTCAGATGCAGCTCTCGACTTTTGTAATGTCGTTGCGAGTTCTATTTTTAAAAGGGATTTTACAAGATCATTTGATTTTGTTATTTCGGGTTTTATATTATTAAGGCTAGACAGAATGTTAATATGGAAAAAGAAATGAGAAAAAGGAAAGGAGGTTAGAAATCTATCTATTTGAGAAAAAGAACAAAATTGTAAAAGATGATTTTGGTGATTTTCTTCTTTTCTTTGTGACTTTTATGAAAAAGCAGCAGCAGGATTAGTCTTTAAAAAAGATCTTTTTTCTTTTTTCTTCTTATTTAAGCCGACTGGCACTAAATTGATATAATACTTTATCCATAAAATTGCGATTCTCTCTTTCAGACATTATCTACTCTAGTATAAGCTTTTTTAAAAGCTTATCTAATAAATAAGCTACCTTATCGCATCTCTTTTCCTAATAACTTTTAGCACGGACTTTGAATGTGTATATTTCCTTTGACAACGACCTCCCGAAGCAATTTGCCGTATATAGGACTATTAGATCAATAGCAAAGTGAGTTTGGCAAGTCACGTTTGTACTGGAATCGTGTAGCGAGTTGAAAAGGTAACGGCCAACAAACAGTGTTTTTACTATTGTTGTTCAAAGGTGTTCTAAATTCAAAGGCGTGAACTTTCCTAAAAACCTACTAGCTTAAGGATAGTGTGTGTGATACGTTATAGGTTTTTTTATTGTTGATTACCAGTTATATTGTAGTAACAATATAACTGGTAATTAATTAAAGAATGTTGGTTTGTTATGTAGTTATTTTAAATTGGTATTTCAATTCCTTCAAGTAAGCCAAATCTTTGTCAAATAAACATATAATATTTTAAAGTGACTTTCTTTCTAGGTTTCTATGAACTTGATCCAATAAATTATACATAAAAACACCACAACCTTCACCATTATAGCTTGATAAAAACCAAAATTCTTAGTGATGCATTAAGAACATCGATAACCTTCGAAATCTCAATAAAATGCGTTGATTCTCTCCTAAGTTACATTGTCTGTAACTTATTGTGATGCCTCGCACGAGACCTCACAAATCCCCTTAAAATGGATAGGACGTGTCTCCAAATCCTCGCTTGATTATTATTTATTATCAGTACAATGAATCAAGAAGCGAATTTACTACTTTAAGTTACTTTATTCACACATACTCTCAGTTTCCGAAACAAGTAGAAACGCAAAATAACTGATTTTAATTCAACCAGCCGCTATTTGCCAATAGGATCTTAATTTACTGTGTTGTAAGTATTAAGTTTACTATCGAGATATATATTGTCTTACTTGGCAAATGATACGACAATATCAGCGTCGTCTGAGTTGACTTCTGTGAAGGTGAGCCTTGAAGCCTGCTCCCAGACGTCGAGGGCGCGAGCCAGCACACTTCTTGTTATGTGAGGGTCCAGTTGAGACGGCCGACGGGCTTGAGACAAGCTGTAAACAAGAATTTAAATTTAGAACATACATTTTAAATAAGTTGCGGTCATTGGTTGATAACACGCTTAGTTTATTCATTGAAATAGTTGATTTGTGCTTTCTAAGAAATTTTGCTTCGAAATGCAAGTTAGGTACTTAACAAATTCCATTTACATTTATAATTATAGAATTACAGAGTTTTTAATTAAAACATTTAATTTTGTAACAGAATGAGTATGAAACTTAAATGCAAGTCGGTACTCAATGCATATTTTATTTGTAATACTCATCCAGAATTGTTCGTAACAGAAAAATACTGCACACGATTTTACTCGCCTAGACGTGCTTATTACATTGAATTTATGCGTTGTCATGGCCAAAGTGACTTCATTAGTCCTACGCAATTTTAATCAAAGGATTAAGTGATTATTTAAATCACGAAAATTACTTTCGACAAAAGCTTGAGTATGTCCTAAGTTAATTATTTATTAGAATGTTCTAATAACATAGTTATTGTCACTTTTGGACTAAGCTAACAGGTTTGTTAGAGCAGTGGTATCAGCGAGCGACTCTCATCCTTGAGGCCGTAGGTTCGATCCCCGGTTCTTGCTCGTACGTGTCGGGCACATATGGCTGCTAAAAACCATCATAAACAAATGCAAAAATCTGACCTAAAAGGTACCAGATGAAGAAATCAGACCTTGAGAGGTGTCGGCGCTGGTTTTTTTAAATAGATGTGATACAGGTATTTTTAAAATACCCTGTAATTGCATCACATAAATCCCTACATAATTAAACGTCTAAATAACATTACAGATAAAATATGAAGTTAATTTTCACGCGACACGTTATGTTGTATAAAATATCGTTTTCGCGGGTAATTAAAACTAACCAACACGACTGGACTGTTGGTCATTGCTGTAGTTAATTATTATTTCAATAACGTTATTAGGGGACACATGGGAAATATGGGACAGCGTCTGCTGTCTATGTTACGAACTGAATTTTCATTTGTGTCACTGTTATACGTTGTGTGAAATATGTAATCGAGTCATTTAATGAAATATTTCTGTACAGTCCGACTGATGGAAACCATTCTAAAATTATTGCCATTACAACATGGCTCGTTGTTTTGCAATATAACAGACAAGTTGGTAATTGCATCCCTTTGATGAAATTTGCAACCACATTTTCAACCCACTGTTTTAATGCCACGCGGAAACAATGGATGCAGAATAAGTTATGGCTTATTTTAATTTAACACATAAATCCTTTGACAAAGCAGTCAATGAACGCGGAATTAGGCAATAACTAAATTTACATTGATATCATTATTTGTAAGACTAATAATTTAAGGTAATTAAATACCAAATACAAAAGAGATGAAAGTAGGCGTAAATCCAAAAAAATTAAGTACCAATCTTAAGGAAAACGTGAGGGCCTTGGTAAGTTACGAGTGCTTTAAAGGACTTCATTGCTCATGGCTATTTCCAGTTATAAGTAAACAGAAACCTTAAGTCAGTGACGAGGCACGTGCACAGCTACCGGGCCACGTGAACACGTGACTCTAGGGCTACCTCGTTGTTGTAGCAACTGTTGACGAGAAATTAATTAACTTAGTTCTTGATTGACTTCTCTCGCAATGCTAAACGGGAATGCTTTGTTCATTGTTTTAAAAGTTAAAAAAGTTAAAGCTCGCGAACCGACTTGCTTTTCAGTAAATATATATATTATTTGGTACAATATTTTTATATACAATTCCTTTAGTTTTATACACAAAATATTACCATGATCAGTTCTGAAACACATCACTTTGAAAGGAAGACACGACAATCGCTACGCAATTAAGCAGATAGCTATAACCTATATATCGCTTAATTTGCATTTGAATGAGTATTTGGGATATATCGAATACGTATGTTCATTATTTGATTTATTGGTGATAAAGTGAGGCGATGCGTAGTCGATAATAACATCGCATTGTATAATTCGGCAGAGGCCGCGCCCCGCGTTTATTACGCGAAATAAAACATGCGACATGACGACACAGCTACGTCTTCACGAAATGGACATAATCTCGTTACGATGTCATAACAAAGAGATTTGTAAGCATGAACTTTATGGTCTGTGTCCAACGAGCTAAAATTTAATTTTCTGAAATAATCTGTCAGTGCGCCATTAAAATTACTCGTCCGTATTCCCCGACATTTTATATACCCAAGACGTTGAAACTTACACGAATAAAATATAATTTTATTTCTTACGGTAATAGAAGGGAAGCGTTAAAATTATCTGTAGTTAAAATCGCGCAGCAAATAAGATATTTTGCAATTACTTTTTAAGGGTTGGATATTAGCATAAAAATAATAAAATGTCAGCGGGATTCGGTCCCCCGTGGCGTGTTAGGAACCCTCTGATATCGGCGTTCGACAAATGTCAACTTCATGAGCATATGGATGGCATCCATTTTGAAATCGAAAAAAATGGTAAGAGTATCCATATATTATTCAGAAATATTAGGTTTTTATCGCTTCACTTGAATAGGATGGTTAATAGAACGTAACAAATTATTGTAAGAGTTCCAAAATGCCTTGAGAGAAGTGGAAATGTAGTGGTACGTTTTATTTGTACGTTGAACAGATATGGCGGGATTCGGAGGAGGTTTTCGCCAAGAAAAGGGCATCGCATCTGTAGAATATGTGAGATAAATTTATTTATTTGCTTATTATATTCAGGTAACAAAAACGTCGAACGAAAACCTGCATGTTTTAGAATTAAAAGACGACGATTGCGTGGTACCTTCGATATTTATGTTGAAAGTCTCAACTCCCGTATTAAGATAAATGTAAAAACAACACATACCAATCTCTAGAATATACTCCTATGTGTTACTAAGATACCTAGACATACCCTCACAGTACGATATGGTATAATATGCGATGCTTTAATATCAACTATACTTTTCTCGATCGTTCGCTAATAGACGAGTATATAATGGGGGTATAATATGCAGGGGTATCTCATTGAAATCCTGTCTCCCACGACGCTGCACTCGACTCGTATATTGTAGATAAGCGACGTAGCAATAGGCATTGATGTGCACTGGGGATTCAATGCTAGTCGATCTCTCGATTCTCGGAGAAAAGGATTTAATGCAACTCTCAATGAAGGATACAGTGTAGAGTCTGCACGATATCTCACTTTAAAATTATACCAATTTTCCATACGACATCACTTATTGTTAAGAAATATCCTAGAATCTTTATATAGTTTTTTATTACTACCTACAAATTGTATTTTTCAATCCGAAATTAAATTGGAAATACTTGAGAATTGTACGTTTTTAGAAACACATTCTTATTTTACTACGAAAAATAAGTAATTCAGAAATAAAAACATGGCATAGGAACAGCACGTTTGCAATTATATTAGAAACCGTAGTTAGGACATAAACGTATAAAATCTGTAATTTTACTATTATTGATTTCATCTAACCTCGTTAAATTACATTTTTTTTAACAAAGAAGACAGCTTCGATCTCCGACGAAACAATAATCGTATTGTTGGCACAAGGGACCAGAAAACCTAGAAGACTTAAATGAAACAGAAACACGAAAAGTGTATTTCCGAGAAACACACGAAAAGTGTCGGCTACATTAAATCCTTAGGTTTACCTAAGCATATGGAAGTACTATGATTCAATTATCATTACGCCTAGTTTATGCCTCACATATAACTGTACTAACTCCCACAAACTCCATGTTATTACTAACTTATCCCAAATCAGTCGCAATGTGGTAACGGATACATATGGGAAATTAGTGAATTCGGTCCGACGCTGGAAGGTAGAATTAAGCTGAGAGTAACTTCGTTATGAGCGTAATAGCTTATTACCGCTCTCTCGCTTTTCCGTCATGGAATTGTCACGAAATTGAAATGATATTTCAGCAACATTGCATTCGCCATCGGAGTTAGCACTTTTTGATATTCATAACCGTATCGTGACTGCGGTTCCGATTCGTGCAATATCGCAAAATATAACAATGAAACGAACTGCGGTTCAGCTGAATACAAGACAAACAGTGAATTTACGTATTATTAAAAACAATAAAACCACATGTGTACAACACTTAATGTTTTAAACAGTTGCCCGTTTCATATTTATGCATATTTTATGACCTTTTGTATCGATACCACCGTTTCATTGTACAGTACGTTTACCATACTACTCACTTTATAGATTATTTCATGTTTTATTTAAATAGAGAATTGTTGTTATCGGAATATTTCGACTAGAATTTTTAAGTCACTTTTATTTATATCAAATTCTTTTAATAAATAACAGTTTTTTTAATATTGAAGCATGCGTCCAGTACGTACTAAAAGATTCCACTCTCAATACCTAATACAGTTATAAGACTTGTCAAAGTCAATATCAGAGGCAAATCATATTCGTTAGTGACGATGAAATTCTTACAGTCTCTCTATTCATATTATTTATTATACACGCGTTTAACTTGAAATATGAACCAATGTACGAAATTACCAAGTTTAATGTCTAGTACATAATATTTTTTTTAAGTTTCAAGCCAGTTACTTGTAGTAAGAGCAAAGAGTGTTTTCAGTTTTGTTTGAGCATTATTCTAATTTTAAAATTATTACCATATTAAAGAACTAAGAACACTTTAAGCATAGCACTGAATACGATCACAACGTACTTTTAGGAATTAGTTTAATTAAATTTGTAATAAGTTTTTAAATTACCGCACCGTAGAGTGCAATATAAGTGGATATAGATAAGTTTTGAAAGGTTATAGTCTTACATGAAGCGTCGGGATCTAAAGACACGAGTAGTTAGAACTTTTATATGAGTTGGCTAAACTGAAAGAGATATAATTGGAAACTTGAGGCGTCTGCTGCAAGCGGTAATGATAGAACAGTAATTCACTTTCTTAATATTATATTTAATTTCCCCTCGGCTTCTAGGTTTTGATGTCGACAATCTATTTATATAGAAAAATAATAATATGTTTACCGATTGGAAATGTTTTTTACCATACCATAACTATCTGAGAGATTTGGCAGAGCGTTAAATTTTCGTATCAAACATACTTGGTTTAAATAAAAGCTAAAAGATAAATACAAAAAGAAAATGATTGAAGATATCATCATGTCTTACTTAAGCTGTGAATTTGCTTCTTCATTTTTGCTAGTCATAAATTTGCAAAATTACTATGAAAATGTGTATTTGGAACAACCCCAAGATAGCTGCTAAGTAAGATACTCTTTTGACAATAACGTAAAATATCTTTATATAGAGGGTATATGTTTATGAAATAATTCAAAATGATCACTTATGTAAATATTAATAAGAAATCTTTAACGTGACGGGTAATCATCACCTTATAAAAGTTGCCATTCGAAAAAATAGAACTTTTTAGTTAAAACCAGGCCAAAAGAATGCGTTTACGAAAAATAATTTTGAATCTTTCGAATCTTTTTTCATTTTGTAATAATAATTTTACGAAAGTTACAAAAATATACTTAAAAGTTGTATGATTAAAGTTGTGTGTTTCAGACAGTTGTGTTATTACAAAAGCGTGTCTCACAAAGTGGTGTTGTAGTTTATCTATCCAATAACCCATTCGCAAAGTCAACGCCACTGTTTGACGTGACCGCAGTTACACCTCGCTAAGTGGGGGTTATTTTTACAGCTCCCCGACATCGTGCGCTAAAAGCGTTTGTCTTGAATTTTTAAAGTGCCAATTGAAGTTTAGAGCAAAGGGTGCAATTGCCAGCGTAGAAACTGTCTAACAAACTTTTGTCTTCAGTTTTGTCGATTGAGATTTCATTACATCTAGTCGCAAGTTCGGAAAAGGATTATTACTGGCAACATAAGAATTACTTCTTGTGAAGTTGTGAATAATTTCTTCGTGTTTCAATATTATTATTTCCATAGATGATATAGATTATAGATAGGTAGAATATTATTTTTTTTACACATATTACAGAGAAAATGTAAGTAGCATAAATATGCCGGTTCGGGAACACTGTGACCGGTGTAATGAAAGCTCTGTGTGGTAGGTGTTAGTGGGTGTTTGAGGTTTCATGTTTTTTGGTGTTCATAGTAAATCGTGCGTTAGAGTGTTTGGGTAGTGCGATGTGTGTGGCGGTGGGTCTTGGGGCTCTGGTTTCTGGTCGGCTACATTGTGGTGGGGTCTCGGAGCTCTGTTTTCTGGTTGTTGTAAACATTGTATGGTTACCAATCACCTGCTATGATTATTACAGGTATTCCACCTAACTTTGGGCAGTGTTTGAAGGTTGACTGATTACGTAGGTACATTGTATTTTTCTTATCTCCCGCCAGGATTATTACAGGTTCTGGCTCACTCATATTCCACCTAACTTTGGGTACCTACCTAGTGTTTAAAGGTTGACTGGTTGCATACATTGTACTTATCGCTTGACAGGATGAGATAGGTCACAATGTCACATGGCTTTTATCATATTAAAAAATCAACGCTATTAATGTTGCGTGATTTTACCTATCGTCTGACAGGATGCGATAGTTACATTGTATTTATTCTATTAGAAAAAAAATCAATGCAATTGAAATGTTCGAAATTGATAGAGGAATTAAACAAAGGATTTATAGGAAATGTAGAACATAAGTTGGAAAATAAATCAAGGGAATGTTTATCTAGAAGGTTGATTGTTAGTGTAGACCACTTCGCTTCCATTCCTTATCAATGTGGGAGTCAGTTTCTGTGGTTTTCTTTCCTGCAGCAAAATAAAGTTATCAATAGGTGGATGTGGTTGATGGTTTTTAACATGGGAACAGGATGGAACAGGGGGTATAAATACCAACTCGAACATCAGTGCTCTTCGGTCTCACCATAACTAGTGTGCTAGTGCATTACCTACCTACCTACTCAGAAAACCGTAAGTGCAACTTTCAAAAATCAGGTCTTCATCCGCCACCACCGCCTTGGCCAAGCTCAACAATTTCGGCAAAAAAACATGGGTCAAATTGGGTGACCTAGAGCTGAACAAGCCATACAAAATAGTCGAGGTGAAAAGGCTCCCCTCAAACTTTCATGCATCCAGGATGCAAACCATAGTGCACTTGGAAAATGGGTTCACTCTTACACTACCTAACCGCTTCGATGACCTAAGTGAAGATATGTTTAAATACATTCAGACGGAGGAGCCCTATTTAATAAATAAAGGGCCAAGCAGCAGGTCATGGATAATACACTTTCAGGAGGAGGAGCCCACCCCCGAATAATCAAACCCCAACACAGTCCAGCCTGAGCTCACCCCAACCATCCAGCAAGAGAAAATAACTCACAGACACACACACACACACACAATGAAGATGCCATAAATAAATCACCATGTCTTTTTTAATTGCAGTGTGTGAGTGAGATGAACAATAACCTAGTGAACTTATACGACATAATGCTAAATGAGAGCACGCAAGAGTGGATTCAGTATATATGGACCAACAGACTGTTGAACTTGTGGACACATAATGTACCACTAATAAAACTACATGGAGATGTAAACTTAATACTCACGCAATTATACCAAGCTAGCAACTTTGGTGATATAGAAGTGTACGCGGTGATCCAGCTTTGGGATCTCATTGCAGCGCATCAGGAAGACAATTGAGGTAATATAAATGTGGATGTGATCGAATGGATTCAGCATTTGAATGAAACCCCAAGCGAGTGTTTCACGCAAAACTTCACGGAACGAGTAGGTAACCTACTGATAAACACATTATTAGTGTGCTTAAGTGAAGGGATAAAGGTTTAATCTGTTTTGTGTAGGTAATAATGGATTTCACTAATGCTCGATATTTGATTGATATAGATGGATTTCCAATCGAGGGCACTATTTACTTTAAAGAGCTTGCCATCTATGATTTACATAGAAATGAAGTAACTTTATTACATGTGAAGCTCCCCAATTCATTAATTTCTAAGGGAAAAACTAGGGCAGTAGTATTCTGTGAAAAAAATGTTCACGGACTACCGTTTAAAAATGTTAGCACCGACTTGAGTTACAGTAATGTAATAAATAAAATTAAAGATTTCGATAAAAAAAACAATTTACTTGGCTATATAAAGGGGGAGTAGTGAAAAAAAAGAACTATTAAACTTATTAGGATTTAACTCATTTAACATAGAAGTAATTGGTTGTCCTAAGGTGGAAAAGATTATAGAAATCTTAAATTAACATAATTTAAAGAATTGCTCACGACACACGGTTTTTGTGAGCAAATCACGCACCTGTCATTGTAGTGATGTGGAAGTTAGGGCATTTCCTAGATGGTTTCAGAATTACCAAGAAAATAACTGTAGGTAGGTAGGTAGGTAGGTAGGTACAACATAATGTAATAAACCTACTCGTTATTATAGATATAAAAAAAACATTGTATTCATTTCATATTTTTTATTATACTTAGGTACAACACTATGTTATTGTAAGTAATAAGACTAAAAAAAACATGTACTTATTTTAAGTTTATTATTATAGTTAGATATAAGTTCCTATTTGTAAGTATACTATTGAAGAAATGTAATAAAAACCTATATTATTCAATCTTGTTTTCTTTACCTATACAACTGGTTGAATTTAGACCATACCATTTCACTAGAACTTTATCACCTTTTCTTTTCAACACTTTTTCCACTAGGTAGACATCTGGATACTTTACTTTTTTGCAGCTCTTATTCATAAAACCCCCATAGGATTGGTTTTTTTTCCTCATCCTGCAATTGGTAGGTTATGGGATAGGTGTTATTAACTTTCAACACTTGAAATATTTCCGAACTCCAATTCCCCGTAAACTTAATACTCACGCAACTTTACCAAGCTAGCAACTTTGGTGATATAGAAGTGTACGCGGTGATCCAGCTTTGGGATCTTATTGCAGCGCATCAGAAAGACAATTTAGGTAATATAAATGTGGATGTGATCGAATGGATTCAGCATTTGAATGAAACCCCAAGCGAGTGTTTCACGCAAAACTTCAGGGAACGAGTAGGTAACCTACTGATAAACACATTATTAGTGTGTTTAAGTGAAGGGATAGAGGTTTAATCTTTTTTGTGTTGGTAATAATGGATTTCACTAATGCTCGATATTTGATTGATATAGATGGATTTCCAATCGAGGGCACTATTTACTTTAAAGAGCTTGCAATCTATGATTTACATAGAAATGAAGTAACTTTATTACATGTGAAGCTCCCCAATTCATTAATATCTAAGGGAAAAACTAGGGAAGTAGTATTCTGTGAAAAAAATGTTCACGGACTACCGTTTAAAAATGTTAGCACCGACTTGAGTTACAGTAATGTAATAAATAAAATTAAAGATTTCGATAAAAAAAACAATTTACTTGGCTATATAAAGGGGGAGTAGAAGAAAAAAAACTATTAAACTTATTAGGATTTAACTTAATTAATATAGAAGTAATTTAAGTTAAGTTATTTTCTTGGTAATTCTGAAACCATCTAGCAAATGCCCTAACTTCCACATCACTACAATGACAGGTGCGTGATTTGCTCACAAAAACCGTGTGTCGTAAGTAATTCTTTAAATTATATAAATTTAAGATTTCTTTAATCTTTTCCACATTATGACAACCAATTACTTCTATATTAAATAAGTTAAATCCTAATAAGTTTAATAGTTTTTTTTTCTTCTACTCCCCCTTTATATAGCCAAGTAAATTGTTTTTTTTATCGAAATCTTTAATTTTATTTATTACATTACTGTAACTCAAGTCGGTGCTAACATTTTTAAACGGTAGTCCGTGAACATTTTTTTCACAGAATACTACTTCCCTAGTTTTTCCCTTAGATATTAATGAATTGGGGAGCTTCACATGTAATAAAGTTACTTCATTTCTATGTAAATCATAGATTGCAAGCTCTTTAAAGTAAATAGTGCCCTCGATTGGAAATCCATCTATATCAATCAAATATCGAGCATTAGTGAAATCCATTATTACCAACACAAAAAAGATTAAACCTCTATCCCTTCACTTAAACACACTAATAATGTGTTTATCAGTAGGTTACCTACTCGTTCCCTGAAGTTTTGCGTGAAACACTCGCTTGGGGTTTCATTCAAATGCTGAATCCATTCGATCACATCCACATTTATATTACCTAAATTGTCTTCCTGATGCGCTGCAATAAGATCCCAAAGCTGGATCACCGCGTACACTTCTATATCACCAAAGTTGCTAGCTTGGTAAAGTTGCGTGAGTATTAAGTTTACGGGGAATTGGAGTTCGGAAATATTTCAAGTGTTGAAAGTTAATAACACCTATCCCATAACCTACCAATTGCAGGATGAGGAAAAAAAACCAATCCTATGGGGGTTTTATGAATAAGAGCTGCAAAAAGTAAAGTATCCAGATGTCTACCTAGTGGAAAAAGTGTTGAAAAGAAATGGTGATAAAGTTCTAGTGAAATGGTATGGTCTAAATTCAACCAGTTGTATAGATAAAGAAAACAAGATTGAATAATATAGGTTTTTATAACATTTCTACAATAGTATACTTACAAGTAGGAACTTATTTCTAACTATAATAATAAACTTAAAATAAGTACATGTTTTTTTAGTCTTATTACTTACAATAACATAGTGTTGTACCTAAGTATAATAAAAAATATGAAATGAATACAAAGTTTTTTTATATCTATAATAACGAGTAGGTTTATTACATTATGTTGTACCTACCTACCTACCTACCTACAGTTATTTTCTTGGTAATTCTGAAACCATCTAGCAAATGCCCTAACTTCCACATCACTACAATGACAGGTGCGTGATTTGCTCACAAAAACCGTGTGTCGTAAGCAATTCTTTAAATTATGTAAATTTAAGATTTCTATAATCTTTTCCACCTTAGGACAACCAATTACTTCTATATTAAATAAGTTAAATCCTAATAAGTTTAATAGTTTTTTTTCTTCTACTCCCCCTTTATATAGCCAAGTAAATTGTTTTTTTTATCGAAATCTTTAATTTTATTTATTACATTACTGTAACTCAAGTCGGTGCTAACATTTTTAAACGGTAGTCCGTGAACATTTTTTTCACAGAATACTACTGCCCTAGTTTTTCCCTTAGAAATTAATGAATTGGGGAGCTTCACATGTAATAAAGTTACTTCATTTCTATGTAAATCATAGATGGCAAGCTCTTTAAAGTAAATAGTGCCCTCGATTGGAAATCCATCTATATCAATCAAATATCGAGCATAAGTGAAATCCATTATTACCTACACAAAAAAGATTAAACCTTTATCCCTTCACTTAAGCACACTAATAATGTGTTTATCAGTAGGTTACCTACTCGTTCCCTGAAGTTTTGCGTGAAACACTCGCTTGGGGTTTCATTCAAATGCTGAATCCATTCGATCACATCCACATTTATATTACCTAAATTGTCTTCCTGATGCGCTGCAATAAGATCCCAAAGCTGGATCACCGCGTACACTTCTATATCACCAAAGTTGCTAGCTTGGTAAAGTTGCGTGAGTATTAAGTTTACGGGGAATTGGAGTTCGGAAATATTTCAAGTGTTGAAAGTTAATAACACCTATCCCATAACCTACCAATTGCAGGATGAGGAAAAAAAAACAATCCTATGGGGGTTTTATGAAGAAGAGCTGCAAAAAGTAAAGTATCCAGATGTCTACCTAGTGGAAAAAGTGTTGAAAAGAAAAGGTGATAAAGTTCTAGTGAAATGGTATGGTCTAAATTCAACCAGTTGTATAGATAAAGAAAACAAGATTGAATAATATAGGTTTTTATTACATTTCTTTAATAGTATACTTACAAGTAGGAACTTATATCTAACTATAATAATAAACTTAAAATAAGTACATGTTTTTTTTAGTCTTATTACTTACAATAACATAGTGTTGTACCTAAGTATAATAAAAAATATGAAATGAATACAATGTTTTTTTTATATCTATAATAACGAGTAGGTTTATTACATTATGTTGTACCTACCTACCTACCTACCTACCTACAGTTATTTTCTTGGTAATTCTGAAACCATCTAGCAAATGCCCTAACTTCCACATCACTACAATGACAGGTGCGTGATTTGCTCACAAAAACCGTGTGTCGTGAGCAATTCTTTAAATTATGTTAATTTAAGATTTCTATAATCTTTTCCACCTTAGGACAACCAATTACTTCTATGTTAAATGAGTTAAATCCTAATAAGTTTAATAGTTCTTTTTTTTCACTACTCCCCCTTTATATAGCCAAGTAAATTGTTTTTTTTATCGAAATCTTTAATTTTATTTATTACATAACTGTAACTCAAGTCGGTGCTAACATTTTTAAACGGTAGTCCGTGAACATTTTTTTCACAGAATACTACTGCCCTAGTTTTTCCCTTAGATATTAATGAATTGGGGAGCTTCACATGTAATAAAGTTACTTCATTTCTATGTAAATCATAGATGGCAAGCTCTTTAAAGTAAATAGTGCCCTCGATTGGAAATCCATCTATATCAATCAAATATCGAGCATTAGTGAAATCCATTATTACCTACACAAAACAGATTAAACCTTTATCCCTTCACTTAAGCACACTAATAATGTGTTTATCAGTAGGTTACCTACTCGTTCCGTGAAGTTTTGCGTGAAACACTCGCTTGGGGTTTCATTCAAATGCTGAATCCATTCGATCACATCCACATTTATATTACCTCAATTGTCTTCCTGATGCGCTGCAATGAGATCCCAAAGCTGGATCACCGCGTACACTTCTATATCACCAAAGTTGCTAGCTTGGTATAATTGCGTGAGTATTAAGTTTACATCTCCATGTAGTTTTATTAGTGGTACATTATGTGTCCACAAGTTCAACAGTCTGTTGGTCCATATATACTGAATCCACTCTTGCGTGCTCTCATTTAGCATTATGTCGTATAAGTTCACTAGGTTATTGTTCATCTCAATCACACACACTGCAATTAAAAAAGACATGGTGATTTATTTATGGCATCTTCATTGTGTGTGTGTGTGTCTGTGAGTTATTTTCTCTTGCTGGATGGTTGGGGTGAGCTCAGGCTGGACTGTGTTGGGGTTTGATTATTCGGGGGTGGGCTCCTCCTCCTGAAAGTGTATTATCCATGACCTGCTGCTTGGCCCTTTATTTATTAAATAGGGCTCCTCCGTCTGAATGTATTTAAACATATCTTCACTTAGGTCATCGAAGCGGTTAGGTAGTGTAAGAGTGAACCCATTTTCCAAGTGCACTATGGTTTGCATCCTGGATGCATGAAAGTTTGAGGGGAGCCTTTTCACCTCGACTATTTTGTATGGCTTGTTCAGCTCTAGGTCACCCAATTTGACCCATGTTTTTTTGCCGAAATTGTTGAGCTTGGCCAAGGCGGTGGTGGCGGATGAAGACATGATTTTTGAAAGTTGCACTTACGGTTTTCTGAGTAGGTAGGTAGGTAATGCACTAGCACACTAGTTATGGTGAGACCGAAGAGCACTGATGTTCGAGTTGGTATTTATACCCCCTGTTCCATCCTGTTCCCATGTTAAAAACCATCAACCACATCCACCTATTGATAACTTTATTTTGCTGCAGGAAAGAAAACCACAGAAACTGACTCCCACATGGATAAGGAATGGAAGCGAAGTGGTCTACACTAACAATCAACCTTTTAGATAATCATTCCCTTGATTTATTTTCCAACTAATGTTCTACATTTCCTATA